ATCAAGCTAGCTTACAGCAGCTTGGCTTGATTGATTTGTACCTCTACTCCAGCTTGGCTTGATTGATTAGCCAGCTTGATGCGCCAGCTTGATAGCGATCAAGCTGGCTTGATTGTTGACAAGTCTGGCACTCGGTACTATCAAACTTACTTCTTCCCAAGACAAGCTCTAGGACCGAGAGAAAAGGGCTGGCTTGCACTCAGATTATCCTTACAACCAGGATCTAGCCATCTTTCGGGTTTGAATGTGTATGGATCATGAAAATTCTTCTCGTCGTGCAGAACTGTCCATGCGCTGGTATATACTTCCGTCTATCACTCTTTGATTAGCTTCCTGGTATAGCATCTCAGAACAGTTTACTCACCCCTTTTGGAACCCAATGGCCATTGATCATCGCCCCTGGAGAAAGCCTTGGGAAGCCCTGTGACCCCGGTTGATAGACTCGTAGTCCTTCCGATATCACAGCTTGCAGGTAAGGAAGTTGCATTGCCAATGTAGCAGTGATGCTGTCGAGAGATTTAAAACTCGTCCTGATCTCATCTCGAAGTTTTCGATAGGCTTTGGGGTTTTTGAGTAGAAAGTACGTTACTCCTGCGAAGAAGGTCGCAATGGTTTCCCCTCCTGCAATTCTAAGATCCGCTTCATCAGTGCTTCGAACTCGCTGTTACAACGACTTCACTTACATCAAAGTAGACGCATGTGCCGTCATCTCCTCTTGAGACAACTCGCCAGCCTTGACTTTCTCCGAAATGTTTGTCAGAAAGTCATGGCGACCGCTTTCACTATTCAGTCTCCTTGATATCCCATCAGATGCCTTACTTTTTACGCGTCTCGCCCGATATCTGAGCACTTACCTCGCTACCTTTTCTCTACTATATTCTGCATGACGATTACGTACTTCGACCGTCATCCGTGGCAACAATATCTTGCCTAGCGCTGCGCACAATGGTATCCTCCGAAGATTATCTAACACCGTGATATAGAAAAGATGTTGAACGATCATATCTGACCATGCGCTGCTCTTCCCTTGGTTCAGTTAGACTTGTTCAAACGTAGTGTGGGGATAAGCTCCATACCGTTCTCAACGCACCCAAAACTCTCCCCAAATGCCATCTCGCCCAATATGTCAAAAGAGATCATCTCAAACCATTTCGTCATATTCAACCCTTGTTTACTTGCTCCATCTGTTTCAATTCGCGATACAAACTGATCAACACAACGTTGTATGATATCTTCTTGTTCCGCGAGTGCTTTCGTCGAGAACGCTGCGGACAAAGACTTTTTCATTCGCGAATGATTTGTAGGATCACGTTCGCTACCAATGCAGAGTGATTCAAACGCGGCACCGTACATATCATAGAACTCGCTTTTGATCAAGATTGGTTTCCCGGATGTGGCGTGGCCGTATATGTCCTTCCACGACCGGACGGATGAGAAGGACAGTTCGTTGGGTGAGACGCGAAATACGTTGCCTGGTGAAGATTAATTCCAGCCAATATGATACAGTTTTTGAAGAAACTGACCGTATCGCTCATGTTGTTTCTGAACGATGAGGTGGAAGTGACCGCGCATGGAGTGGTACATGCGCCATAGCTAGTGAAGTCAATCAAGTGGGCTTTGAGACTGACTGCTACCCTTACCAATGTTGATCGAGCGAGGAACGGGCCGGGGAAGTGGGCTAGTGGATGGAAGAAAATGTTGTATACAAGCTGGGAAACGGTATACCCTATGAACTTTCAAGCATGTTAGCATGCATAGAATTAGAAGAACAGAAGAGATTTGCTGTACCAAGATTACAATGGCGCTTGATACTGTATAGATCTGTCCCATTGCCACAACAATGTAGTGGAAGTCCTAGAAAACGATGGCGAATTGTTATATTACCCAGCCTTATACACAAGCATATATCACTAGGCCAGCCTAGAAAGATCTCTCAGAAGCATTAGTCACGGAGCTGAGAAGGGCATATCTCTTCTTCGGGTATTGTACAAAATAGGAATACGACCGATCGTATGCGCTTTGGACCTAGGGCCTGTTCGGCAAACGATCTTTGCGCTAAGATTCCGCCTAGTTGGGCGCCGGTTTGCAAGCGGAGCTAGAAACTAGTACTGAACTCACATCCTGTTCACGTTGCCACTGGGGATGCAATTCATGTATAGCGCTTCAATAAGCTCTGAGTGGCTCGTATCAAGCACAGTGGGTGTTGCGCGACGGCCATGGTAACGCGCGAAAGTACGCAGCCAAAGACGAGGGTTATTTTGCCAGCTCAAAACTGATGTACTGAACAGGCCATCAACTTATCACTGGCTAACACGAGTTGATAGAATATCATGCGATTTGTGAGATAGTCTAATGGGATGCTATTCCCGTTCTGTGTCATGTTCATAAAATACAAGCGCCCTAACCTCGATGCTTTGGCGTGGCTCCTTATGAGCCATCTCTTCATCCACAAACGCGCTGTGTGGTACTCTTCTGGCCCTACCATCTTTTTTCCATTCATAGCACTTGAATATCATGACCTCCTCTGGGGTTTGCGCATACTTGTAGTACCAGGCATGATTTCGATTTGGTAGGATCGTGCACGGCTCGCCAACCCAATCAGGATACACTAATTTGACTGGTAGGATATCCTCGTCTCGAACTGAGTGGGAGCTGCAGACAGCAAATGGATCCCGGTAAATGGTCTTGATCGGACGCCAGATATTCAGAATTTGAAAACGGCTTCGAGACAGGCGTTCAGCATCTTCACCAAGGTGGCGCTTGACGTGGTTGAATGCAGCGCTCTCGGACTGATCAATGTGTGCTCGTTTTACTGGTCGACGTTCATCGTCCGGATCAAGAGCAGTGGGGTTTGGTCGACGGATTGTGTGATCGAAAATGTGAACACGCGAGGCCCCAGTTCTGACAGCTTGACGTGAGCTTCGAAACTTTGATCTGGAGGGTAACTTTACATAGCATAGACCAATTTCTCGACCTCAGGGTAGTAAATTGCTTTGATGCGCTCCTCATCAAGGAAATCTTTCTCTTGACTTGCATGTGCAGATAGCTGGAAACCGTGACTGTCTAGAGTATAATTATCCACACTGCCTGTAATGTCTGTCACCACATGCTCGAGGTCGACGGAAGGTTGATTGAATGTAGCTCTTTTCCCGGCGAGACTTGGGGCATGTTCGGTACCGTCTCCAGGGTCTTTGTAATAATTAAAAGTGGTATGGACATTCCGAGGCAAAACACCTCCCATAGATTGCTGAGAGGTAGTCCAGGTATCGCTCGGAGTTTCCAGCTGTTGTTCGGCAATCGTTGTAGTCGCCATGTTCAGCATGTTCATGTGCTGAAGCTGGTCGACGTTTCTTTTAGATGTAGCCAACAATTCTGCACTTCCCAATTAGGTCTTTTTCCGAATGTCCATCTCGGACATGTAGGAACGAATAATGCCGAAGATCACCGCGAAACGCCCGATTCGTGCATGCTACACCCTGTTCGCGTTGACGTGGCTTAGGTTCGAGCTCACGATGACGGGTACGAATGTGTATGTGGTTCGAATAGAAGCGGCGATGGCTTTGTGGTTGCGAGCAAAGTCTAATCTGTTGTGAGCTTGATCGGATACAGGATACCATAGTAGGTTAGAGCCAAATTAAATCGTTAGAGAACCCTAGATTATTTTCTGTAAGTCTATTGAATCAAGATAACTGGTTGACCGACACCATCATGTGAGTGAAGAAAGAGACATGATGATCGCCAGCGAAATCTGCGACGAAGTCGTCTGCTTCGTTCCACTCAGGGAAATCAGGGCAAACATGATCGAGCCATTGTCTCTAGGTCTAGAACATTTATTCTTGATAGGCCTTGCGCAACGACGGCATGGTGTTACGATGATGAAAGTCAGGTGTGGGGATGAGCGAAGAAGGTGCACGGGTGGGTAGTGGACGCGTTCGGCACCAAGATTCTAAGCCCACTTCGGACCGGCCGCAACCGCCCGCGGCTTCCCCGCCGGACTACAGCACTTGCCCTCAACAAAGCCTCGCCCGCACGGCTTTCATGTCGCATGAGCAGCAATCGCAAACCCGCATCTCCTGTCACTCTCAATTAGCTCTCAGCATGTTCACGTGGACGCGATCCTGAAAGCAGGATTTGGCCATTGCCTTTGCGTCCAGCAGCCACTCTCGCCGATAGAAGGCTTCGGAAGTGGTGCCTGCACGTTGAGTAGGGTAGGATCTCGATTTCGTCGACCCCATCACAGCTTTGACATGGCTATTGAGTCCACTTTCACATCGTTTCCATGCTACATACATGTTGCATGTGTTGGCGGTGAAGTAGAAGAAGGTAGGTCATTGCATTTGGCCTTGCAATGAATGAGTAGGCGCAGGTGCAGGTCCGTCTTCGACAACGAGGCTGCAGAGTCGTATGATCTTCCTAAAGTGACTTTCGCGACCGGCGTATGAAGCCTGAGACATTGTCTCCACGACTATAGCACGCAAGTTGAGCGCTTGTCCGTTAGTCATGATTTCCGCGTGACTTGGTAACTCCTTAGGCAGAAGTGACATATTGAGCCGCACTGCTTGTTCTCGCGAGCACGCCTGCATTTGGGAGCACTCTAGTGGCTGCTGCACTGCCCCCTCCACGCAGTCATCATGCAGCTCTACCCAAGTCTCGTGCGACCTCTGACCTACCTTTGCCCCTCGCTTAACATATCTATGCCATCTATCAGCGTCTTTCAGAGTGTCTCATCGTTTGCTCACGAAGCTGTTCTAGCACAGCATATCGAAATGACGACATTGACCATATCCTCAGTGCTGAAATTATGCGACAACTGCCAACGGATCGACCTATCAGTGTTCATGCCTCGCGCTTATCTGAAATTCCCTGATGCCTCTGGCCGCTACAGTGGAGAAAACGTGACTTTGAAAGCCTATGTTCGCAAAACAAATGGATCGCTGATTAATGCAGATCATTTCAATCATCTTACATATACGAGAGCAGGCTTGAAACTTGGCCCTCTGGAAGCAATAGTCGCGCGGCAAAAAGTGTGCCCTCTTTGTCACTTCATCGCCACAACGTTCAAGAAGTCTTACGGACGAGAACTTTTAAGCTTACCAGCTGTCTCGGGCCGTGAAGGCACTTGCGAGATCCGTCTATCAAAGCGCATGCTCGGAAGAGTTTCTATTGGAGATGAAAATCTGCCATATAGATTCAAATTTGGGCGGTCTGGCTGGGACGTGCAATACATGGTCTTTTCTTGCTGGTCAAAAGGCGAAATGGAAAATCAAAAGGCTTTCCTAGCTGCGCCAACATCAAATCCTGCCAGCGAGCCAACTTTGCTGGCTAGAAATCTTCCTGCACGATGCGATATTACGCTGTTCAATTCATGGTCCCAGATATGTGCCACCAGCCACCCACAATGCTGCCAAAAGCCAGGTGATGCCACAGTGCCCTTGCGACTTGTTGATCTCATTGAAAGGTGTTTAGTCACCTTCTCCGGTTCAGAAAAATCAGATGCAGAGTATTTTGCTTTGAGCTATGTCTGGGGTCGAGGGCCAAAGAAATTTGTCTTAACAACAGAAAACCTTCAAGAATACTGCCAGCCTCAAGGACTGCCAGCCTCAAGGACTGCCAGCACTGCCAAAGACCATACCAGATGCTGTCACTTTAACGAAAAAGATGGGCAAAATATATTTATGGGTCAATAGTCTCTGCATCGTCTCGAATGATCCAGAAGACCAAGAAAACCAGATACCTACGATGACGTCGGTGTATGGCAACGCTATGCTTACAATCATCGCTGCAGCAGGCGAAGATGCCAACCACGGACTACCTGGGCTTGGTTTGTTTCGATCAGTTCACAAGGTGACAAAGTTCGGACGCTATCATATCGTAAAGCCGCATCTACCTGCAGGGGTGCAGTCATTTGAGACGACCACCTGGGCGACTCGAGCATGGACATACCAAGAACTGCTCTTGTCTCCACGATCACTGGTATTCCTCGATACTCATGTCGAGTGGCTGTCTAGATGTACTGAATGGTTAGAAGAGCTCGATTTGGAACATCCAAATTTCAACGTTACGCGCTATCACATTTCTGATTTTCAGTAGCCGTGCAAGCTTGTTATATCCAACTATTATTGTTTCGTCCACGAATACACAAGGCGCAATCTGACGTTCGAGGCCGACATTGTGAACGCCTTCGCAGGTATCACGGCAGCGCTCAACGGCGAAATTTTCTGGGGGCTTCCACACTCTACGTTCGGCGAGTCCCTGGTATGGAGGGTAGAAAAGGGAACGCCAGACAACATTCCAGATCAGAATGAAATTGTGGTTTGGCGATACCGAGCTGGTCCTGGCTGAGCTGGCGGGGCGTTATCAAGCTACATGACTACTCCGCCACGGTTCACGAATCTCTACTGACAGCATATCGCTGGCGAAGGGGTCGATTAGAGCAGATCTGCACTCCTAAAACAACTTCCATACTTTCGGACGATCTCGCAACACTGGAAGTGCCTATGAGTGAGCTCAGTGATCCGGAACGGACGGTCCGCATTGATGATTTACCCAGCGACGTCACGTTAAATGAGAATCAACTCATCTTTTGGGCCCCAACTGTGACCAACACCACTCCAGAAGGATACGAATACGTTATTATCGGCAGAAATAGTCGTGGTGTGATTGCCCTGGAAGTTACGTAGAGGGATAAGATCGCTACGCGTTTGGGGCGTGTTGTTCTAGGCATGGAAAATTGGTCACTTGAAAGCAGTGTAAAGAAACTCATCATTATGGAATGACCTTGGAGTCACATATGTACAAGGAATGCGCAGACAGCCTATTCGATTGGCCAATTGGTACCCTTTGAACAAGAAGATTTTCTTTTACAACAGTGAAATCAAACCACTACCCACACGAAGCTAGCTTACCCATTTCCCTCATCCACGTCAGGCATCCACGTGCTGAACGCCATGCCCTGGGGTACATTCTTCCACTGCCCTTCCTCATCCAACAGCATATTCTCTATATCTGTCCACGTCTCCTGCACCAGACTCTTCTTCTCCTCGCTCCTCGCAACGATTCTGACTTCAAATGGGGCGGGTTGCACCGTCAAGTCACCTACCAGATCATCCACATCTGGCAGGCTTCCTGAATCAGGCACCTTGAAGTCGAACGCCCACAGCAGACGTGTGACAGCAAGGAATAGTGAGCGCTCGGCGATGTGCATGCCCTGGCACACGCGACGCCCAGCACCGAAGATGTAATTGCGCCGCTGCGATGGGTCGCGTGCAGTTGCACATTCGAACTCTGAGCGGAGGTCGTGTTGAAATCGTGAGGGGTCGAATGTTCTCGGGTTGGGGTTTGTAGCGGGAATCATGTGTAGTCCCCTTTCACATCGATCAGCTCTAGGAGGGTGGAATAGAGACGTCAACTCACCAGACATTGATCAGCACGGTTGCTCCAGCTGGTATCTTGTATCCCATATACTCGTCGTCCTGTGTGACTGCGTGTGGCGCCGCCATGATAGTTGTTGGCATCCATCGAATGCACTCCTTGACAATAGCGCGTAGATATGGCAGCTTTTCAGCATCATGAATGTGAGGGAGGCGCATTTGTCCAACAACTTGGTCAAGCTCCGCTTGTGCGCGGTGTTGCACATCAGGATGAACGAGCATCGCTTGCACAAATCCGACGAGGATAGCAGAGGTGGTGTCGCTACCTGCTTCGAGGAGCGAGCCAGCAAGGTATGCAGCTTGTTCGTCGGACATGTTCTCAGCATCTTGCACACGCAGGACGTCGTTACAAAAACAAGGCTGTCGATCGTGGTGTCAGTCGACGGTACGGATCCATTGTAAAGAAACGGCTCATACCTTTCCCGTTCCGTTCTTCAAACCGTTCTTCGTGTCCATCCAATGGCCGAGATACAGCTCCATCTCTCTCCTGTGCAGGCCTTGCGCATAGCGATAGTTAGGGCGCAAGGAGGGTGGAAGGCGTCGCAGAATAGGATAGAGATCTGAAAGCTGCGAGCTTGCTCCGGCAGCCAAGGAGCCCCATTTCTCGAAGCATTCGAAGAGCTGTTTCAGTTTTGGATCAGCATTACTGGTAGTTCGAAAGCCAAACACCATCTGCATAGTAAGAGAGTTGCTGTATCGGCGTATGTGGTTGACAAAATCCTCTGGACTGTCCAGCATATCTCGCAGCATTTGCTTGTTCTCGAGGTCTTGGTAAGGAATATATGTAATCGCTGCGCGCATGTTGAAAATGTTGTGAACCATCCTATGCATGTTACGCCACATGGCGCCATATTTCTTGTAGTTTTGTTAGAGGAGATAGAGACTTGACGGGAGGATGACTCACTGCTGTGACCAAACGTAGGCCTCCGCTGGCCACATCGTGGGCCATGTACATATCTGGACGTGACGAGTAGATATTGCTGCGCTTATCAATGAGATCCTTCACAGCGTCTGGCGAGGATAACACGATGTACGTTTTTGTTCCAAGCATGAGTGAATATACCGAGCTACCTCGTGTCAGTGGAAGTTTACTTGTTGTTTTCTCATCATCAACCTACCCATACTCTTCTGCCCATTTGGTAAATTGCAGCCACGGCCTATCTTTTGGCATCTGTTGATATATGAGTCGCTGTGCCGAAGCTTTACGGATAGAAGAACTTGCGAGATGGAGATTTCCCAGTATTGGTACTGTAGGTGGCCCCGGAGGGATGTTCTTCGGTCGCCGGCCAACTTGTAAACACTTCGCTGCGAGATAGATCACCACGGTAGCGATCGCAGAAGCGAGAAATACGATACGGTCTTCAATCATACTGACAATAAATTGATAAAAGGGTCTGTCGTTCATGGGGCTCAATGCTGTCGCATGATGAAGATCGCTAGGTAGTCTCGCAGTCTCCTAAATTGTAGGAGCTACACCATGACCAGGAGCAGCTGGCGCCATCCGTGGGCCTGGAGCTCATGCTCTCCGCGTTTTTCTAAGATTAGTCTGGGGTTTAGTTTTTGACACTAACGCGGTTGTGGCTGCTGGCGAGTGTATGCGTGGTGTTTTCGATGCGGGGAATGAGGCCAGGATCGCCTCGGAAGCAAAACGCGCTGGACCCAGTGGGGGAGCATGCCGACCGCTTGCTGGTCTAGCATGCAGCTTACGCCCGGAGAGGAACAGAACATGCATACAACGACCGGTATATCAGGGTTGAAGTCTTCTGTGCTCGAAGCGGACAACGCCCTCCGAACAAAATGATCGATGCCACGGCGAACGCAGCGTGGCCTGCAGTCTCGACACCGGACGATGTCAAATCACTCATAGAATGCTTCTTTGCTGCAGTAGATGATCCGACCGATAAAGCGGGAAACACACTAGCCGATGAAATATTCACGCCTGACGGTGTGATGATCGCTTCTGCTGGAACAGCTACGGGATCTGCAGGTATGTACAACACTTTCAGTAGTTACTTGGGCTGCTACAACTTTCAGACATAGAGATTCGCAAATCACGCAAGAACGCATGGAGCATAGTGAAGAAACGCAAGCATTCTGTCAAGAGAGTGTACATACACAACACAGATTGCTCTGATCTTATGCTTCTTGGAAGTGTGGAGATGACCGTCGCAAATGGAGAGTGTGTTGATATGGAATTCACGGCTAGAATGGTAGTTCAGCTTGGGCCCCCAGCGAGGCTACTATCTTACCAAGTTTGGGCTGTAAGACGCCCTTCTGTCTGTATCCTGGAACGAGGCTGATATGATATAGGACACTGCGCCTCTAACGAAGTTGTTGTCATGCGCGGGTGAAAAAGGCGCATGAATGTGGAAAGAAGAACAAGAAGCAAGACCGCAATAGTACTTGAGATGATGACAGTTACCTATCATGCTAAGCTCGTGAGATTTCTTGGTGTTTGTAGTACTGCAGGAGGACGAAACGAGCTTTGAGGGTTTACAACCGTGTGATGAGATTTCGTGGCTCACTGATGTTGAAGTGGGTGATAGACTGTCATTGGAGCTCGTGAGCGGTGTGCTGATATTAACATCAAGCTATAAACTGTGGCAGTCGAGGAAGAAATGTTGGCCAATCATCCAAATCCATTCCATCAAGATCAATCCCTGTCTAAAAATTATCAGTCGGCGATTGGATAACCGGGTATGACAAACTTACATTAGATTCTGGATTGACATAGGAGTTCTCCATTGGCGATAGCATATCTTGTCCCACAGCGAGGTGCGTAGATTGCGGAGTAGGAACTTGATCGCGCGCATGAGAAACTGCTTGCCTAGCCCACTGTGCCAAATTCCTTACTAGATCAAAAGAAAAAATGGCGTCTGTGGAGTAATCAAGATACGCAAAGTAGCCAGCGGCCATATCGATAACTCCAATATTCTTCTCAGTCGCTGCTCCATCTGGTGACTTGAGTATCGACACAAACATGTTGATCATGCCGAGCAATGGGTAGTAAAAAACGAGCCTAGGAAGTGCCATGGTCAGAATAAGGGACTGTGGGTTGCCTCTTCACTTACCACACTGGGGCGACGGCGTCTAGAGAGATTGATCGTGTAATGAGGATAATATTTCGTGATGCCTCAGCTAGTGCATCGCTGCTAGCCTCCATCTGACTCTTCACCACTGTGTCGTCTTGATCACTCAACTGCACGTCGTTGAGGTTCCAGGGATAACCCAGGACAGAATGGATAGCAGCCATATTACCGTAGTATGAAAGATGGAGATACATGAGATGCTCTGCGTATAGACCTCGTGGTATCTTCTTGGTGTTCACCGGAAACCGAACCTTCAGATCTGGAGAGAGGTTTTCGTACCAAGATCGTAAAGTCCTGTTGATTTCTTTGATCAGGCAAGCTTTTTCTCTAAGTGGTCGTTGCCGAGCCTTTACGGTGGCGAAGCTTTTCGCGATAGTCGAAGACATCTTTGCCTGATCTACAATGTTCCTAAAGCATTCTACAAAGCTGGGGCTTGCATTCGGCGCCCAAGTTGGCAGCGCGCAATTGATATCATCGTCATCGATCACCTAGAGGCAATTATAAGTTTGACAACGCTAGTGAAAGTGTGGAGCTTACAGATGGACGTCCTGCACGCATTGTGAGGTGCTTTTCAAAGCAGTATAGAGTCCAAAATAGCCAGCTTCGTCTCTCCGATTGTTCAAAAGATACAGATCTCGAGGTCGGTTGAAGATGAATACCTCTTGCATACGCTAAGCGCACGGCACAACCAATAAGTGTGTACTCCAGTTTTGCGCCCCCTAGGCCGTCAGCGAAGAAAGCCTTTGACGTTATCATTAGCTCGTCATAGAAGAGACACTTATTCATACCATGACCAATAGTGCTTGTATTGCGATGAGTCCCGGGGTTCCATGCAATAACTCCGCCTCTACGGAGAGTACGTTGTCGAAGTATCCTTTTGCTTTCGTTTGAGCTTCCATCCAGGAACATGACTTGAACGTCGTGATCCTGCATCCGCTCGCAAGAACGACATTGCGTAGCGCGTACCAGCCAGGTTCCTCGTCATACAATGAACCTGTGTAATGTCTTACCAGTCGTGCTTCGAAATCTGATCGATCGATGGTCTGATAAGTAGCTTCAACGCTCTCATCGAAATAAGCTGGGATTGGAAGTGTGAATTTGGCTCATGATTACAACCATATTGAGGGCGACTCACCCCTGGTATAACACCATGCAATCTCTAGTGGAGGATCAGGCAGTCTTTGTTGACTTAGGCGTTTCTGAAGTTTGAGCTTGCGACTGATGGTGGACATGAACGACGTAGCACACGTAGCGTAATTGGAAGCGCCAATGCGAGACGCTATCCAGGCCACTCCAGGGTCTGCACAGATAGAAGCAAAAGAGTTAGGACCGTGTATCTCATCTCGGCTGGGCGGTGTTGAGGCGTCAGGTAGCGGATCGTCGTCTTCTCGTAGATAAAGTATATCTTCTGACTCTGCTGTACGTTCCGGGTCTACTGCAGTTGATGGAGGATCGGCAAGCTGATTGATACTACTGATTGATGTGTCGTCATGCCTGCTAAACGCAGCAGGAAAGGAGGTTTCGGCGGCGACATCATTGTTGATACTGGTAATTGGCTGTAATGCTGGTATGATTCTTCCCTCGTTATGCTCCTCGATTAAAGGAAATGCCTCTAGTTGATCGACCAAGTCATCGGTCTGCAGTGAACGCTTCGCATCACCAGGCCGTCGTTGCAGATTTTGTGTCTTAGCAATCGATGCTCCCCGGTATCGTCTTACCGTACGGGAGTACGTGCATTCGACACTGATGGTGTGACAGCTTTGGCAAGGCGTACTGCCGTCGCCTGCAACCGGGTCATTCACCTACCGACTACAAGCGAAGAACCAAAGCGGAGAGCGAAGAGACTTACATTTGATCTTCTTCACACGGCACCTGTCACATGCTACGTTGACCTTCTGCAATCCGACACGGCTTTTTGCGTGACGCTGGCGCGTTCGGCTAGATGAATCGTGTCCAGATGGCGGTGGGCTGACAGGCATTTCCGATTATGGAGACTGGGCAGCGACCCGGAAGATGAAGTTGTGAGTGAGAGGATGTGAGCATCTGGAAGTATTGGCTTCATGACGCTCGGAGACAAAAGCTACCATGGTGAATTTACTGTGTAGCTTTCTAACGCGCCCCGGAACCCAAGAGGCGCCCGCGGTGGAAGTGGGGAAGCGTGCGGGCTGGACAAGTCCGATCCGATCGACTGTCTCTTCCGCGCATGCTCATTGGTCAGCCGGATGCAATTGCTTCCGAAAGGCACCGGTCACGACCCTACCCTCCCAGTGATGATCTCACCTTCCACGGACATGGAAACTATGCGCTTAGGTCTGCTGAAAGCCTAGTTCATAGTTTCGGCAGCAGTCATTGGTTCGTCTTCTTCTCGTAATGCCTGCAAGGAGATGCAACAGGTAATCGCCCACTTATTCAGCTGAGGCCTTTGTGCTTCGCGCAAATAGAAGCAGAATTTGCTGCTTATGCATAAAACCACGGAATGTATACCGCAACCATTTACTTTTGCTGCGCATCCATTGATTCAGTTTCAGCACCATGGCGATCAACTTTGACGAGCCCGTTACTGCTGTCAAATCACCCAGCAAGCTCGCACATGTCGTCCTCCGCACCAATAACTTCCAAAACATGGTGCGTTATTACACCGACTTCCTAGGCGCACGCGTACAGTACGAGAACGAGTTTCTGGCGTTCCTCACCTACGACGACGAGCACCATCGCATCGCCCTTGTCCAGGCCCCCGGCACACAGGACCGAGTCAAGGGCATTTGCGGCCTCGAGCACATTGCCTTTTCCTTCGATTCATTATCCGAACTTCTATTGGCTTACCGACAACGCAAATCGAAGGGCATCTTGCCGCTTTGGCCTGTCAACCACGGACCCACTACGTCGATTTACTACCTCGACCCTGACGGCAACGAGCTCGAGACGCAAGTCGACAACTTCAAAGATGCAGACGATGCCACTGAGTTCATGAAATCAAAATCTTTCGCCGATAACCCTATAGGCGTAGACTTTGATCCAGAAGAGTTTATCAAGCGCTTGCAAAATGGAGAGAAAGAAGAGGCCTTGATGAAACGTCCGGAAAGCGGGCCGCGCGGTTTGCCAGACCACATGCTCTAGATCAATCACGACCATCCTTTTTTTTCCTTTCTTCATCATACTTTTCACTCATTATGCAAGTGTTCGAGATCGGGCGATAAGCTAGAACCAGTGTTCCGCTTGATGATAATCATACTATTTCCCCATGACCATCTTGTTTCTCAGCCTCCCAATCTTTTCAATCTCCACCTCTACTACATCGCCATCCTCTAGCCAAGCAGGAGGCTTCATGAAAGCAGCAACACCGCTCGGCGTACCAGTCATCACCACTGTCCCTCTACGCAAAATCGTCCCTCTACTGATATGTCTGATGATCGTTGGAATGTCATATATGAGGTCATCTGTACAGGATGACTGTCGCGTCTCACCATTAAAAAAAAAACTTGATCTTCAACTTATGAGGGTTGGGAATGATGTCTCGCGAGGTGATGACCGGTCCAACAGGCGCAAACTTGTCAAACGACTTTGCACTACCGTGCTGGTTGCCTGATCTCTCTGGTGCCTGCCAGTACCTCGAAGACACATCGTTGCCGGCGGTGTAGCCAAGGATGTATTACATGGCATCTTCGCTTTCCGTGACATTCTTGCAGTCTTTTCCGATAACAAAACACAGCTCGGCCTGCAGAGCGGGATAAGCATTGAACATATTCTACAGCGACTCGACGTACCTCGTAGTCCATCATCTTGCATTCAGCGTTAATGTGTACGTCCTCAAAAGGGCCAGCAAGCGCATCCGGGGGCTTCATGAAGACGACGGGATAGGGTGTGATTGCCATCCCCGCTTCGTTCGCATGCTGCCGATAGTTTAAACCAATACATACGAATAGCGGCACTGAAGGAAGTGGACACAGCACCTTAGATAAAACGTCAATATCGTACTAAGATCAGAGAGAGGTATGATGATGGACTGACCTCAGCTATGCACTCCTCTCGATCCGAGAGGCGGAAAATCGTGTCCCAAGGACCATCCCCATTGAATACTCGCACTGTCTGGCCAATCAGTGTTGTATCAAAATCATCAACCGTCTGCAACTCTCCGTAGAACATCTTTGAAGACGCGTTCTGGAATCTAACGAGGTGCTTGAATGGCGCCATGTCTGAACGAATAAGACAGAAGTGTTGAGGCGACACATCACGTAATACTGGTACTGTGGCAGACTCAGTCAAATATGTTCAAGCTTCGTTTGTGATCATGGCACTTGTGGTAGTATCTCCGCATTACACAGCACATATGATCCAGTAGGTCCCACGTCCCCGCATCGGAGTAGAGTAGCCCTCCGGAAGCTAATTACGGAACGCACTTCGTTCGGAGTACGCCAAACATCTACTAGCTGTTCCTCAAACATGCCCCATTTGGCTACGCTATTATATTTCATTGTCATACTGGTAACGTCAATAGCGAAACAGTTGAAAACATACTCACCAATAGCGTATTCCATCCATCGCATACCTCTCCAATATGTCTACAACGACAAAAGAGATACTCCCCGCCAATACCGTTCTAATAGCCGGTGGTGGCCCAATAGGACTTTTCCTCGCAACAGTCCTATCCCACCATGGTGTGCACTCGGTCCTCCTCGAGCGCAATGAAACGACTACCAAATGGCCGAAGATGGATCTCACAAACGCGCGGTCTATGGAGATGTTGCGGCGCCTTGGTCTTGCCGAAGAAATGCGCAAGCTCGGTGTGCCAAGTCACGTTTCGCACAATGTGTTGATATCATCCGGTCTCGCGGCGAAGGAGCCGGTGGCTAAATGGGAGTTGCCTAGCGTGGATGAGTTTCGGCGGAGAATCGCAGAGAACAACGATGGGTCGATGCCAAGAGAGCCGTGGCAGAGGCTTAGTCAGGTCAAGTTTGAGAAGTGGTTGAAAGAGAAGTGTGAAGAAAATGAAATGATTGATGCGAGGTATGGATGGAAGATCGAGCATGTTGAAGTAATCGAAAGCAAAGTGAGGACTGAAGCGACGAGACTCAAGACTGGAGAAACGAAGGTCTTCATCTCGGAGTATGCGGTGGGGTGCGACGGGGCTTCAAGTGCGGTGAGGAGATCCTTGGGGATGCCGCTTGATGGTGGGCCGGTGTAAGTGTTTGAAGACTCCAAAATAGTGAAGCTGACCAGGTTGATTTTAGACCTACATGTGTTCTTCTCGTGCACTTCAAATCGCGCGACCTAACGCGTATTCAAAAGCAAGGCCAATTTTGGCACAGTTTCTTCGTTGTCGAACCAGGAGTCTTTGGCGGGGCAATAATTGCCCAAGACGAGATTGAAACGTGGACTGTCCACTATTTTCTTCCTCTTGGAACCGATACTTCAACTATCAGTTCCGAAGAGGCGGTATACACTGTTCTCGGTGGTTTGCATGGGAAATACGAGTTCAAGATTGACGAGATCCTCGTGCGCTCAACATGGCAGCCCAGCATCGCAGTGGCTAGAACGTGGGCTACACCGGATCATCGCGTCTTCATTGCTGGAGATGCGGCGCATCAGAACATCCCTACCGGGGGATACGGGATGAACATGGGTATTGGCGATGCGTATGACCTAGGCTGGAAGCTGGCAGCTGCAATTCAATACGGTGGGCGCGGGCTGCTCGAATCATACACCGCCGAGCGCCGTCCCGTAGCTTTGCGCAATGTAGAGCACTCGGGTGTGCATATGAAAGTTCATTCTGATATCGCTCAGTTTTTCGAAGGTGGCGACCCTCATTGCGTCGACTCGCCCACGGAAGAGGGTGAAGCGCTGCGGAGACGGCTGCATGAGCACTACCAGGAACACGATGGCGAGAACAAGGATTTTGGTATCGAGATGGGCTATATCTACGAGTCTGGTATTCTGCAGCTGCCACAGCCCGGGAAGGTCAAACCGCGTTTTCGAGCGTCGCAGTATACACCTACGACGTGGCCGGGTAGTCGAGCTCCGCACGTTTTCTTGTTGGATGGATCTTCCATCTTTGATCGTCTCGGCACGGACTGGTCTCTTGTGACATTCACAGCCCAAAGTGCGTATAGTGCTCAGCTATTGCTCGACGCTGCATCTTCGCTTTCGATCCCCATCAAGCATATAGATCTTCGAGCTGAGCAGCATGCGCATAGTATCTGGGAACGCGATATCGTTCTTGTTCGTCCCGACGAGCATGTAGCCTGGAGAGCTAACTCTGTCGGCAATGCCCATGAAGCGCAACATGTCATGCGGTTGGTGATAGGTCTGGGAGTGGAGAAAGGGGACGCTGGTCGGAGAGACAGTAAGGCGGGTTTCCCGGGTCAAATTTTCACTGCGACATCAGCGATGGAGACACAGGTACATGATTACAAACTAGAGCAGATGGGTGAGTTCCAGCGTTAAAATCCGCATCAGTCGTTGGGGTATGTCCGTCACAAATGAACATAATCATCCCTCCAAGTCGTGCTGAGACATTCTCAATCCTTCTCATCGCGTTTGAGTCGTGGCAGACGGCGGTACAAGTAACTTTATCGTCTTGGAAGAGTTCGGCAGCGGCACGATTCGTTTTGCCCCTTGTACCAACAGCCAACATAAGCTCCAACTGCACCTCCTGCAGGGGGCTTGAGCGCTAGGCACACTACTCATACCATACCAGAAGGGGGTTCATTGCCAGTTGTACCCTATATGAAGTTGTCATTGTAATCTTTCCGTAGCGAATGCGAAGAACTCACCGCTATGTCTGGGCTGCCCGCCTTGGACGCCTCGGTAGCCTCGCCTTGGCACAAGTTCGCATAACGTCGAAGGATGTAGCTAAGGATCGAGGCGGTTAGACGTAGTCGTCTTCAATTAGATGGGCTCGATCGAGCCCATATCCTGCCGCGCGTGCCGTTCCAGTCCGCAGATCGCAGAACTAACAAGCTAATGCAGAAGGTACTATGGGAAGCTTCACGATCCTTTGCTACGAGTCTAGCAATCAGACTTCTAGAAACGGTCCATGTATATCACTTGTCTGTATACTATACACTACAGAGTGTTTCCGCATACCTCACCATTGAGACTGCAGGAGTGCTCAGAAGACATGAGGTCATTGTACGAGCCTTTCGCATCGTTACAACGACTTACTGTCGGCCTCTACCTAGCCTGAATGAACTTGAACGTCCTGCAAATTTCCATCGTATGCTCCACTCTGCGGGACAATCCGCACCCTCTCGAGATTAATCAAGGCATCCAGCGACTGCATGCATCAGAACGGCCCAGAGGTAGTTTGGGACAGCGAAGCATACGCCGCTTGGTCAAGACTAGCTGCTTCATTCCTGTCGCCCGAAGGAGCGCAAGAAGGCTGTGTGCAGGTTCAAACCTCTAGGCCGTCCAACACGGAACCTAGCTGTTCGTGGTCAGAGCATCTAAGTGATCTATGTAAGAGCCATGGAGCTGCTCCTCGGTTTCTTCATGGTCCGACAGCCAATACTCTCTCACATCTACGATACCTACACAAATCCTCGTTCACATCAAACCTCTCAATACCAACTACCGTCGAGCTTCCTCCCTCTTCCCAAGATGCAGTTCTTCACGACAGTCATGGCCACATTGATGCTTGGCGGCGCTCTGCTGCCAACTGCTTTTGCTGCCAAATACCCCTGCGAGATCGGCAACAGCCGCAATCGAGGTGAATCCTGCTCGAACGAAGGCTGGTACGGATGCAGCAACAATTTGAAGCATACTGTAAGTCACCCTTCCCGGTATCTTTGATTTGTGCTCCGTGTAACAATCCAACTGCCACTTTATACCTGCTATGCAATTGATAACCTGACTGACTGATCTGTAGCTACACTGCGTCAATGGCAAATGGGAAAGAATTAACACGTGTGCTGGACTTTGCAACATGCCATTTTCGAAGGGGAGGAAATGCGGTTGCAATTTGTAGTGTTCCATAGTAGTCCTGCCTACGGGCTACCGAGCGCTTCTGTTGCAATAACTGTAGTGATCACACTGGCATAGTACCGGAGTAGGGTATGGATATGGATCGTATGGAGGTGATCGGGGTGATGGAGATGCTGAAAAGGGTGTAGCTTATCTACCTCGATAGACACCAACAAAAAGCGATTTATGATCAAGCACTGCTACTGCTGCAGAAACCGAAAAATCAGCCATCCCTACTGAGACTTAGTTAATGGGTTAAGAACCCTCGCTCTGGAAGCACCCTTAGTCGTAGATAACCAGACAATAAGCAGTTCTACCTTTGTACCAGCCTTTGCCGCTTGCTGATGATACCACAGAGCAGCATCGTCTTCGATTTGCCCACATGGCCCTGTATACATAGCATGTGACTGTGCTGGCACTGTTGCCTTTGCCTGAAGGTAGTATCACACAAGACACAACAGCACGAATGTGCAGGATCCTTGTTGCAGGAATACATATATGTTGAACCTGCTTGTAAACTTCGAGGATCTGCCTACAGTGCAAGTATCCGAACGAACACCTAGAGAGTCGAGGGCGGGACGAAGCAGGTCATGATCCCTACAGCGTCTCAATGTTACAGCTGGTGTTTTTTACTCCCCGCTAATTCAGTGTTCTCCCGACACACTGCACTGGCTGATGTCACTGTTGTTATTGCCGGTGGAAGTCGAGAGCATACGGCAAGTTCCGTAGGAATCCTACAATAATCCTACAATCTAGGAGCAACATGCATCTTGCCGTAAGTGGCACCGTCATCAAACTAGCCTGGTAACGGGATCTTGGATCACGTCCCGTGGCTATGGAAAGATCGTCAAGCTCTGCCTAAGCTTCAGGAGAGTCGTATCCCTGTAAGTACCGAACGATTTTGAAGAGGTCTGAAATGCATAGCTGCGTTATACATCATCTTAAAGGGAATTGAGCAGAGCTGACGGCATTACTCTAGGTGAATGGAAAGAATTCGAACTTCTTAAGGTCATGTGAACTAAGGCGGGTTGAGTATTAGCTTAACTTTTCGGCTAAATACGAGGTGAACAACGATGGAATCCTGTTTCCGACGATCTGAACCGTCATCGCTGTAGCTGCGTGAGCGATATTATTACAGTGCCGATTTATTGTAGCACGCCGTCGTCTTTGATTGGTCTCCTTCACCAACGTAGTGTGCCTTGATCCGGCTGAGTCGACTGACCCACTAAGCAACGGCCAAAAGACCACGACGCACGCTAGCGGCTGCGCCCGCCTACTACATCGCGCGGTGTCCGCGAGGCTGCACAATCGGCAACCGACCAACAGCCTCAATATATTTTTCAACACCAAGGAAACAGCGCGTCACCAATAACAAGAAATTCAGAAAGCCACCAACACTGCCAATGGGCTGCCTATAATGTGACCAAACCTGTGACCTGTGTATACTAGTCGTGATCGTCGATCTCGGGGATGCCGAATTGGATCAGGAGCAATTGATAGGTTGTCTCGCTGTCCCGTCTGCAGTATCACAGCAATCACAGGTCAACTCACATGCATTGCCGTATACGAAGATGGCAGCAACGTAGCAAGGAATGCAGCCTCACACTCGCGAAAAGGATCTCCTTATGTAGCTTGAGGAGCATCACAGACAGAGGCTCGTCTTGATCACCGGCCATGACCAAAGCCTCTTACGTGAAAGATGCCATACTCTGTCATCTTGAGATCTGATGAATGTGCCGGTCTTTGTGTATAAATATGGGTGGATGCCAGCGCAAACAGAGACATCTTCATCCACAAACGCAACAGTCTTCGATCTACTTGCCAACATCTACTCCACCACTTCCAACTTCAATTTACCCATCTTGCTATCACCACTCTCTCATCCATAATGATGTACTCCAAGACCGCCCTTCTTCTCCTCATTAGCTCTGTGAGCTTCACTCTCGCCGCGCCCGTTGAGGCGGAGCCCATCGATTCCGTGACCTACGATCCCGCAACCTTTGACACTGAGATGTCCTTTACCACCAAGCTGGCTGAACGCGCCGACAAGCACCTCTGCTGGGGATGGTGCCAGGTCAACATCAGCGGAGGACCTTGCAACTGGTACTGCCCTGCCGGTATCGCATGCAAGCCACAGAACAACAGGGGTATTGGCTGGTGAGTTTGCACCCAACGGAACTCCTTTACACCTAGAGAAACGTTAGCTAATAGAAGCCTTGATGCAGCGACTACTAAAGCGGGCACTGCGCTTGTGGCACAGCGCCAACATCTGTGACAGCGGAGAATGGAAAGGCGACATATATGGATGTGGTAGTTAAGGCGATGGACTTGTGTTTGTTACTTCTGTAGATGACACAGTTCAACACCGTGTTTAAACAAATACAGTCCTGGTCCGAAATGTCTTGCCATGCATCTTGGTCGTAATTGTACTGTGCGTTGTTTCTCCAGTAGCGCGTTTGAAACGAAGCTGTGCATCAACTTAGGACACAAGGTGTGTCTGTGCTACAACAGCTCGAGGAACATAGAATCAAGATTTCGAAAGTTTCACCGCACTCACAAGGACAAATAGCCGAACAACGCGGGCATACATATCCTGATGTGTAAACAAGTCACAATGCGGTAATGCCACAGATATGACGGCGGACAGTGCTTCGTACAGCTCACGAGTTTGACAGGAATATATCCGGAAGTCAAAAGATTAACAGAGTTATGTCGCAATGCGATGTCGCAAGATATACATTTCGAACCGGAAATTGGTTGAGATACTATCCGAGGCATTCCGGAGATAGTGTGAAGATCCAAACCTTTCTGCCGGCTCCCACACCGACCGAGTTTTCGGAAACAACTGAGAATCCCGCCTAGTACTCTGGCGGTAACCATAAAACTTCAAACGAGTTGTAAGTGATCCATGACCCATCTGGGCTCAGCCCTACACCATGGGATGCTGGGGAATGATTGATTGAGCCAGCCAAATTTCCTTCCAAGTCCGAAGATTCAGGTATCGCGATACGGCCAAAGTCAGTCAGAAGGAACCACCCACTCTGATCGAATGATACATCTGTGGATAGTATGGCAGTTTCGATAGTATGTAGACACCTGCCGCTGCTTATGTCCCAGACTCGGATAGTGCCATTACCCCACGCAGACACTAGCCGTATCGCATCCTTGGAGAAGGTGACAGAGTAATGACCAAAAGGCAGTGAGTATCGTAGGTCCTCATCTGTCTCATCTGTCTCAACCAATGTTTGGACACACTCACCGCTTCTCGTGTCGAAAATCCTGACGATCTTGTCATCCACGAGCACTGCTAATTGTGTTGAGTCGCCGGAGAACGCGAGTGAACGGATATGTGCAGCACTGTCATCGCACAAAGCTGGAAGGCTAACGTCATGAATAAGGTCCCAAAGTTGGATTGGCCATTTGCTTGTTGTACTGGTGCCTTTTGTGCGGGCCAGTATCCTTAGATCAGGTGACAGAGCGATTACCGTACCAGACCCTCCCCACTCACATACATAGAGACACTGGCCACTAACCACGTCCCATATTCTGTAGGTATTGTCCCGCGATAATGATCCAACGCGTGCAGGGTGATGGAAGCAGTCGACCCTAATGACACTCTCGCTGTGTCCATGAAGTGTTTGCAAGCATCTGCCGTGAAGGTCCCAAATCTTGATAGTCGAGTCGAACGCTCCGGACGCCAAATAATTTGAGTCATTGGACCAAGTCAATGAGTTAATCCAGTCTTGATGGTCATCAAGCCTCTGAGAGACATCTTCGCCACAAATGTCCCAAATTTTTGTTCCACCTCCCAAAGACATGGAAACGAGTCTTCGGGAATCAGATAAGAAGGCTACGAAAATGGTTTCATCGTCACTGTTGCCGACTAATGTATGCGGGTTTGAGGTGTCGCTGAGATCCCAGATTCTAAGGTTTGATAGGCCTGATGGTGTTGCTACTCTCTTCGAATCGTAGGATATGGCCACCGTCTTTGCCCGATCCCAGCCTGGTGGATCTCCAGATTGAAGTATATGTAGTACGTCACCACTGTCGATGCTGAAAACGATTACCGTGCCATTAGATAATCCCACTGCCAGTAAGGCCGAATCGGAAACCCAAGCCGATGCCACAAAAGTCGAAGCGGAGTCTTCGTTACGCACTGGTAACTCAAGTGACTGAATGTGTCTGCTGCTGGTTGCATCCCATATCTTAATATTTGTCTTGAAGTTCACAAGTAAGAATCTTCCCGAAGGAAAGAATGTAGCATTCAACTTGAATCTGCCATCGCGATGAGGGCTCATGAGAATTGATGACTCTCTGGCCTCAGCCGTATCGAAGATCCTGGCTGAGTCTCCTATGGTAGCTTTTTCAAATGCGCGAAGCTCTGCATCGTTGCAAAACGGAACTTTCTGGTGCAACACTCCCTGTTCAAACTCCTGGGTGGATAAGCAAGTGCCAGTAGCAACTTCCCAAACCTCAATTATCTCGTACTCGCCCAGAACGGCAACCAACTTTGATGATTCATCGAAGTATATTACCCGCTCTATATGATAGTTGGACTTAAAACTCTTGAGTTCCATGAGATAAGTGTTGCTATCTGCGTCCCATATCTTGATCATACCGTCTTCTAGCCCTAATGCCAGCTGATTAAAATTTTGTAAGAAGATCACCGCGCTACAGCTGTCCTCGAACGTGTGCAGACAAGAGCCCCATGTTTCACTCATGTCTGGCTCGATCGTAACCCAGTTTGGTTCTTCGTGCTGGAACGCTGTTCTGATCAAGCTTCCCCTTGGGCTGAAGAGAAGAGCGGAATGGTACGTCTGAAGTGAGTAATTTTCTATGACGTCTTTGCTGTGAACAAAAAACCGGTGTGCGTCTTTCACAAGATCGACAAGGTCTAGCGCATTTAAGGTCTTCTTTTTATGTCAGCTTCTCTATCGAATACAATCGATGACTCGATAAGTGATCATTACATACCTCTGGTAGGGAAAATAGAGCTTTCATCGCAAGTACACCTTTCGTTGTACTCTTGCACAAACTCAAGCCTTCCAGCCAGTAAAGGTATCTCTCTTTCATGAATAGCATAATCCCATCTGTAAACAGGGTTCTGCCAGCATGGTTGGCCTGGATCGTCGACTGCGAGTTGCAGAGATGGTCGATCCAATATATGCACGAATAACGTAATGATGCTAGTGTGTCAGGACTTGGTGGTTGAGCAGTATCGACGGAAATACCTGGTGCCTTTAGCTTGTACATATCCCTGTGTAACTGACTAGATAGAACTGCCAGTGACCTCCGGAAGATTCCTTGACGGGAAATGTCGATACCGTATGGGAATATTTTATCCTTTGCATCTACGAGGAGAGAATCCTGGGAAGATTGTTGAACAAAGTACACTGTATCGTCATTTATGGTGAGAAATGATCCACATAGTTTGACAATCTCCCGCACCGTCTCCAGTTCATCAGCGAATTCCTCTAGGGGTTCAATAACCGTAATCAATTCCTGAATAACGATAGGTCAAAACAGAATGGCGGTAGTGGCCAGCACACAAAGACAGGTTTCAGCGTCGTCTGACTCGCCTATACCATTCAACATCCGCTTGTAAAAGGGTTCTAGTCCAGGTGGGATAGACTTGAGCTTCTTCATCACATGCCGCTTTGCTGTACCCTTGAGATGTTGACATACTAATGCTACCCACAAGATTGTGTCGTTCGCATTCACGCTCAGAAACTCTGACATAACGATCCGGGTTTGCTCATCATATGTTTCCTCTTCTGCCAGTTGGGACACCTCCATGTCGATGAACGTCTTGACAGCTACCGAGATGGACCGCGCGTTAAGCTCGAGGCTGAGAAGCACTTTGTCAGCCGCTGGTTTCAGACATCTCTCTATCTCTGGCCAATTGCGGCTGGAAGCAATCCATTTGAGACGAGGAGACGAAGACGACTGCATAGCAATGAAGCGAAGCAGCTTCGACCGGTCGGTAGTGCACTCGTCCAGCGCATCGATGAGCAAGTAACCCATGCGCAGACCAGGATCTTATAGCACGTCTATCGAGATTTCCGTCAATGCAATCCAGACATTTGCATCCTCGAATAGTCGATTTCTTGCGAGATCATACCTCTTGAATACATGCGACGAAAGTGATGGCTGCTGCGTTATGAGCATGTACAGTAGCCCTCGAAGCACGGCTGTAGCGTTGTTGAGATGGGATAATGTCGCTTGACAAAAGAAGAATGACAGTAGAGTTTTCTTCGGCATCGAGCTGCGTAGCTCGTCGATGACGCCACAGAGCAGCATCGTTTTGCCTTTTCCAGGGTCGCCCTTTACCCATAGAAGTTGGGCTTGCGGATCTCTTTGCCATTGCTGATAGGTATCGTTGTTGAGCACCCAGCGGTATGAGTCTACCAACAACCCGCCCTTGGTCTCCTCGACTCGCTTCTTGTCGTCCCTGGGATCGCCGTGGCGCAAGTCACGCAAACAGTCCTTCAACTTCTGGATCTCTTTATTAAGTCGCCTAGGTGCTTCCTCTTCTCCTTCCCCATACAAATGCGCGATATCGAAATCACAAATGTCTGACAGCGAGTACGCCATATCCTCTTTCAGCTTAGTTTTCCGGTCACCTCTCCAACGCAAGCGCTCGCTAATGTCGAACTGGGCAAGAGTACCCTCCTGAAGTACATTCTGTGGTATACCCGTGGTCCTGCTGATTAGCGGTCCGAGTGACGTTTTATCTCCAATCCTTTCCCATTCCTGAGAGAATAGCTCAACCACACTCGGGGCCAGGAGCTCCTGCAGGGTCCAGCCACGCGTGAACCAGCGACTTGACCTCAGCGAACGCTCCCAATAAGTTTCACTAAGCATGTCATCAAGTTTCTTCTCCTTTGTTGATACGTCTGAAAGGTATACGTAACACTTCGCCGCATCTTGATACCAGCGAAACATGGACCGGATAGCTGAGGAGAGCTCGGCCTTGTTTGACTTATCGATGCAGCAAGTATCAACCCAGAAGTATTGGAATCCATCTCGCCGTGTTTGTTCTCCACAGAGGCGAATCTTGTTGTATCCAAGTTTGTCCTTTCCACCACCATCCATAAGATCTGGGAAAGATACCTCTTTTTCGTCCTTTCCCCAAGTGTGTGAAAGTATAGTATAAGCCGGTTGTTCGTAGTCGTCGAAGCGAGTGAGAACGAGCCCTCCGTCCTGATCATGATGAAGAAGGCGCGTTGATTCGTGAGGTTGTTGATCAGTTCAGCGCGCGCGCGCGAGCCGAGGCTGTGATGTTTCAGCGTTGTGCAGGCTGTTGCTCACCTGACGTTTGCTTGCGGCTGACGGATAAGGATCGGGGTAGAACTGGCACGCGGCGCTTGCGTCGCAAAATGGAGATGAGAGAAGGATGGAGATGGTGCTAAAGGGAGAGGAAGGAATTCAAACATAAAACTGTACGAAGACCAGGATGAGAGCAGCCTTAGTGATGCGCTGTGCAGTCAGCTGCATGTCGCAGCGCATCAAGCCGCCTCCCCGACTGCATCGCCTCCGAGCTGCCAGGCCATCTCGATATTGACATCGATATTTCACGCGCCATTTCACAAGCTGCTGTATTACTTTAGGATTATTGCGATTTCGAATGGACCTGGGCGCGCCTTGATCCGTGAGAGGTGCTTGCGGTCTTTTTATGTTGGTCACCGAGGTCGACGGCTCCGCGGGTGGGGCGAGAAAGCCACCTATCGGGGTTGGCGTGTGATCATCCTTGCGGATCTGCATCACCAGAGGCATCCAGATCATAATATCACAGATATCCAGATTGTCGTACTTAGTCATCCCAAGCTAAGCCCCTAGTCTACTATGAAACGTATGCGTGCCAGAAGGCACTGTGAATACCGTAGAGTTATTACCAACACCCATAGATGCAGCACGTTGCGAAACTTCCACAACAGTGCTGCCAGCCGGTAGACGCACCTCCGCCACCACATTTGCAGGCACCGTGACCGTCAGAGTAAAAGCTCCATCAGTCGTCCTATTCCAACCACTCCGAGCCTCTCCGCAAATAGTTTGGTAAGTACCTTCTGCCCACTGAACATCTCCAACGAGCTTTGGCTGAAACACAAGTCCCTCGCCCCATGACTTGCTGACGGTCGTAAGAGCACCGGGTTGTATTCCAGCGATATCAGCGTGGAGCCATTCTTCAATCTGAGCAAGGATCATATGGTTCTTAGAATCCTCACGAGTCCAACGCTCAGGCATGGTCGTGAGACCTTGTGGGTTCTCCGTGGTAGAGGCTATGAAGTAGCCGTAGCTGGGCTGGTCGTTTTGCTGCAGAGTTTCCCAAAGTATGTCGTCACGGCCTCCGGCGGAGAGAGCCCTTACTATTGGACCCATACCAATCGTTCCACCGCTCAGATGTGGGCCAAGTCCGTCCTGCGAAGGATATTCATATGTGAGTTCAACCAGCGCGTCTAGAACTTGCTGTCGATGTTCTTCAGGTACAAGACCAGCATCTAAAGCGAGAGCTTGCGCAGCCTGCGTAGCGTTCACAGTAGACTTGTTTCCAAGGCTGGTGTAACGACCGGTGGCAGTGTTGTAGAAGGCAGCGTTGAAAGCCTCTCGGATCTCCAAGGCCAGACGCTCATACTGTACAGCATCATCTACATGCCCAGTAAGATTGGCCATGCGTGCCATGGCGTTGATCGTTAGGTAGTAGCCCCAGGTACCAGTGATGCGACCTGACGTCCTTGAGTCGTCTTCAACCCAATCGGCAAGCGCAGCATCGACGATGTTATTCCGCACCTTTTCGCGCTGCAAATATCGTACAAAGTCAGTCATCTGCTTGTAGTACAAGTTCATGACTGTTGTATCGCCATATAGATCGTACAAGTAGGAAGGTACGAGCACGATGGCATTACCCCAATTGATCTCGTCTCCAAATCGTCCAGAGTAGCCCCAGTCATATACAGGTGCTTTCAAGGCCACATTACCTGCCATGGAGGTGTTTGCGATAGACTGCGCTTCTACCAGATGTCGCATGTTTGTACGCAGGAAGGCGTTGATGTGAACATTTCGATAAATAGCACCCATAGGCATGGTGTAATCGGCTGGATACGAGAGCTTCTCCCGACCGGGACAATCAGTGAATACTGATATGACATTGCTCGCGATGGAGTAACGCGACATATTGTGGAGCCGATTGAGAAGCGAGCTGGACGAACGGAAAGTGCCAGCGACTGGTACATCAGCTTGCACACGGGCGCCTGTTATGAGGTCGGCACATGGACGAAATCCGTCAGGCAGGCCGGTCACTTGCACCCATTGCATAGCGAAGTAATTGAAGTCTGGGTGCCAGGTTTCGCCTCCAGCACGTCCAGAAGTGGTGTAGGTGTTGAAGACGTCAGTGCCTCGGTTTCCGATACCCAAGGACTCCTGGTTGGTAGTGCCATTCGCATTGAGAGACTCAGCAGCCACCATTCTGATGATGATGCCTGCTGGCATTTGCGGAAGCTTAAGTACAGGAAAACACGCGATGTTTTGGCCAAGATCAAAAACCCAAGTTCCGTTGAAGGGGTTTGATATCGATACAGGCTCGAGATATTCCACGACTCTGACTGGTTCCGCTGCACGAGCGACGAGCTTTGTTGCCAGGTTGGGTGGAGGTGCGATGCCAGCCGCAATCCATCGAGAGGAGTTTTGGTGAGATCCGGCACGATCCCAGTCAGCTATTATCCTGCGAGCGTCGAAATCGGAGCCAGAATACCAAGCGTCGGTAACCAATGGACCGAGCGTGGTACGCCAGGACCTGTCAGTCACGATGAGGTCTTCACTGCCATCATCATAGGTGATCTCAAGACGACCTATGAGGCGCGGAGTCACTGTAGTCAAGTCAGTCAATTTATCAAACACCGCTTATCCATTCAGATCGAGGCTTACCTGCGGCACCAGCAGACGGATCGCTAGCTGCAACATTGTTACCCGAACCGGTGACTCTTGCACCTGCTGCATGTTCAAGCTCCAGAGGTGGCGAAAAGCTGATGGTCTGTTGAGCAGCATCAATGGACGTTATAACGCGTGATTCAAGCCTATCGCCGCCACCACTAGTATCAATATTGATACTGCCTTGCACATGATATTCAGTTGCGTTGTTCAAGCGCACGGTGGTGCTTCCCGTCGCAGTAGCATCGAGCAGGATTCCGTCGCCCTTAAGCTGGCTTTGCCACCAGGCGTAGGGCGCATTCCGACCAACAGCTGCATTCGTGATGTTCCGACGAACGTAGGCTGGTCCATTGCCCAGTTTTACCCCAATAGCGTTCGCGCCGGTTTGAAGCAGTGGTCTGATATCGTATGTGCGATATTCGCTGGAAAGTTGATAGTTCGAGTAGCCTGGTGCTAGCACTTCGTTGGTGACGGCCTTGCCATTCACAGAGGCAAGATGCATCCCCACGCCTGACAGATATAGACGAGCGCCGACAATGCCTTTGCCGCTGGGTACATCGAAGCGGCGGCTGAATAGTGGGAGGGGTTGGCTTGGGTCACGGTCAGGATACTCAATCCAACGAGCTCCACCCCAGTCTGACTGATTGAGCAGCCCTACGGACCAAGATGAAGCCTCCGACCAGGCTGAAGGTTGACCGAGGGCGTCCCAGACTCGCACACGCCAGAAGAGTGTATCGCGCGAACCAAGCTCACATTTCAGATGCACCGACTGACTTGAGCCACTTTGCTTTCCAGAGCCCCATCGTAGCTGGACCGTATTCAGATCGTATTCGGATGTGGCGACTTGAACTTCGTACGCAGTCTGTCGATCGCCTGGGCAGACGACTTCAGCGCATTGGGTTGTTTGAACGGTCTGCCAGCTAAGAGTTGGACGGCGGCTCTCAAGATCCAAGGGCTCATCGTAACGGCCATCCACACTGAGCCGAACGACTTTGACGGTCGAGGTTTGCGCCGCGATAAGATTCGGTAATAGCGTGAAGACGGCGGCGGCCAAGTCACTTAAGAATCGCATGATAACTTCCTGGACCCAGACCTCACACTATTGATCCTGGAGACTTGCTCTACCCATCAGGAGCAGTTTGGCAGCACATTTTATGTGTCTTCAACGCGAACGCAGCGAATGCGGAGGAAGCGTTTCGTCGGATATTGATGTCGCGAGCATGCGAACGGTTCGGGCAGATGGCGAGCGACGCCGACCTTTTTTCGAGCTTTTGCTCCATGGCGGCTGGCGATTGTCAGCAACTTGCATTAACCCCAGATTTTACCCCACAGATTCCCTGTATGGATCAACCTTGGCATGCGAATTATGCATCATACCGCCCAATTCCAAGAGCCACGACTCTCGTCTCGGCAGATCAAGCAAAACCGAGGGTAAGGGGGCAGATGACTTCCGTGGTTCTGCCGGCACAGATCTGCGCAGAGTCTTACTACTGGAGCTTGGCGATAGAATGCGACTAAATGCGAATGGAATTCTATGTTTTAATGTCATTGACGCGATCGGCAGCATTCTCATTTGGTATTGTTAGCTATGGTACTGATCATACCTATAGCCGCACTCTGCCCGTCTGACAATCCTTGGGGACCGCATCGCCGTCCGCGACCTGTTGTGCAGTATTTCCGTCGACACATTTCGGCATGTAGACGCATCGTCAATTGCCATGAGTTGCTTCTATGTGCCCTCCATTATGCAGCAATGTGTCGATGAAGAGCGAGCGGCCTAACACTGGTGCTGTGACGTTTGATCGTACGTAGTCTAATGAGGGGTGTAGTCCAGCGCAGGGACTAGGAGCCCGTCTCTGGCTGTTCCGCCCAAGTTTCGATCAAGGAGGGGAGACCTAGAGCGTCGTCCTGCATTCTCGTCGTGCACCATGATGTGACGTCGCAAAGTCGCTGCCTATGGTATGTTGGTAAGTCCTGTCAATAATAGTTACCGAGCAACTCACACGCCTACCGATTACAGCCGTGGTAGATCTCCACGAAGCGACGTGCTTTTTTGGCAAGTGCATCTGGTTGGAATCCACCGCTTAGCACGTTCGAGCTTCCATCAATGAGCAGCGACCAATGCAAGCGTGCTGCTGTTCTCGACAGTGTAATATATCAACCTAATCTAGTCCAAGACCAGACGTTTGAGTCACACTACAAGATTGCAAGGCTAAGGGCCTGCGTGCAGATCACGGTTGGTGTTGGACGACGTTCCGTGAAAGGCGCGGTTGGAGAAACGCTGTCGATAAGGCTCCGATTCGTGCGCAGTTTGCTTCTTAGTCCGCTCGTCGCTACGTTTGTTGCGCAAGTTGAATGCTGCATGCCCTATGCCGATTCGTAAGTTGGATGGCGACACCGAGACACTGAAGGATCTGCAGAGCGCTGTTACGGTTGAGCGACGCCGTTGTCAGATGATCGCGACTGACTGTGAGGCTTCCAGCATAACACATGCATATCCTGCAGTTAAAATTGGACCTCAGATTTGAGGGTCGATGACGGTGGATCGGTGGCATTACGAGTAGATAGAGGTGCGTTCTTTGCAAGCAGCTTCGCGTTCTCCCATCTCAGTCCCAATCAACTCGATTTTCCCACCACAGTGTACCAGCAAAGATAGAGACTAGCGATGGAATCATCATCAACGCAAATCGGGAAGCTCCATGTGATAGACATTGCTGTGCGAGCGATGCTTTGACAGAACAAAAGGTCAGAGGTACGCAATGTGTCGAAGGCTCAACAAGACGGAACTGTCCCTGGAGCTAGGACGTCTTGGCAGGACGCAGGGCATCCAATGTCAGCCAATGAGATCGCTAGTGCTTCCCAAAGCGCGATTCGATCAATTGCAAATTCATCTACCCTTCCGATATCAACAACAAGGCAATTCTCGATTCATGTCGAATTTGAAGTCATTCGCATCTTCATAGGTATTCGTCACCTCATTCAGTGACCACGTTGACCACCCAGCTTAGACGATGAATAAAGAAGAAATTGTCACACGAATCCTCGCCTTCTTGGTCGTTTCCGGTGTGTAAGATGAAGTCTATAACGGTCGAGTCTCGGGTAAAGGTAAAGCGCATTCGGGATTTGTTAACGAAGTTGTCTCCGAAAGCCTTCATTGCATATATCCAACCCAAACCGGGCCTTGCAAGGTATCCATGTAAATATAGCCTCTATCTCCATCGCTGATATCCCTGCGCTTGCTTTTGCCTATGCTATACTACGTATACTGAGCGACTTACTGATGTATTTGTGTCTGTAAGTATTTGTGAGTGTTTGTGCGTGTGTATCTCCATGTATCTCGGCTAAGGAGCTATTATCAGTTGTACTATCGGCAGTGAAAGGGACAAACGATGGAAGATCAGATCAGCGTGATCTCATACCTGCCCGTTTGATCTGGCACACCGCAAACACTTCCCGGTAAGTTGTCATGTACGAACTGTTTCCTGAGGAGGTCGCGCGCATGGATACGATGTTTCAACCATTGTTCATCGGACATATCGCTGTACGTGTAACGTGGTGGCCGGAACTTGAAGTAGCCTAGACGACGAAATTGGCCCAACTTGCCCGACTCTTCGAGGATTAAGCATTCATAGTCTAGACCATCCAGGATAGAGGACTCAGTCGAGGATACACTTGATGATCCATATGGCATATTAGTCTCTGAGTGAAGAAAACGATAAAAGAGTATCTTACAGGGGCTGGCCTCCGGGATGCGCGGCGGAGTCATCGCTCTCTAGTCTTCGGGCTCGTCCCAGCATCAGGTATACCGGTGCGTCTGTTATTTGAATCGTATGATCATCCACATAGATTTCGAAATGCTCATCTTCACGCAATGTCGATCCGTCGATATCCATCAAATAATCACCACCTTCGTGCTCTTCATAATATGGGCGACCTCCTCTGTGTATGATGCATTGGCAAAGGAAGACTCGTAGTGCTACTGTGCCAGACAATACTGGTCCAAATGCAACCTGAGAACGTGTAGTCGAGGCATGCACAACTTCAGCAGTGATCAGATCATCGTCGTCTCTTTCACCCCAACACCATCCGGAATATATCCATATTTCTGCGCATATGGAAAGCCAGGACCAAGATGGCAGATCTGATGGCCTTGTGCCTTGAGTCGTCCAGCAGTGCCCATGTCGTCTCCACATCAAGTCGTGCTCAAGTTGCGGACGCCATATTCCGCACAGATAGTCGCTTTCGGGGAGCTCTAAGAGACGGGAAAACATGCCAGCCAAGCCGGCAATGGCAATTGCGCGATCAGATTTATATGTCAGACTCCCCCTCGAGTAGGCCGTTACAAGCTGATACCAGATGTCGTATAGCACCTGTGCCCTGTCTTGCTCCGGTCGATCGTATCTTAATGCCGACTTACGAATGATGATGTTCGATGTTGGAGTAGTATTGAACAGAGTTGGGAGACTTTCTGCCGTAAAAAGTTCCATACACTCCCAGTGCACTTCCTCAGCTGCAAAATGGAGTACTCTTGGGGCCAGGAACTTCTCTTGAACCGTCCACGCTCTTTCTGCAAGTGGACTCAAAGAGACGGATCCGAACCATCTATCTGTATAGAATACGGAAGCGCAGCGTTGTGAGTTCCCTTTGCAATGAGGGACGACGAAAGATCGGAGGGGGTGCGGATCACGCTGTCGGAAAAGTCCCTCAGTACCATCGCGGGACGCATCCGCAGAGATATTGAGGTAAGAATTCAGATAAACCCCAGTCATCCGAGCAGCTTCGTAAATCCAATCCTCCTTGGCATCTTGAATGATACAAAGGGCATCAATCCAGATGTAGTGTATCCCAAGCTTTAGGGAAGTGACTATTGCTTCCTGGAACGTCAAGTTCAGACTCTCCCACGGAATGGTCAGTGAGTATTCTTTAACAAGTTCTTTCAGCAGCCTAGCTGTAAGTGCGTCTCCCCAGCAATGACTGAGAGTCACATATGTAAGATTGTCGAGATTCATCAGAGCAGTGTGCACGAGTCTGACAATAGGTTGGCCATCGCCGTGTGCAAGCTGTAACAACCTCGTCGGTTTAGTGACGATGCTCTGGCGACGCAAGACTGACCCGTTGCTACACGTTAGATGAGATTCACAACACTTTCGCCAAGCAGCTATCTGCGCGAATGTTTCGTCCGAGGCTGTCGAGCGACTTGAGATTTGGTGTGCGCGCAACGTTTTGTGGTCTATAATGCGTGATCAGCGGTAACGAGAGGATCAGACGAAGACGTCTCACCCGAATCGTTCTGGATCTTCATCTCAAAGATGATAAATCCATAGTCGTCTCTGTTCGGAGATTCCAATCTCTCTGCTTCCAGTATCGTATCTGTCTTGGGCATCCATACACGAAACACCATTGCATTCCCCTTATCTCGCCATATTGTCGTAGGTAAGGTAGCATGTGAGGACTCCAAGTTCTCTTCATCCTCGTCGTCGATCGCTAACAAAGTCATCTCACATAGCTTACAAGAACGTGTAGCACACCGTTGGAGAGATCGGATATCGTGCCACCACGCATCGATCGGATCAAGATATCCTTGATATCGGGGCAGCCGTTTCGATATTTCGTCTTGCACCTTTGCGTTGCATAAGTTTCGCTCATGCGCTACGCGCACTACATGGCTGTCAAAGAGTTGTCGACAAAGATCGCAAAGAATGCCATCCCAAGAAAGAGTGTTGTCACATAGATGCATCTTTCTGGGCCTTCCAGAAAAAAGCGCTGCAGAAGCGATAAATACGTTGAATTGTATCAAAGACTCGGTTGGTGAAGTACAGAAGGTCGCAAGGAGGATCATTAGTGGGGTAAGATGTAGACTCATGCTAAGCCGCTAAGCGCGATCAGTTCCTTGACCGGAAATTTGCCACATACACACGCGTTCCATCAACATCTCGAATAAGGCTGTTATGTGCCATGTTGCCATCTGCCTCTACATGAAATGGAAACCAGTCATGTAAGTGAATGAACAACCTGAGAGTTGCTCTGGTACACACTTCTGCTCAGAGAAGGATGGTCATACGTGATTGGTCCATAACGAGTAGTCGACTTGTAGCGTCGCGCACACGGAGCGACGCGACCCCCGCAATCTACGATGATCGCAGACCTCCGTCCCATATCCCCAACACAGTAACGATCAGTTTCTCTCTGCACGCCATTCGCGCTTCTTGTTCATCTCGTCTCTCACAAATTCCATCCCGTCCCTTCTCTACATTAGTCATGTCGCGCTGTTCTTACTGGAACTCAGCTTACTAGGTAATGGTGATAAAGCCCGTGGAGCGACTGACACGACAGCTTATCCATAAGCGAGTCAAGCAGTAAGAGCATTCTCTTGGTGGTTACTGACAAGATCGCTTGAAAGAGAACAAAATGCGACGATTTCATTTGATCCGGCAGATGTCGCGTTTACCTCAAAGGCGAACGGCAACCGATCGTCAATTTTGATTGGCTGCACATGATCTGACTATAGAGCTGTATTTATTCTTAATTCTGATAATCTAAAGCCTGATCACTATCTTATACTCAAGATTAGAGACGTTCGAATGAGAAGCACCGCAAATGTAGAGACGTCTATGATAAAACTACTCAGTCATACCTGTATCGCGCTGTAAGACCAATCTATTAGACCTCGCTCTTGACACACTCGTACCAAGCCTCCTAGTTATTCTCGACCTGATGATATTACAAAATGTCCTTTTCGATGTTGTCGGCAATGGCCAAAAAGCTAGAAATTTCCCGGTTTGTTCTCTTCCACTGATCTCTGAACGGCCAATGACCCGATTTCGGCAAGGTGACGAGCCTAACTCCGAACTGAAACCAGCCTTGCAGCCCATCAATAGTCTTAGGACTGAAGTAATCATCCTCTTCACCCCAGAGCACCATGGTGGGAACGCGCTGGGTCCAGGTCTCTTTGGTTATGTTCAAGGCAGCAGTGAGGTCCTGACCGTACGTGGGGCCAGGGTAGTTGTTCTTATAGAAGTTGAGCATGCCGTGAATAGGCGAGCGATCGAGATAGTCTGCGATCTTGCGGCGGTAGACTGGATCGCGAATGGTTTTGACGATAGTGGGGATGTTTTTTGGCTGACCAGGGACGTAACTGTAATATGGGATTGTGTAGCGGGCGTACTCCTGTGCTTCGGCATCATAGGAAAGTAGAGGTAGGAAGGTGGGCATTATCGGCGCGTTTATGATAATCAGCGCTTTGACTTTGTCAGGGAAAGCCTGTGTGAATCCTTGCACCAAGCCGCCTCCAAAGTCATGGCCGATTAGGTACACGCTTGTGACATTCTCCTGGTCGAGGATAGCGAGCATGTCAGTCGCATAGGCAGTTCCAGTGTAGTCGGATGCATCTGGTGGGATATCGCTTGGAGGAAAGCCGCGGAGGGTGGGAGTGATTATGTTGTAGTGGCGGGAAAAGACCGGGACCTGGTAGTCATTCCAGGTTGTTTCCTGGTCGGGAAGGCCGTGTTGAAAGAGAATGTATGGTGCGGACGGATCGCTATGAGCGTACTTTCGGTAGTGGATGGTAACACCAGCGTTATTGACATATTTCTGCTTCCCAAGGGGCGGCTGATCGGCTGCGGCAGGAGGTTGCGAAGACACTGGAACTCATTGTGATCAGATTTGTCTCGGAGCCAGAGATTCAGCGGATTCACTTACTCGGAACGTTTCAGCTACTGTGCTTCTATCTGTGTAAAGAGGTCAAGTTGATTCAATGTGACGAAGTGGCTTGGGTGATGATGAAGATGAACGGCGGGATCAATGGTTCTTATATCGACCTTGTTCGGCCGCGTCGGCGATGGGTTCATCCATCCTTTGAACTAAGACATTGAGCTGTATGAGTCGCACAGGGATGTTGCTTTCGCCCTGGAAACTCGGATGATTCATAATAACAAGCAGCTGCAGTACAATCCAGCTTGGAGGCGATAGCAGTGTGCTGATCGATTTGACAATGTACGGTTCGTTTGAACGAAGGTTCTAGAAGTACCGAAACCAAAAGAGATACCAAGCTCTGCTGGGACTGTATGTCGGAAGTTTGGATATATCAGCGTGCATCATCCATGATCTTCGAGAAGATAGACCGACTAGATGCGGTGAGTAATTCTTTACACAAGATCAACGCTAGTACAATGATCTTCAACATCTGCCTAAGCAAACCAATAGATAGAGGACGGACCATTTCTCCGAGATGACTAGATTTCACCCGTAAGGGCGGAGATATCTTTGATCGGCCCTTTGAATAACCCGAAATGAACTAGCTAATGCTGTTGACTTAGGTAAGCTGGAGGATGGCAACGGACCCTCGTTACGCGCGTAACACACGGTACCACAGCGACCCACATGAGTTATAGCGGAACAACATCACAGCCATCTAATCACCCCAACCCATAACGCATATGTCAATAACCATATTGGTACCAACCAGGCCTCCTTACACGTCTGATATGTTCGTTAGTATCAAACAAAGATTGAACGCGCATCAACATCAGAAAGACCGGGCTCCGTTTCGCACGTATCTACAGCTCATCGGACATTTAATCATTTGTAATCACGAATCAGAGTTACGATGCGCAGGTTGTTATCAATCTGACTCCATGTCTATGCTAGATTGCGTGCTATTAAAGCTCACGTCCCGCACGCTCTCCCTCTCATATCGCATCGTCTCCCACAAGACTACTTACAACCACCATGTCTGTACCAATCACTCCCACTCTTGCCATCCCCCCAGTCAAGCCCCATGGCTCCTCAGACGTCACAGCTGAAGAACGCAGCTCAGCAATCGACTTCGTCAACCGAAACAATCTCATCATGGAGCAATTCCAAGTCGAAGAGATTCTTTCTCAAGCGGCAGAAGGCGTCGTCTTGAGACACTGGCACGGAACAGTCACTGGTGTCGACGAAATGCGAGCGTTCTTCAACACCACATATCCCTACATCATCCCCGGCGTCAGTCGCCATGCGACCAATCATATTGTCGACCGCGACGAAGAGACGGGTGGTGTGACTGTCCGTTATCACGAACAGTGCATAAGATATGCCTGGCCGTCTGTCTTTGAGACGCAGCTCAAAGGGAAAGAAGGATCTTTTATCGAATCAGATGGGGACTTGCCCCAGATCTGGATCTACAACATGCATTATGATCGGCTGGTGATGACGGAGACGGGATGGAAACTAAGGGAGAGAGTACTTGGTCCGGCTGTTGTAAACCCTCGGATGGATCCTAAGAACGAGCCAAAGCCGTAGCCACAGTTGATAGACCCGTTATCCCAAATGATTAGACTCTGTTGCTTCTAGGCACTAAATGTGTATACCATAACCCATGGCTCTGAGATACATGCGCGATTCCAGATTGGTCTGCGCAATTCTGTCAGCCAATCAGCTTTGCGGGAGCTTGGCTAGCATGCTGTCGGCGTTGTGGATGGCCCCGGCACGAACCGCACTAGACCGGGTGATTTAGTTACGGACGTAACGGTATCAACGTTGATGCCGTTGGATGTTGCAGCGGTTGAACTTTAATCGGCGAATATGCTGGAAATTTGCGCCGATCCGAGTCGGAGGCAAGGACATTGACGCGTGCGCATGTTCCGATACATCAACAAGCCAATCGTCCATCTTCAACCTTGCTCAGCTACAGCGACTCGCTACACTGTACAAAACTCCTCGTGACGCGGCAAGCTAATTGCCGCTACCTTGCGGATTCGACATGACTCCTCAACCCCCGAGACCATTTCTTCCCAGGTTCGAGGGCTTAAGAAGCTGAATTGTTAGATCTAGCCACTTGGACTCTTTCTGATCTTTTCGCACAATTACTTGTCTACTTACGTGGGCTCCAACTGCGACTTTTCACCAACGCTGACCCAACGATGGTAGGTCGCATAAGTATCTTCTTGCTTACCATTCATGGCCGCGGTACAGAGACAATGTCATGATATCATCTGCACGTAGCGTCAGTATAACAACCTTCACCAATAGCTGCCTGAATCGCGACCGTATCCTCGGAGAACCTCCGACCTTAAACTTCGGCACAATAGAGCGCCATATTCGGAGCAATAGCAACATTACCACAGTTCAAGGCACGTAATGACCACAGCTTCGAAATTAGACAATATTCCTATCAATCGTCTACCTACTACCAAGAGAAGGGATCCTACGACTTTGACGCATTCGGCTCTTCGCTTTTAGCAGGAGTAGGCGCGAACTTCGACCGTTCCCTAATCGGCCCACCATACTTATAAAACACAAATGGAATAGGCGCAAGCAGACAGGCGACTCCAGCAATGAGCGATCCGCCACCACCCACACCAAGAGCATCAAACATGTACTGTGTGAACAGAGGCGCTGCAGCCCCTGCAGCCGAGCGCACAACGGTGTTGGCTGCCAACGCACTCGCAGCATACATGAGGTACGTGTCAGTGAGATAATTGAGATACGCGACGAAGATGAGCAGGATGGACGTCGAGAGAAAAACACCAGCGAGAGTAGGAACGATCCAGTGCACGCTGTTGTACTCGCCAGACCAGGCGAACCAGAACATGGTAATGGGGAACATGACGCCGCCAAGCATAGCCACTGGAAGACGGTCTTCCGGAACGCCCTTGTGACCGGACTGCGCCTTCTTCTTATCCCTGGCTGTGTTTGCAAAGATGATGGCACCGCCGATGACAGCACCGATGGCAGTCCCAAGGAGCGGCAACTCGCCGACGCCCGAGTTCCAGCCTCGTCGTTGTTGGAAGACGATGGGGTAGATGGTGAAGAGCATGTACAGCAGGGCGTATACGACCGCGAGATAGATGGCGACGGCGAACGAAATCGGATCGACGAGAATTTTCCAAGGCCGAGTAAGAGAAACACGGAACATGCCTGCAAGGGTCCTATCTGTAATCTCAACTGGCGCCTTGACATCTTCATACCCAGGGATCTTCAACGCTCTTATGCGCTTCGCTTTGTTGCGCAGCACAATCGTGGGCAATGTCTCCGGAATCGTAAACATCAGCAGCTCGGTGACGCCACCCAACCAGAGAAGCACGTAGAAGCACCATCGCCAGTCCTTTTTCAATTCCAAAAAGCCCGATATGACAGGTCCAAGTGCTGGACCGACAAAGGTCATCATGGAGAACGCAGCCATCGCATTTCCGCGTTCGAGGGGTCCCCAGATATCTGCCAACACGCCCGGTGCGTTGGAGAGAGGAGCACTTGCAAACGTGCCCGTCAAGAAGCGGCCTACCAAAAGCCCACCAAAGTTCGGCGTGAAGGCGCAGAGGAAGTTGAAGGCCAGATACAGAGTAAATGTGACGTAGAAGATGTATCTGCGACCGAAGAATTCCGAAAGCGGAGCAAAAACTAGGGGACCAGCACAGTAGCCTAGAAGAAATAGAGTGATGACGAGACCGGCAGCCTCGGTGGAGACATGCAGGTCAGTCGAAAGAGACTCCAGCGTGCCGGATGGACTGGAGGACGCAAATGTGGCGTTCACGACCAGGATGACCGAGACCACGGTAATGTACCATCTTCTTGCAGTCGACCAGTTCTTGGGGTTCTCGATGTCATTGGGGCCGAACTCAAGGAGGCCTTCGTCATTGAGGTGGATTTGCTCAGAGGCCTCGATGTCGCTCGTCTTGTATGGCTTCGCCGTCGGTCGCGACAAGAAACGTTCAAGCTTCTCCATTGTGGGGACGTTGGCGAGGATGGGGAAAGGGAGTACGAACGGGTTCAAGCCGTTTCCGCGACTTGGTCTTGCGTCTCCATACAAGTATTGAAGCTACACCGCTGAGCTAATGATGAAATGGCTTCGGCCGAGCATGGTTTGTAAGAGGTCGTCGTTCCGAAAAGCAAATCGCGTGCGGAAAGCCGCGAGCGCGACACTAGCACGAACTCACGACGTCATCAAATGTTGGAGGGGGGGTATGACGTAAGGTCTGCGATTGAGCTGGCATGATGCAGAGCTGTAATTCATAACGTAGGTACGGCGATATCGTGAGCAAATGTACACAAGTAACGATCGAAAACAATGTTCGAAGTCCGCGGCGGAACGCGACGCGCAAGGTGAAGTGTGGAGGATCGGCGTGGTTAATCGATCTCGGGAATAACGGAGCACGACTTCGGTACAGTCCGTGCGCACCGAACGAGCCAGTTCAGTCAACGAGCCAACCCAACAAGATCGGACGACAAAAAAGATGAGGTTATTGAGCCACCCACAAAAGCTATTATCGTGAGATTTTTTGGTGTATTACTATATAGACGCTACTAAAGCGTTTGCACTACTTGTATCTCGCTGGCGTCTTGATTCGGCGGGTGTGCATGCTAAATTTAGGTGGGGAGGGCGCCCGAGGCGGACCCTCAACCACCTGGCTTGATGGAGCAACAACACGACGACGCTTTGCTGGTTTTTTTGCTGGCTTAGATGAGGCTTCTCGCTTACGCTTATTTGCTGTATCGTGAGTTTTTTTTAGTGTTGCTGCTTGTTGTTGCTGCTTTTTAAGTTCTCGCGCGGCAGCTTTCTCCTCACGCTGCCGTAACTCCTCCGCATCCTTAGCAATTTTGGCTTGCTGACGAGCCACCTTTGCAGCTTCTTGAGAACGCTTTTTCTCTGCTGCTTCTGCTGCTTTTCGCTCTCTATCGCGAGCTTTTTGGAGTTGTTGCTCGGCGGCTTCGTCTAGTTCTGCGGCCTTGCGCGCGCGGAGACTGGCAAGCTTCCTGGGACTGTAGAATACAGCTCCGCCGTGCCAATCGTCGCCCTCTTGAGTAGTTAGTGTTGTTGATTTGGACGGTCAGGATCTTATGAGGTTGAGTTCAGCGCGAAGCTCCGCGTTTTGGAGGCGGAGAAGCTCGTTGTTGACCTGCAGCGAGTGTAGGCCTTAGGACAGCCGTTTGGCTTTAAATTTGGCCTTGTCAGCCACCGCAGCGTCAAAAATTTTGCGCAGTTGAGGCTAGGTATCGCTGTCGCCTTGCTCCCTAATTTTTGGCTCGTTATCTTGGTGTTGTAGTTAGTTATTGTAGCGTTGAAGTACTGGGTCAGCGTCTATCGGCCATACGCCTGTAGCTTGAAAACTCTTTAATATAAGATCGTAAGTTATTGTAGAGCTCTAAGCTGGCCAAAAGTTGCTGTAGAAGTCGCGTTTGGTGATCCTCGAGATGCCCTGCGTACGGTGGAGGCGTTGGGTGAGCTCTTTAGTGTAGTGCTTTAAAAGCGGCGCAAAGAGCACAACATCTAACGGCTGCAAACTGTGTGTAGAATGTGGTGGGTACACTATAACTATAATGCGTTTGGCTTCACAATACTCCAAAAAATCAGGCGTGAGGTGGCTGGCGTGGCCGTTAAGGATTAGAAGGCGCTATTGCCGGCGAGCTTTGGCTGCCGTGAAGCGTTCGAAGACCTGTTGAAGCCAGGCAAGTCCTAAATCATTATTTGACTATCTTGAAGCTGAGTGGGATACGAAGATTTAGTGTTAATCGGCTAACAGGTCGTCAACCTAGCTTGATTGAACCCCGGAGATGCCCTGATAGATAAGAGCGGGCGGCAATGCCTCTCTAGAAGCGCATACGCAAGCCAGCAGCGTAATCTATTCTCTGTTGCCATCCCTTATCGCCGCGGTACGCTCCCCGGACTTATAAACTGCCTTAGAGAAGATTCTCTTCCTGCGGTAGGCGATGCCGACAAAGAAGCCCTTCTCATCTATATTGTACGTGTTGCGCTCTTCAATCTCATGTTCTCGCATTTTGGAGTGCAGCAAATTAAAATACAACTCGTATTTACGCTTATTGTCAGCTAAGTAACGCTCACGATCTATACCGGTGTCCTATTTAGAGATGAGCTCATCGGGATGACGGTGTCGAAGCCGGGTAACCTAGCTATCCGAAACCTCATGTTGCGCAACCGCGCTGCCGAAATTCTTTAAAATAGACCTTGTAGGTGGTACGCCAGCTCTTGTTTGCCCTTCTATATACCTAATAAGCTTATCCTCTTGTTGTGGGTTGAGATTTCGTTGATGTTCGGCCGCCTTGGTGCCCCGGGGTTGTTGTGATCCCTTGTGCCTCCGCGACAACGTCGTTCGATTAACTCCGAATATTTTTGCAACTTGGCGGTACGAGAATTTATCTCCCGCCTTACGCGATTCAATATGTTTAATCGCTTCTTGAATCGGATCCATGGTTGTGGAGTTATGACGCGTCGCAGTTGGGATGGGTCATGAGGTTGCGGGGCTTCGGGTGGCTCGTTGACTGAACTGGCTCGTTCGGTGCGCACGGACTGTACCCCTTCGACGAAGTGCGGCGCCCCAAATCTTGACCATGCTTGTCCTTTGTCTCCACACACATAGCGGAGAGGAATTGCATTGCTCCCATCATCCTTGTCGGCTTACGCACCTCAGTCGGACTCCGTAGCCCGGCAGTATAATTGAGATGCTTGCTGAGCCTCCCAATGGGCCTACATCGCTTGAGCGATAGCCAAAGATTGTGCATGATGAAGCGAACTTCAGCGCTCTGCACCGTTCAGGTACTTCACCGTCGGGAGACGACTCGAGGACAAATCCACTCCTTGGCTATTATGACTCACGCGCGTTGTGAGCCGCGAACAATGTCAGCATCCTCGCTATAATACCCGTCGTCGTCGGCGCTCGCACTTCCGGTCAACTCATACTCTCCAGCATCCTCCAACTTCGCGACGGGACTGTCATCGACGTCCTTGAACATGCGATAGAATACTATGCCAGCGATAGCGGCAATAGCTGCTAGGCCAAAGTACAGCCACTGCAAGTGCGGATCTTTTGCCAGCGGAGCAATCAAGATACCCAATGCGCTTCCACCGGCGCTCGTGAGTAAGAAGAGACTCATGATGAAGCTCTTCATGTTCTCCGGTGCCTTTGCATATGCTAGCTCCAAGCCGGTGACGCTTGCGAGGATCTCACTCAAAGCGATCAAAACATACGCTGGAGCTTGCCAGGCGACATGAACTTCGTTTGGTTTGAACCTTCCCTCGCTGATCTTTCCCGCGTTGCAGTTCGAAGGACTAAAGTAACAAGGTGGTGCTGCATAGATCTTGGATTGGAGAGCGCCAGCATACAACATTGCAAGCGCAGCCATCAGGAAACCGAGAGAGATGCGCGTAATCGGCATCAACGCAATGTGTAGCCTTGTGCGAACGAATGGGTAGATGAGGCGGTCCATGATCGGAATGAGCACAATTATGGTGACTGGGTCAATATTGGGAAGGATGTCGTTCGGTAGGCCATGCAACTCCATCTGACCTGCCTGTGAAACGAAATTGTTCAGCATTTGCGAGTACGAGAGCCAATAGATCGGGAAGAACAAGAAGACTTTACACGCCACTAACGCAGTCTTCAACTCATCAATGAACTTGTCGTCCCACGTCACTTTCGATCTGCTTCGACCATGACCCTGAGCGGAGGCTTTCGCTTTGTTGAGGTCTCCACCATTTCTTGCGGCAATGTATAAGGCGCGGAAGCAATTGGCAATCACACCGCCCTGTGGCGGTTTGATGATGTACTGCTTCCTCCCGCGTACCAGTACGACATACCCCACGCAGAACATGACCAGTGGTAAGAGATAAGCACTCCAAAAGCCCACGTGTAGCTCAAGCATCGTTGTTGCTATGGCGGATATCGAACCAACATTGATGCACATGTAAAAGATCATGTATATCCTCTGCACTGTGATCTCTGGATCAACAATAACCCGCTTGCCGCTCGTCAAAGTTTTGACAAAGGGTTTGTTGGATCGTACTTGCTCCGCGATCAATGGCGATACGTTGCTCTTGATGCCGCCGGTACCAAGACCGATGACCAGCATGGCGACAACGAGTCCGGGGTATGCGGCACCACCTTTAACGGCCCACGGTAAGCTGGTAACGAAGAGAATACCGATGCCGACCATGTACACTAAGCTGAACCACTTGATCGTAGCATACTTGCCAAGGTACTGGTCTGCAACAACAGCTCCGAACAAAGGTGTGAGGTAACACCAAAACTGGAAAAAGTTCGTCATTGCCGTCGCACCACTCTGCTTCAAACCGAGAGCGCCAGGTAGGCCGTTGGGATCATCGTAGTCATTTGCGATGTAATTCTGGAATGGCCCGGAAAGTCCGTAGTAAGCGAAGCGTTCGCAGAGCTCGACGATCGCTACTAGAAAAGCGCCATGTGGGAGTGTGTCTGCGACACGCGGAAGAAAGAGTATGTCTTCTGCTGTTGGTATGGAGCCAATGTGAATGGGAGCTTCGAACGGTACATCTTCCGTGGTCGTGGGGTCGGCACCTGCAGCCTCGGTCTGTGCGACAGTCGTGTATGCGCCCAGTTCTTCATGGTCCTGTCGCCGAGATGGATACATCGTAGATTAGGTTATCTATTTGGGATATCAGTGGGGATGGGTGCTGTCGCCTGCTGGCTTATCCTGCTCGCTTCCAGTTGGTACCTGCCTGATGCAGTAATCGAGACCTCTTGCTGCCAGCTTTTGCCCGCGCGTCGCTCACAACATAGTCAACATGTAGGGAGATTATATTCTTGTGGACATTGCTAGAGAGGCGGTAGGTTTGAAGTGATAGATGGCATTGGAGATAAAGACACGCGTTCGGGAAGGTGAGACGGTGCTCGCGTCCGATCTAGGCCGGATTGGTCGCTGAATAGCCCCCACCTTGCACGGCCAGATTTCCCAACCCTCGCTGAAGGGCAGCAACACGCAACAGTTGGACGTGACTTGTAGTTTTGTGCGAGTAATGTGACTACTCCTCAACTTCCGACTCTTTGTGCCGCATTCTGCTACAGTCGAATCAATCTGAGGAAGATGCTTTGTCGACCGGACTGAACATTGTAAACATGTCAACTTACATCTCCAGACATCGGTATGTAGGAGGCGATGATTTGCCTTGTAGTAGTACTCAGTATGCGTTCGTGGTGGAGAGAACAGGCGATTGCGTCTCATCACCCGTCTTGTGGCGCTAGATACACCACGTGAACACCCGTTTCCGTCTACGCGACGCGTCCAAATGTCGCGTCATCCCACTTGTTCGACACCACAGCACAATGCACAACACCAATGAGCAGCGAGACTTCCACCACCCATACACACCATACGATATCCAAAATGAACTCATGGGTGCTGTCTATACATGCCTGGAAGAAGGCAAAGTCGGTATCTTCGAGTCGCCGACCGGAACCGGCAAAACGCTGAGCCTCATCTGCGGCTCGCTGACGTGGCTGCGCGATCACAAAAGACGGACATTCGAGGAAGGATTTACAGTCGATGCGGCAAATAGCGAGGAGCCGTCGTGGATAGTCGAACACGCCCAGAAGCAGCGGAAGCAGGAAGCGCTGAGACGCAAACAAGATTTGGATGACCGCATCGCGAAGATCAAGGCGAAGGAAAAGCGCGCCAAAGAGCGTTACGAGAGCGGCGAGCCGAGATACAAAAGGCAGAGGACTGCTGTGGGTGAGGACGAAAACGAAGGCGATGCGCAATTTGCGCTCGACGACTACGAAAGCGATGAAGAGTCGCACAAGCGGGCGAGGGCAGGCGGGTTTGATGAGTCTGGGCTGTCGGCAGAAACCCAAGCATTGATGGCATCACTCGGTTACAGCACGGATGCATCGAAAGACGACGACGGAGAAGCGCCTGACGAGACGAAGATCTTTTTCTGCTCTCGGACGCACTCTCAGTTGACGCAGTTCTCCAGTGAATTAGGCCGCGTCAGGATGCCGCCCGCCATCACTCCGGACGAAGACAAAAACGACAGCGAGGTAGACACATTCGTAGAAGACGTAAAGCACCTCACTCTCGGATCAAGGAAGAATCTCTGCATCAACAGCAAAGTCAATAAGCTCGGAAGTGCCACGGCCATCAACGAACGATGCCTCGAACTACAGCAAAACACCAAAACCGAGAGCCGCTGTCCACACATGCCGACTAAGGAGAGCGAGCCGTTGGTCAATGAGTTCAGAGACCATGCGCTTGCCAAGATTAGAGATATCGAGGACTTGGGCGTGCTAGGGAAAAAGCTGGGTGTGTGTCCCTACTATGCTTCGCGACCAGCGACCAAATACTGCGAGGTGAGCCGACTATCCCGATTTTACGATGAACTCGTGGACTGACAACAACAGATTGTAACACTACCGTATCCCCTCCTCCTCCAGCGCACTGCTCGCGAAGCCCTCGGTCTCTCCCTCAAAAACCACATCGTCATCATAGATGAAGCACACAACCTCATGGACGCCATCGCTGGCATCTACTCCGTATCCGTGACACTAGAACAGGTGCAACAAGCGCGCGCCCAACTGACAGCCTACCTCCACAAGTTCCGGAACAAGCTCAAGGGAAAGAATCGCGTCTATGTTGCTCAGACAGTCCGTATACTGGACTCCATCATCGCGTACTTACAGTCAATCGATGGTAACGCGAAGGCGGTGGACGGCCTGGTGGACATGGCTGCGATCATGTCAGGGAAAGGCGTCGATCAGATCAACATCTATAAGCTCAATACATATCTCCAGGAAAGCAGACTCGCGCGCAAAGTCGACGGGTACACCGTCTTCGCTGAGCAAGCTGAGAACGCGAGCGTGCAGACGTCGACAACCAAGTCAATCAAGAGCGGACCCAGACATACTGTACCAGTCCTGATGCACGTACAATCCTTCCTCCTGTCTTTGATGAACCCATCCAGCGAAGGCCGCTTCTTCTACTCCAAGGAGGAAGCTGCAGGAACAACGCTCCGATACATGCTCCTCGACCCAACATACCACTTCAAAGACATTGTCGAAGAAGCGAGAGCAATCGTACTTGCCGGTGGTACCATGTCTCCAATGAGCGACTACGAGCAACACCTGCTCTCCTACCTCGCTCCCTCCAAGATCACAACGCTATCCTGCGGGCACGTCATACCGCCGTCGAACCTCCTCGCCTTACCCATTATCCGCGGGTCAAGCGGCGCAGACTTTGACTTCACCTTTGAGAATCGCAACAAAGAAGCCACGATGCTGGACCTGGGGAATGCCATTTTAACATTCGCACAGCACATTCCCGATGGCGTCGTCGTCTTCTTCCCCAGCTACGGTTTCCTCGACGCGTGCGTCGCAGCGTGGAAGCGCATCAAGTCGTCATCACCGTCGTCAACATCACGTACTTTCTGGGACGCATTCACCGCAACAAAACCCACTTTCCTCGAGCAACGCAGCAACAGCCAACAGCAACCTTCTTCCACCCAGCAACAGCCACCACACTCCACCAAAGAAGCAGCCGTAGCGTCCGTCCTCACAGCATACAGCACCGCCATCGCCTCTTCTGCGAACCACCGTGGCGCCCTCCTCTTCGCCGTCATCGGCGGCACCCTCTCCGAAGGCATAAACTTCAGCGACGCACTCGGCCGAGGCGTCGTCGTCGTCGGCCTTCCCTTTCCCAATCCCCATTCTGCAGAGTGGAAGAGCAAAATGCAGTATATACAGGCCAAAAGTGGTAGTGGGGTGGATGGCAAGGCGGCTGCACGCGAGTTTTACGAGAACGCTTGCATGAGGGCGGTGAATCAGTGTGTGGGGAGGGCGATTAGACATAAAGGGGATTATGCGAGTATATTGATGTTGGATAGGCGGTATGGGAGTAAGCGGATTCAGGATAAGCTGCCCAGGTGGATAAGGGGGAGTTTGACTGGGGGGTTGAGCGTGGGAGATGTTGGGGCGAGGTTGGATGGCTTCTTTGCGACTAAGAAGTAAGAGAGCAACATTTATCAGAAGAAACCTTTGTGAGCTACTGAAGCTCATCCGGATTACATTCAATTGTTGGTGTCAAGCATTTACGCACCACCACCGGCTTACATCGTTCACGCGCCTCACGTATCCTCGCTCACACTTCGACTCTGCTCCCTCGCCACAAATGCATCGGGATCGACGGGACAGGCCTTCAAATCCACCTTGTGCGTATCTGCCCACGCCCGCACCTTGGCCTTGTTGATGACCGCATCGGCACCACCCTTCTTCTTCTGCTCCAGCACATCCATCGTCTGCAGCGTTGCGATGATATCCTCGGGTACAATGTACGTCTTCTCGCGCAAATCCTGTACAGTGACAATCTTCTTCGACGGACAAGTGAGAATGGTGCGCGCAAGGGTCTGCGACCAGTAATGGATGTACGCAATACGACCGAGGTCCGACAGCGCTGCGGCAAAGGAATATTAGCATGATATTTCAACGCGGCGGCACGGATAGATGGACATACGTTTCTCAGGTCCGCCCAACCTATCCTCCCGCCTACTCATCTCATAGCTCGCTCCCATCAATATCTGTCCGAGCCCCTGCTTCTGCCACGGCGGAAACACGAGTATGCACGCCAGATTATTGTTATCCCAGCTCATCTTCTCCTTGCTGAAGAAGCCAACGACCTGCCCTTGCCCGCTGACTCGACTCGCCTCTGCATCATCGCCGAGACCGGTATTCGGAATCTCCGGTATGGGATTATGTGCGACGAGGAGGTAATACAGAAAAGTTGTGACATCGTAGAAGACGGATTTGGTATCGAGGAAAAGCTTGGCGAAGAGCGAGAGGTTCTGCGCGTAGAGCTTGTGCTTTTCGCCGTCAATCTCGTAGAGCGAGTAGTTGTCTTTTGTGTAGACGTTGACGCCTGGCGGGGGTGTGTTGCGGAGGGGACATGCTTTCTATTTGCTCGGCACGTTAGCTGTGCCGCCACGCCCCAGTCAGTCGCAGAGGGGGATGGGAATATGGAAAAAGCGTACCAGGTGCCCAATGAAGCCCAAAAGCTCCTTACTATACTTGAAGCACCATTGGCATACATACAGTCGCTCGACGCGTCGCCCGACGAGCTCTTCAGGGTAGAAGGACGGGTACCAGGGCTGGATGAGCAGCGAGCCGAAGACGACTTCGAGCACGTTGGGCCCGGAGAGAGGCTTCTGTGAGGGCTTCAAAGCGGGCGTCGAGGGCGTCGAGGTCATGGAGGCTACATCGGGGGCCATTGGGTTGGTGACGACGACGCGCGCAGAGGGGCGCAGAGCTTGTGGGGTTGCGAGCGGAGAGCCTGGACGGAGCTTCTCGCATGGGGGTTAGCGCGACGCGAGGGCACGTGCTTGGACCGAGGTCTGGGACGAGTGGGTTTGGATACCTGGGTAGCCTCGAAAACCAAGAGTACATGCCCCCCGCAACGCGATGATCGTAGTCGGTCCACGGCTACGTTTTCCGGCACACATGTCTAGTCTTGGGATTAGTCAACACGAGAAGGAGGGTATGTCTCTAGGATTGCTAGAGGCCCGCTTTGTAGTGCAACGGTTATTGGTTCGAGATTAGTGAACACCTTCTCGGACGGTCGAATATGCTCCCCATTCATCAGAGCTTGCGAGCATATAATACTAATCTACACCCTGCCTCTCAACTGATGCCTGAACTGACCGGGTCCGCGGGATGCGCCAAGGTTTCAATACGTCGATCTTGTCAGCAACTGTAGACACGACGACCAACAAAGAGTTAGGATTTGATCGCTTTGCAGGTATTGCCCAGAGGAGACCAGATAACATGACACGTCCAGGATCGTTGCAGAGCCATTTGGCGAGTGGAAGATGACCATAAATACAACGCGCATTTTCTCCTAGGGATTCCTTTACTCACTTTCATCGCCCAACCCAAACCACGAGACAGCTTCCTACCCGGCAACATGAGTACCACGATAACGCCCGATTACCTCGTCATTGGCGCTGGAGCCATGGGCATGGCCTTTGTCGATACCCTGATCACAGACACCAAAGCCACAGTAGCAATAGTTGACCGCTACGCTCGACCGGGAGGCCACTGGACGATTGCGTACCCTCACGTTACCCTCCACCAGCCATCAGCCTTTTACGGCGTCAACTCTCAGGAATTCCCCGGCGAAAAGAACATTGACAAGATTGGTGGGAACAAGGGCATGTCCGAGCTGGCAACAGGAGATGGAGTCTGTTCCTATTTCAGCAGAGTCATGCAGCAGACGTTTCTTCCAACTGGACGGGTCGAGTATTACCCTTTGCATGAGTACGTAGTATCCCTGTTTGAGATGCATGTAAGACTGATGCTGACTTGATACACCGATCTTTAGGTACGTGAGCGAGGGCAGATTCCAATCTATCATCACGAACAAGACCGTTCAGGTGGGCCCAGAGACGCGTATTGTAGATGCCACATTCATGAAAGTCGAGGTGCCAGCAATGAGACCACCACCTTATGAGGTAGCAGAATACGTGCATGTGATTGCACCAAACGGGTTGGTATCTCTTTCCCGACCTTACGGCAGCTATACCGTAGTCGGGGCCGGAAAGACGGGCATCGACGCCTGTCTCTGGCTCCTTTCAAAAGGAATCGATGCCAAAGACATCTCCTGGATAATGCCCCGTGACTCCTGGTGCATGAACCGCAGTACCCTCCAGCCCTCATGGTCCCCCGCAAACGATTCCCAAATGTTCGAGGCAGAAGGCGAAGCCATTGTGAACGCCACCTCGCTAGAAGATTTGTTCTACCGGCTCGAGGCCAGCGGAAAGATGATGCGGATTGATAAGAACGTCTGGCCCACCATGTACAAGTGCGCAACCCTGTCCGTCCCTGAGCTCGAGCAGATACAAAGAATCGGAAACATTGTACGCCAAGGGCGCGTCGTGCGCCTTACCGCAAACGAGGTTACGCTCGAAGGAGGCAAGTACACACCCGTGCCGGATACACTCTACATCGACTGCAGCGCCGACGGGCTCGCAAGACTCAAGCCCGTGCCCATCTTCAACGGCAGACACATCACACTGCAAGCCGTCCGCTTCTGCCAACAAGTCTTCAGCGCCGCCTTCATCGGCCACGTCGAAGCCACCTACGACAATGACGAGGTCAAGAACACGCTCTGCACCGTCGTGCCCCACCCAGATGAAACGCAAGACTACCTCGGCATGACTCTTGAGACATATCTTAATGCGGCGAAGTGGTATGCGGAGCCTAAGACGCGCGCTTGGCTGAGCAATGCCCGTTTGGATCTGGTGAACGCACAAAAGTCGCTAGATCCGGAGGAGGCGGCGGAGGCAGCGAAGAAGAGACCGGCGTATATACAGGCTGTTTGTCAGAATCTTAAACGGCTACTTGATGTTGAAGCGGCGAGGGCGAATAGCAAGATTTAGTTAGATTAAAGACAAATTGCCATCTAGCTACGATAGCGTTCGAGATCCCTCTGTATGAGGATGCTAGTACAAAGGAGCATTATGTAGAGCTGCGATGTTCGTATAGAAAGCACTCTTCGTGCCCAACTGCACTCGTAGCTGAGACCTCATCCTTTAATCTATTTCGATGCGATGCGTCATCTCCTTCAGCTCCTCTACAGAATAATCCTTGGCCGAATTGGGATCATAGTTTTTGAAATTATCCGTATACTTGGCCCGATTGAGTCCCGTTTTAGTCCATAGACCTGGATCATTCCATCGACTGTTTTGACGATCCAGTAGAGTACGATCCAAATTCTCGCCACTTCCGCAACCGTCTCTGTCGCAGTCACAGCCCCTCATTGACTTTTCGCATTTCATGTCGTTGGGTTCATCTGTAACATACGCCTTCTCCAAATCTAAGCGTTTGACGAGATCGACGAGAAGGTGCTGCAAGACTCGCAAAGCACAATCGCACCAATGTACAACCCTGATTCGATCCTCTACCATCATGTCGATTGTTTCGCAGAAATACCCCATCGGTTCTTTGAATTTTTCGTCCCATTCATCGAGGAACCTATCAAGTCCTTTGATGTTGTATCCAAAGCCTCCGTCCAGCGCACTGTTCACCTCGCTCCTGCCGATAATCATCCGCTCAGATATCAAAATCCGAGCTGCAGGCCATACGCCAATATTTTTGGAATCCGGACATCGCGTTCGCCGTCGGTCCAGCTCCTCATCAATCAGATACATGATCTTGCGCAACGCTTTTTCTTCAGGCTTTGTAGAAAAAGACAGGTATCCAGTATTAGTGCGCATGATATGAACAGCAACCAAGTACCGCGCGAGGAGATAGCATGTAAATTTCTTCAAGTCCTGGAGGCCTTCAGGTTTCTCGAGATGCTGCCGGCTAATAGGGTACTCGACCAAGTCGAACAGTCGCTGCTGCAAATCATATGCTGCCATGATGAGTGGCTGGCTATATTTGTCCGTTAAGTTGGATACGATCTCCATACGTGCGAGTTCAGACTCGAATTTTTTCATGTCCGCAGCCCACTGGTTCTTGAGTTGTTCAAGGCTTGTAGTCTGAGAGCTCTTGAGTTGTTCGAGGTCTGTAGTCTGGGAGCTCCTCACTCGTTCGAGCTCCATAGCCTGAGAGCTCTTCATTTCTTCGAGCTTTCTAGTCTGAATGTCTTGTTCTTTTAACAGGTCCGAAGACTTTTCGAGGGATTTCTTTTGACTGTGCCAGCTCAGGAGAACACTGAGACAAGAGCCAATCAGACTGATGATGGCCACGATGATAGGAGCAATGAGGTCGGTACTAGCCATTGTGGATGGATTGGATGTATGAAATTACTTGAGTTGGATTCAAAGAGTAGCAGGACTTTTGGTGAACGGATAGGAGCCTTGGACATTGTAGCTACCTTTGTAGCCCCGATGAATCAAACGATACAAGCTGGAAGCACTTCACCTTGGCATGCAGACACGCCAAAACGACGGTTATGCTGGTTCTCGATCTTGTGGCGCGTTCTGGACGAAAAGCTAAACCGGAACATGGAATCATCGAGACCATCCGGTACAGATCTCCCACAAAAGGTAGCGATCATGTGACTACTACACAGAGCTGAAGAGTTCAGCCGCAAAAAAGCAATTATGCTACCGCCATCGGTTGTGGTACCCGATCATGAGGATCGCAGCTACCCCACCAGAGATTTGCCTTCAACGTCTAGGCCTAGAAGCAGCGGTTGCCAACGTGCACGCCCTTGTGTCTGCGCGAAATTGTTTTCACTGCAGAGTATGAGTAAGAAGACGCTATCGTTAGTAGTGTTTGACGTAAAGAGCGCGTGCAACAACATGGCGACAAAGTTGTAAATGAGACTATCAGGGCACCAACATATGCTAGAAAGGCGAAGATTCGTTTTGAAGTTGATGAATACATCATATGAGGTCACAAGGCGTACTAAAGCTATATCACAGGACGCTGCAATGCCACATGTCGCGATTAAGCAGATTTGTAGCCTACAACTCCGTTCTTTTGATAATAGTTGCGTATGTCTATAATTCAGGGGTCGTGTCGCACGGAGGCAAGATGAAGCAGGCGTGTTGTGACAAGCATCACCACGACGCGTGAATTAGAAAGATGCCTAGTCGAAGGGTGTCTATACTGAACAAACGATATTCTGGTGATGAGCTTAAATTATGCAGTGACTATCGGTCAAGTTGAGGCTGAAGATGTAGATGTACAGAGACGTTACACTGGTTATCGCACTAATACCAAGTGGGAGACGGATGCTGCTGCCGTGGTTGCCTCGTCGAATCAAGCCCTACCACGTTCTTGCCCCAACCAAGCCTCGATGCTGCAGTCATCTCGCTATTCTGTATCCATCAGACGAAGCTGTGCATCCTCTTGAGACAGCGCGATGCCGTTACGTAACCAGCCAGTGCGTCCGCGAAGCTCGTGACCACGTACTCGAGCTTGCCGTGCCTATTCATCACATCTGCTAGGGCTGTTTCTCGGACGCGTCCTGTGGTCGATTAGCCTGCGCACGTCTCAATCAGAAGCGTCGGGTAATATGCGTTAGCGAGCGCCGGTTCGGAGATTGTCAAAGGTTTAGTTCAAGTGAGGCCTCTTGGCACCAGTTTGTCATCACGGAGTGACTTCCGACATACTCTGCAATGTGCGTTCAAAGGTGATGTAAAATCCAAACGCACTTCTGATTTGTGGCAAGATCGTTCCATCTTAGTGGTATCTCTTTACTCTACTAATCGTGCCAGTATTGCCATTCGCTGTGACAAGCTTCTACTCAAGGCTTTGACTCCATAGCGGTCGATTTCAGGACGCGCTGACATAATCCAACCAAAGTGCCCAGCAGAACTCAAGCATATTATACACGTTCAACACATCGATATCAAGATCAAATACAATCCTGTACCATGAATCGCCGAAGAAAGACGAGCTTCAGCTTTGTGAACTTGACGCACCCAGACGATCTCAAAGATGAAAACACGCGGCTACACATTCGATCTCTGGCCATGACTGAAGTGGGTAAATCACGAAGGAAGCCTAGAACCAAGCGAGAGCGCAACGAGATCATCCTAGAGTTTCGTAAACCGGATGAGATGAGACCTGGGATTGATCGTTTGGGTAGGCAGGCCGATCCATTCAGCCCTTATCCTTTTGACCTGGACGAATCTGCTCGCATGCTAGTCGCAAATAGTGAGTGGTACTTCTTGGACTATCGGCCTTGTTTCTGATTTGACATAGTCTTCAGTCCATATACCAACCATGCGAGTCAGCTGCTAGGCTCCTGGTATCCTGTTGGTCTCAGCAGCGCTGCATCGTTCCACCACGTTCTTGCAAACTCGCACAACTTTCTTTTGATGAAGCGCAATGGTCATTTCCCGTCGCAGGACGATCATGTAGCTCTCACTCATCGTCAAAAAGCATACCGTTGTACGATTGAAATGATGAAGGATCCATCGAAACACAAGAGCGATGAAATGATCGGAGCAGTTGTCTCTATGATGAGTCATCTTGTATGAACTCGATAGGCTGTTCAAGCAATGATGGATCACTAACACCCTTTAGGCTTTACTAGGCAGTTTCGGAGACGGGAACTGGGACAATCATCGAAATGCGTTTGCTAAGATCATCGCACTCAGAGGCGGTTATGACACAGTTGTCAATGAAAGCCTTAGGATTACTATAACATGGTATTCCTTGACTCCTTCTGGCATCCTTTCGTGTATTTGAACTGATTATCGAACAGGGTAGATCTTATAGGATGCTTTGCTCAGGATGTTTCTCCTATCGTACCCATGCCAAGCAGATGGGAAGACGACTCAAAGTCTCCTCAGATATCACCACGACCATCCAGCACCATATCCCTATTATGGAAACAACAAATGACAGGGAATATAGAGTGGATCCCTGTCTTTGACGATATTGTTCAGCTCATCTCACTGGACAGAGCGTTTGCCGTTGAACAGAAGGAGCTAGCTTGCACAAGCGGGAGTTGGATGGAGCCAACTGTGTACAGACTGCTAGCAATACGACCATTGAGGAATGGCAGCCAACGGGAACATTTGATGGAGGAAATGTGTCGACTAGGCACTCTCTTATTCCTAGCCCCGTTTTGGAGGGCCCTCGGGCAGAATCCGGTTTGGACAGCAGCCATATCTAGCAATCTTCTCTTCCTTTTGGGAAGAAATAATTTCGAATGGGGTCAGCTGAACCCATTGCTTGTCTGGATATTGTACTTCGCCGCCATTGAGACGGAAGATCATGTAGAGCGAAGCCACTTTATCTCGATGCTATCTGCTCTACTGAAAAGCATGAACATTAGAGACTGGGATGAGATAATGGGGATTGTGCAAGGAGTGCTATGGACAGAGAACGTCTTCGCGGGGAGCGACCGCCTAGTTCGCGATCAAGTCATGCGGGCTATGAATTACAATCCTGTGGCACATGGTTTCTTAGAAGCTGCGCCGGCTCTTATTAAATAACACTAGTACTATACTGTACAGCAGAGTTACTGTACTCCTCTAATCATATCAGGCAATAGCCATGTTCTTGATCGTCGTCTCGAATCCTTCCGGTTCCCTACCAAGCAAACGGCGCAAATGATCAGTAACCACAGCTCCTTCCCCACGCCTCAAAGCGTCGTACGCAGTCGCCCAACGCTTCTTCATATCTCCAGCGAGGTATTTCGAAGCCCCGTTAACAGACTCCTGAGACGCCCATTCATCGATGGAGCATTGCTGGATCTTGACGTCTTTTCCAAGGACGCGGCTGATCGATTTCACACTCTCCCCTATCGAGAGCTCCTGCGGGCCAGACAGGAGGAGTTTATCGTTGATATGCGAGAACGTTGCAGGGTTCTTGTTATATTCGGCGAGCAATTGTGCCGTACCTTCGCCGAGCTCCTCGCGCTTGACCCATGAGATACCAGGGCCTTCTCCGTTGTGTGGAATCTTCAACTCATTGGGAGGGTTTTTCAGATCGAGGAAAGAAAGGTACAAGCCGTACGATTCAGTGTATAAGCCCTGACGCACGATGGTGTATGTGAAAGACGGACGTTCCGCTGCAAGCTGGGCGAGATACCTCTCAGTATCGAGATGGGCTTGCATGACAAAGGCAAGAGAGTCGGGGGTGCTGCCGGCGAAACCAAGGGAGGAGTAGAAGATGTGTTCGACACCAGAACGAATGGCTGCATCAATGGCGTACTTTTGAACCTATGGGCAAAGTTAGCTAGAAACTTTGTTTTCTTCATAATTGTTGTCACCTACCTTGGTGCGGTGCTCGTGTTCGATACTCGCGTAAGAGATGAGGTTGAGGCAACGCGCCCCATCGAAAGCATGGTCAAGAGTTTCTAGCTTGTCGTAGTCACCGTATCTGCTGGTTGCTCCTGCATTCGTATAGGTCTCGGGAATCTTGCTCGGGTTTCTTGCTACGAGGATGACATTTCTTGGGTCTACGATATTGAGAAGGTGCCGGTACGTGCTGCCGCCGATGCCGCCGGAGGCAGGAAAGATGGCGATCGAGTCGCTGTGCATGGTGCTAATTGGCGAGTGTAGTCGTGTGAGGGAAAGGTATTGGGTGTAGGTGTAAATAAAGCAAGTCAAGTCGTACGGTCTTATACACAACTCGGCGTTCTAGTTTTTCATCGTTCCTAGAACTTTCTTAGCAGTGCTGAACAAGATTGCTAATCACTTCTGTCGTGAGAATGGGTCTTTTGCTAGAAAGCACGTATTGTACATGAGGCTACGGGCCGAGATTCAAGCGAGATCGAAGCAGCACTACAGACATCCGAGATTCTGAACATATCGGGCACAATCTGCGTGGTAATAGTGCTATTAGTGGGGCTCGACATGCGTCAGAAACATTGCTTACTCTGAGCGTGTTTCGGAAAAAGGTTTTGGCATGCTGATTAAGCATCAAAGCCCACGTCTTGAGGCTACTGTGGATTGAGCCCTGATCTCATGGTACGCCAAGAATTACTATGGAGCTACATGTCTGTGCACACAATCCTAGGCTTCAAGCTCATCCTAGTTAGGAAAGAGAAACAGGGTTTGCTTGCATAAGCGAGCAACGTTTCGGACTAGATGGGTGATGCGCCTGTGGGCAAGAAGACGGAATCTTCGCGTTGAGAGCTAGCTAGCTGGCTCTGATGACGTAGTCACCTTAGCCCAATCATCTCTTAGAATCAGCCCGTTCGGACCTACCGCACACGCCAGCACCACAGGTTCTATTATGAGTTAAAAGCTTTTCGGCGCATCGCTCTGATATTGTGATTTGTAATTGCATGATCATCGTAGGTGAGCATGGTCGCACATCTAGCGTCTCTATCCTTTCTCTTCATAGGTGCTTCTTATCAGATCGAAACCCTAACGCAATTGAGGCTCACAGACGACGCGTTGGTGAAAGATTTGTTCTATCCCACCGCAACCTCACCTAGCCACAGGAAGAGTTCATGTCGAACTAAAAGGGAAACACCACTTAGGATTCGCACGCTCATAGTATCCAGCTTGAAGAACTGGCAAGCTAAAGTGAAGTTGGGACAAGATTAAGGACTAGTATACCCTGTTTAATTCACGTTCTGTGGTGTCTGAAGGCCTTTAACGTGTACGCTGCGGTCCATCTTGTTTATTTCCCTGATCAAAGTGCTCCTCGAACTCCGATGTTTTTTGATCATAGACCCGCAGTGAAGGCATTTCGTCATCTCAGAGTGGAAGTAAGATGTTGATGCAGCCGCTTATGGAGGGACACATACACGTCGAGTGTAAGGTTGGTACTAGACGAGTGGCTGAGGCTATCTTAGCAATGACAACATGAACCAACGAGCGCGCTCGTATAGAGGCGTTTTTGTGAAACGGCCACGACGATGTCGTCCGGGGTCGAACATGATTACGTGATGGCGCAAAGCCGCCTCATGTATAATGAAGGCGCTTGCAGTTGCCAAGTTCGCGTGAGCCCGTAGACGCTCGTGGTATTGGCATCGAGTATCAAAAAGGCGGTCGAAAGCTAGAGTCCACCTACGAAGCGGGGCTTTGCCTCCGAGTTGGCACTCTGCTTTCCAGGGTCCAGGATCCACAAATCCCTGCAGGCTGACTTGACCTACTTCTTCAGAACACAGATTCGTCGTAGCAGATATGAGAGAGCGCACTAGTCTTATCATCGCTCTTCGAATTGATCAATGCAAGGTCTCGACTTTCGCTTTCGAACTATTATTTAATGAAGTTTGTTACACAAGGCATGCGAGATCTGATCCACAGCCATCTGTTTACAGCAATCAGGCTATCAATTTGCCCCGTAAATACCCTTGTATTTGCATAAGCATACTCATCCTCACTCTACAACTACCAGCTATCATAACCAGTCATTGCCATGGATTATCTGTTTTTCAACGCGCCGTTAATACCCAATCCTATTCGGCATGCCACGGATATGACATCAAATGTCTTCATGCAGCACAGAGATGAACGAGATACAGTACACAACATAGTACGTTCCTTGATAGATGCTGACATGTCACACAACCTGCTCTTTCATCAGAAGCCTGACTGATGTGTAGTCTCGTGATCCACAAGAACCTTCGGGGTCTGTGTGCTTCTCCACCCCTCGCCATGCATTCAACCCCGATCGCGCGCATATATCTCAGCAGAGCCCACCTAACAGCGCGATATTACATGTACGACTAGCTGCAGGAAGTACAGATCCTGAACCTGGAGGCGATCTTGACGGTTCACGGGAGAGAAGCACAAAGGAAAGCTGCAGCGATGCTAAGGATGTCCTCACATCGGCGCACAGCAAGCGGAAAGCGCAGAACCGGGCGGCGTACGTGTGGTTTATCCCTGCTTGTTCTCTACCTTTGACAGATGCTAATCTTAATGAAGCCAACGAGCCTTCCGCAAGCGCAAAGAACAGCATATACAAGATCTCGAAGCCGAATTTTCGAAATTGAAAGATAGCCAACAACTGCTCCGATCGGAAAACGAACGCTTATTGCTCGCACTGAAACGTGTCTGCATTGAGAGTGAGGTCCTGCGCGCCTCTTTCTTGCAATCTTCAACCTCGTCACGGCAGGTGGCCATTAGCTCGCCTGCATCGGTCACTTATTCACCGGTTCAACATAGCAAGGGTGTGAGAGGCAAGACTCTAGCTCCGGAGATCGCTGGGAACACAGAATTCGTCGAGTTAGAACAGCTTGCGTCCAGTCTAGGGACGAGAAGTGGGGAGACCTCCTCAAAAGAGGCCTGGTATCAGATACAATCAAGCCGCTCTATCAACCAGGAGCCTGCCGACATCGCGAGTTTTCATGAACGACCCGAGGCAACTGCACATCTCGAAGATTGTCAAGTTGCTTCCAAAGTCAGTGCGGCTTCTGAGGAAGTACAAAGACCGAGACAAAGCGTTGGCATTGAGCATGCAAGGCGGTCGTATCTTAGCCCCCGAGGTTGGTCGTATCTTCCGTTCTGAGACCCTTCTCATCCACAACTAGGAGGGTTAGGATAGCGTGTCGTTGTTATCTTACAACAGATAGTGCGTTGCCTTCTCAACACGAAATTTCGACTAAGCCTGATAAGTTATCTTGCACTCACAATCAACCAGAAGTCTAGAAAGCCCCCTTAGTGTTGAATAAACAGTACAATAGGTGAAGGGGCTATGTCCAATGACCGTCTTGGCCGCTCTTGGAGCCGTGGTTGAGCGTACATCAGCAATGTTCTAGAGTCCACAAACAGAAAGTGAAACACCTGACGAAGTCGCCGACCTGACAGAGCGCCTTCCAAATTTGTATTAGTCGATAGCCCAAGTAAGCTTACATCATGAATTGGAATGATCCACAGGGTCCAGATAGTCCACCCCAGGGCAGAAGTTCGTCACCGTTACACTACTCGTCCATTGGCTCACTTTGCCAATTTCGAGTCCCACCGAACGCCCCGAGGTGCTCCCCGCTTGCGGCCCAAGGACAATGCACGGAGCGGGCGGGACGACGAACAGCAAGCGACGGCGGCTGACAGCGACGGCCAACGACAGCCATCAACAGGCTACCTCTATCGCTACCCTGTCGCTGCCCTTGTGGTGGATCTGACGATGCACCTCATGCAGGACGGTGTTCGACGTGACCTACATCTTGTCGCACCAGCTAGTATCTCACCAAGGTTGCCATCATGCGACAGCTCCTGCTTTTCCGGCCTAAGGACAACAATGCAAGGATACGGTCTCCTCTAGATGATTCTTGACCAACGGCATCTTTAGAGTTATCTGTAGCAGCTTCGCAAGACCTGCAAGTGCTTTAGGAGGGCACCCTGATATTCCCCGATCAGCGACTGACACGAGTCCAGCATCGACACAGCCCGTGGCCTGAACGGGCACTGCGAGAAGACGTGTAAGACGAGTAGCGGCGGCGACAGCGTCAACTAGCTGGGCGACCTGCTCCCACAAAATTTCCCAAACGCGCGCATGCCTAGCTGCGACTACAACGCTAACACGCATAGCAATTTGCGCATAAGCTCTCAATACCTCGATAACTACGACAGAGGCCTATTGACAGACCTGTGCCTTAATAGACAGTTAACAGAGATACGGGATAAGAAAGACCCTATGTGCAATAGCATGCATTTTTAGTTTTTCGTCTCCACTATTCCACTCATTCACACTCCAGAGAAGGGCCGACCTATACATGTTTCGATTGTGCTAAAATCAGCAAACGGTCATTAGAAGAGTAGAGTGCGTATCGAACTCGACAATTTTTTAGCATCAGCCCGGGTCCAATTTGCTTTTACTAACAAGTCCTAGCATGTGTTCACTCAGAACAACCGACGCAACGCGGTGAGTAATAACATACTTATCTACCCATCCACATCTACTCACTTCCTTCATCTTCGTCCTTGATCCTTGTTCTTCTTCCTCTAAGTTCGGTAGGTTGCATAATGCTAAGACCAGAGGAGCTAGCAAATGCAGCATCCATTTTATTTTATGCGATACGTTGGATGTTTCAAGATTCCACGCCTATTCTTCTAATAGGAAACTTGTGATGTTGTGTTGCGCGAGTAGCACAGACGTATATCAATATGTATACAGAATGTAACCCAGCAATTGTCTATCCAGTCACAAGTACTTTCACCCTACTTGCTTCAGCGTTAGTCACGTACAACGTATGCAGCTGGTCTGCTACAGCGTATTGTTACTTCTATTTGTTCTTGTAATGTATAAAGCTCTTCACCGTTACTGTTCTGTAACAAAACGTCCCGCTAACAACCTATTTCAGATTGTCTCTCAACACTTATCTCCTAATGTCAAAAAGAAAGCAGCAGATATTCTACTATATTATTGCTGCGAAGAAGGCCAATTGGTCTTAAATCTTGTATTGCATGCTAGCCTCACGCAGAAGCAAAACCCTTAGCATTGAAGAAGTAAGGGCTAGCCTGACTTGACACTAAGGAAGTTGTAGCGTTACTAACATAATTGCCTATCATCATGGAACGAATGATTAGGGCAGGATCCTTGGCATAAGATATGCAACATGCTATGTGTAGCTGAACGACGCACAGATTACGTTCTATCGCACATAGTGTTGCAATGCATTAGCTAGCGCATCCAAAGCATGCAACTATGCAATACAATAGTGGGAGTAGTAAGCAGTATACATACATGTTAAATTCTTAATTCAAAGTAGCAACTACATTGAGCCTTAGAGCGGCGAAGTTGGGTATAAAATCTAATCTTTGTAACGCTTTATTCTAAACACATTAGCTACTTCTTCTCAACACCTCTCTAAGAACAAGTACTTAAACACACTTTATCATCAAAACATCACACTCGCAATATGTCTGCGACCACTTCTACAATGGAGGAGCTTCACCAAACGATCATGAAAGAACAGGTTGCTCGCCTAACCAAATTGCCCACGCCTGGGCTGGGCCCTGTTAATCTTCCAGCCAACACCGTCAGAATCTTCGATGAACGCGGTATCGAGCTCAACCATCACGACGTCAAAATTAAGGGTTTTATGCCTAGACAGCATCATAGATTGCAAAACCGCCATCACAACAAAGCCAAGTGAATTTTCTGGAATCTACCGCTATGCACAGTTCTGACAATGACGGAATACACGCCCAACCTTGAGAGAGGCCAACCAGTGGCTGATGTTCGCCATTGCGGTAAATGCGTTGACCTAGTCGGTACTGACAAGGAGGAATCAGTCGATCTTGAACCTCTTCACATGGCCGATTGCCTCGAAGGCTTCTTCTTTCGAGAGGTTGACTTGAAGATCGGAGCATTTGAGCTGTGGGACCACAGAAAACAGGATATGTCCAGCCAGGACTATGAGTTGGGGGTCCACCAAACTATATTCCTGAGCGAGTGAGCACCAGGAATAGTTCACTCCTTGAAGGACTGGTACCTACATGACAGGGTTAGTTCTCTGCGTTGGCACGCACTTGTCGATCGACAGACAGTCACCTTATTCGAACATGCAGATGGCACCGGCGGTCAATACACAAATGCCAAGGGATGGGGCGATAAGAAAGAAGAAACTGGTTTGTCTGAGCTTGACCATGAAGACAAGTTCAGTTGATTCATGTGGGGATCGATCAATCCTGTGAGAGAAGTGGTGAAGCCGATAGATGTTGTTCCCGATTTATCAAACAGCACGTCGTATCATGCGAAAGCCACTCTATGAAATGGAGGGGGCAAAGAACTACCCGGCAAAATCTCAATCACGGAAAGCGTGACTAAAGAGATTGCTGTAGAAACTACGGACACCTCAGCAATCAGCCTTATGACTGGATATTCAACCACAACCAAAACTGGCGCTGAAGCGATCTCAACCATGGAATTCACATACCACTTTACCTTTGAACACTCCTGGGATCATACTGAGGTCAGGAGCACAAAGGTCACGAAAAGCCAAGTCGTGAATTTCGAGCAGTCGTATATTGGTGAGCCAGGGTTTGATACATACGTTACTCTTGAGGTAATCATTGCAAAGATCCCTCCAAAGCTCTACTCAACTACAACTACTCGCTGGTACAGAGAAGAACTGAGTGATTGCGTAGCGGATGGGGGTCTTTGGAAGCGAGATGAGCCATTGAGCATTAATATAACAGGAAGTTTCTACTCGTCGCTGATATTGAAGATTGAGCGGAAGGAAAGGCCTAAGTCAACGACTGATCGGGTTGTAGACGGGATACAACAAAAGAGCAATGAGGCGATCGAAAAAGCACAGGAATTGACGCACGATGCGTCTAACAAAATTCCGAAATATGGAAAAGATGCGGGCAAGATGTTTGGTAATGTTATGCCTAGATTAGGACAGTAGAACTGGTATCTACTTAACAAATCAAGTGTCACAATAGAATTTGTTGGTTCAACTTGTTCGTGGCTCGTTCCGGCTCGCTATAGAGCTAGCTAATGGTCTGAAGCCATTCGTGGTAGCAGGGAAGCGAGGCCCCGCTTTTTTTTCATCTCGTCTCTCATTCGTGGTCTGCAGCAGCTGCCTTCTCGTGTTCGCTCGTTACAAATGTCCGTTCTTTACTATAAGAAATTGTTGGGATGCCTGTGCAGCGCATGCGAGTTCGTGCAGGGCCGTACTGGCGCCAAGTGTTTAACGTAGCTTTTCTACCCCAGGCTTCCAAAGCAATGCATTAGAATGCAATGCGGCTAGAACGGTACTGACGTGCTATTGAGGACCACGATTAAGGTCCCGAACCCGGACTCTCTAGAGAGCCGAGTCAATCTAGCAGGTTCTGGCGCAATATTGTCTAGGTTTACTGGAAAGGTGGTGTAGACAATGCATCCTTGAGTGTATTCGTAGCAGTGTAGCTGTACTAGAGCTGCGGCTACCAGCAGCTTGGAAGCGGGGTAACCTGGGTGTTAACCTATCTGCTGCATATACTGCCGTAACTGAGATGCCCATTCTCTTCTCTTGGTTTAGCGCAAGCCAGCGTGATGATTTTCCTCCAAGAGAATCGTACCCGGAGTACGCGATCGTGGAAGTGCTACAGCACCTCCCATACCGGTCGAGCCATACGCAGGTAGCAAGTCAGATTCCATGGCAATCATGCTAAGAAAGGAAGCTGTCAAATCTTGATGACTTCATGCAGCGTACTATAACCCGATCGCCTATGCGTCTTGGAAAAAACCAGAAATGCCCTATCGAGATAGATAGGAGGCGATATGCAGACTTTGCAACTACTGTAATCCCTCAGTCTCATGTCGTAAGGGCAGTACGAATACACGGCTGAAAAACCTCCATTCCCAGTTATTGAAAGTATATGGTCAGCCTCTTGTGCTCTGAAATCCTGATCGCGTCCCGTTTCTAGGGACGAGTGTGTATGTCCGAGAGCTGCAATTGCTATTGCATCACCCAAGACGATCCGGTCTCCACAATCATGGTGGGCCTCTGCAAATTTGGAATTGAACTTTGAAGAGCGAAAACAAAAGCGGCATTGCATAGTCTCTGCAAGGCAGGCTGTCTGGCCCCTGGTGCAACGGGCAGGAGAGTGACTGAAGCGCACAAGAGCACGTATCTTCAAGGAACGACTAGCACAACACGAGACCATCTATGACGTGTGTTTCTAGCATCCTCAATCGGTTGTACGTTGTCCGGGAAAAGCATTGAGAAGTCCAAGGCCAGCGTGATGCACAAGATAGCAGAGGTTGCTCACCTAAGCGATAAGTGGAAAAAGGCACGAATAGTTCCAAGTCTGGCCGGGAGCTCTTGGCATAGATGCAGGGACAGTGACAAGGTCAAGCAACTGAATGTATGCGTGATGTTGGGTATTTTACTTTTGTCCGTTATCGCAGCTGTAGCAGTGCACGCTGATGGTGTGCAGGGTGTGTTTGAGTTGCACCAATATGCTTCCTGTTGTGGAGAATTGTGATTGCTTCTTACTGGTGTGTCCGCTAGGACTGCGGCCCGCAGCGACATGCATCCGTCGTGCGCAGCTAGCACCAATGTCTTGCAGACGATGGCGTCTTCTGCAGTCTGTATCCGAGAGCGGAGACGTGGAAAGATCGTCCCACCTCGGTGATCGTTACCGTTAGTAGGGTGTGTCGACAAGGGCTAGTGATTGGCTGATTAGACGAGAAGCGGATGGAGTGCGGCGATATAGACATAGCTAGATACGACTAGTGCAGAGAGGAGGCTAGAGAACGGTAGGAGTAGATGGAGACGAGCGCGAAATGAAATGATAGCAGGTGCAGGAGGTGCTAGAGGAGGTGCGAGGGAGGGTGTGCGGTGCGCTGGTCTGACTAGGGTAGAAGAGGTAGAGACAGGCGAGTGACAGAGGCACATAGGAGGGGGGATTCCACGGCGCACAGAGCATATCTAGCTGCATAGCAGTGTCAACACCTGAACAAGTGGAGGATAGGAAGATCACGATGGGTTCAACTAGTCGCATTGCATTCACGCGCTCTGAAGCTAAAATCCATCTTTTAGAGTTAGAATTCAACTAAGATGTGATGACTCCACACATGAGAGCGAAAAAGCAGATAATGCCTTGTCATAGGGTCACCGCATATCAGCCAACTGTAGCTGGTAACAAAAGCAACGCGAAGGCAGAAATCTTATGTATCAATCCTCGAACATATAAACCATACGCGTCTCCTCCATCAATAAAGCACTATTCTTTCCGCACAGCACAGCCAAAGAGCCAAGCTAGCAAACATGAGTTCGAAATTTTACATCCCTCCTCCATCCATCCGTACGCGCCTTGTGGGTATCTTCTCCAGACAAGTGCTCTTCAGTAGACCGGGTTCGGTCGGTAACTACCATATGTCGCAACCCTACGATGACCAATACTGGTATATCCGACCTGTCGGAAGCAGTCACCCCAATCGATACCTGGTCGTGAGCGGATACACAGATGCAGCTCTCTTTGCCAGTTCCAGCGGGAGTGTGGGATGCTATGCACCCATCGGTAAATACGAGGACCAATATTTTGAGCTTCAGCAAGGTCAAGGAGTCAGATCAGACCAGTTTCGCCTTCATGTGCCTGCGACCAATTCAGTTATTTATTCACGAACCGATCCGGACCCTACAGTCGGGTGCTACCATGCGGATGGAGAACCCTACCCTGACCATTGGTTCAAGTTTGAATTGGAGCCATTGGACCTCGTCCGTACCGATTACGATGTCAAGAACGCGCGTATTCTGAGTACTCAACCGAAGACCATATTCTCGCAAAAGTCGAAGAATGATTCAGACCGGGAGCAAACCCCGACTATCTCGATAAGTGAGACGACCGGACAATCTTCTACTTTCGAAACTGAGGTTGGCCTCGAGTTAGGGGTAACTACCTCATTCAGTGCTGGGTTACCAATCGTGGCTGAGGGCAAGGTCGAAATCAGTGCGAAGATGCATACGAATTTGACAATCGGGACCACAAACACGAGCTCGCAGTCATGGGAAGCTACTGTGTCAATGAATGTTCCTGCGCACTCAGTTTATAGAGTTACCGCTACTGTAATAGAGTCAGTCCTTGAGGTGCCTTTCACATCGACTTGGAAGTCAAAGACATCTGGAGTTACTATGACAACTGAGGGAACATTCAAAGGAAACAGCTGTGGAGACCTATCGACACACTACTTTATAGACAACGAGTAGAAGTACGCAGTCTCCCCAAGAGAATAGTCTCGATTCGAGTCAGATTGAGCTGGTTTTGGTAAGAGCGATAAGAAACGACAAGAGATAAGAAGTGGCATTAAAAGGATAGAACTAAGCAAGTTAGAGTTAGCCATCTTACAGGATACAAGATATATAAGGAAGCTATTCTATGCGTAATCACTACGCGATTCTGAATCTACTCTTAGTGTAAGGGGCTACGCCTAAATACCGCAAGAAGCTACGCTCAAGAACTTTCTACTTCCCTATCTTTGTATCAGTATAGAGAGGATAAATACTGTGATAAGAATTGTAAAAGTACCTTGTACCTAAGATTCCACAACGCAAGACGCATGCACTTTTCAAGAAAATAAGGCGCGCTATAGCTACTTATAAAGCGAGCTTTGCTTATGAGAGGAAGAGTAAGAATTATTCCTTTTACTACTTATGTTTATCGCATAGATATACAAGCTACCTCTTACTATGTTTTGTAATGTGAAGCAAGTACTATTGTCTGTAGTCACGCCTTCTCACAATGTGCAAGGAGGATGCGGAGGTGCGGGCACAAACATCACTGGTAGACAAACGTGACAAGACAAGCTAGATCATCGGCACGATATCGGCTCATTTTTCACTGGTTGAGAATGATACTGCGCTGCATGAGGGTCTGGTGCCATGCATGGTTTGTCGTGCAGTGTCGACGGGAGGACCTCTTGGTCCAAGAACAAAGCAGCCAAACACACTCAGTCCTGAAGATATTGCCAAGATAGAGCGATGCGAAGACTCGTCATTAGCGAATAGGCAGGCGCGATTGTCTTGAAGTTCATATCTCTGTTTAGTACTATAGATATGAGCAGGTATAGCGTTGTACACTTTGCGTGCCGCTGACCTCCACTATTACTTGAGGCACACAAAGACCTTCCCTTCGCTGCGGGATTTGAAGATACATCGAGCAATAAGTCACGACTCTAATAGCTTCAATCTAACAACCGAATGCACTTCAAAGACGCTTTCTACTCAAACTACCGCCGACCATATACATCCTTCCTACTACTTTTAGAGCCCAAGCTTTCCCTCGGCGGAGAAGGCGTAAGCGGCTTTCTAGAAGAGGGTGGTCGAGGCTGGCTCCGCAAACTGGTAGGTTGAGCAATCCCATAACCCTTGCTACCCTCACACCGAGTGCGAGTGTGGAGGCGACTACCGCAGCCACTGCATACGTGAGGGTAGCGACAGTCGCTCAAATTCCTGCAGTCCCCCTCATTCCAAAAGTAACAAGGTCTAGTTCGTCTTCCTGTCTTCGTGGCGGAATCGAAACGAACCCGTTTGTCACGGCGGGCGAGAGGTGGCGATTCAGAAGCATTCCTGCGGCCAAGAACGGACAGTCGATTTATGGTGGATGATACGTTATCATGTTTCTTGTCGTGAGAAATGGTATTGTTGGTATCCGAACGGGAGTATTTGACTGTGCGCTGTGCAGAGATGCCTCGAACATCTTGAAGTCCAGATTCCTGTACGCTCGGAACTCGCTTGCGCTTTTGGTAATCGGCCAACGAGATGTGCTTACGCTTTAGATTAGCGGCCAACGAGATGCTTTTGCGTTCGCTGTCTCCGGTCTCCTCGCTTTCGTCTTTGTCTTCTTCTTCCAGCCCTTTCTCCTTGCCTTTTCCCTTGTACGCGCTTATGTCGTGATCTTCAGCGGCTCTCGCTTGTTCCTTTCCCTTGCCTTTGTGGGCAATTTCCGACTTGTCCTCTACCTCTTCGTCTATCTCACCGTCCTCCTTCTCCTCCCCAACTTCGCAATTGTCCCTCTCTTCAACGGCATTGTCATCTCCATCTTTATCCTTATGTGCTGCTAGTTCTTTGTTGCTTTGGTAGCTGCACGAAGATTCCGGCAGAACAATCATCTCTCCGGGGTGTACGATGTCACTTGACAAGGATGCGGCGGTTTGCGCTTCCCTCGTACATTCACTCGATGCCGCCATACTTGCAGGCTGGGTTGGTCGAGCCCATTGCGCCTTGCCGCAGACGGTGTAGAAATATGTTGAATCATTCTCATCTCTAGCACGGTACCAGCCCTGAGGAAGAATGACACATGATGCCGGCAAGAGCGAAAGTCGTGGTTCGCGAAAGAACGATAATGATAGCGATATTGGATAGGAAGGACCGAAGGCGATGATCTCTGCGCCACATCCTGGGAGACTAGTCTCGTCATCCAAGGGCGATGTGCCATCTTCACTATGATGTGAAGATGGCACTGGAGGAGCTGGACCTGAAGCTTGGCCCGAAGGGTTGTTCCTACGCTCCTTCGCCCTTCGCGCCGCTCCTGCGTTGTTCTTGGCCGACGCCTTGGAGTCCGGTCGTCGTGACGACATGGTGGTCTTTGTGACACGTGTCGGACGTCCCATTCGGTTATCTCTTTCTGGCGCCGGGCGCAAAGAAATACGAGCTGTGAGATTGTCGGAACGTTTCGAAGCCATGGGCGTTACTTCCGGAAATGAGGAACGGTCGCGATCGTGGGGTAGTGATGGGGATAACGGAGAAGATTTGAGGACATCGATTACTACAAGTGGAGAGAGCTGGTCAGAATTGGCAGGTGCGAATGAAATAACATTCACGCATCTCGGAGCTGCTCAGATGGCGAGATGTTATGAGCATCATGTCGACCCTCGCCAGTTGTGCACCAGTTATGGTTACAATGAATCACGTATTCCTGTGATAGCGGCGAAGTCTGGGAGGTTGGTCGAGGTTGGGCTGACTTACAACTCCTGTCTTGGAACATTTTCGATGTAAGAGGTCCCATGCTGGGGGAGCTGAGAGGAGCTCAGAAGTCACATCGACTGATGTTTATTATGGCAGCGGTGAGCTTTCGGAGGCTGGACAGAAGATGCGCATTTGATAGCCCACATACTCTTTAACTTGTTCTCCGGGTGAAAGTCTGAATTGAAGCCGTATATCCATGGAGCGCATGTTTGTTTGCGTTGGTGCATTGACCTTCATGCGATGAGCCGACGTGGCTGCAGTGTCGTCCCGTTCGTCAACGCCGCATCGCAAAAGTGAGTCGGCACGACTGTGAAAAATCGTACTGCTGTCAAAAGCGGGCTCAATCCATTGTTCATGGCCTTGACGAGTGGATCGAGAAGTGAGTCAAAGATGTTGAGTGATCAAGTTCAACCGCAATGCGCCACATCGTTTTGTTGTGCTCACAATGCGAAGTGGGAATTTTTTGCACTACGAGGATGATTCGTGCGAGGGACACCGGAGTGGGTGTCGTCGCAAACCTGCCTTATAGAACCCACGCCGGATATCTCGTACATAGCGCACGCTCAGTCGTGTTGTCTGTTTTGAGAGCATCAAAGATCGTGTGCTCCCAAACTCACAATGGTTGGATTCCAGTACATCACACATGGCAAAGGAACTGTTAGTTACCGTCATGCGCTCGAGCCGAAGGCACTACATATGCGCGTGTTACGAGTGACGACAGGGGTGCTTGGAAAAGCGACCAGGCATCTTCAAAGTGGTAACGATAACTGACAACCGGCAGGTGCTTTCAGAGGTTCAGCATGCGCCTTTGGATCTTAAGTTGAGTGCGATATCATCAGAGAAGCTCAAGATATCAGGCTTGGTGCTCAATCCAATTTCCTTACTTGAACGTGCGGTGATGTCGCGGACACTGTGGGGCGACTCGTCCGCTCATTGGCCGCCTTCCACCTTCACCTTCCTCTTTCCTCCAACGCTAGCTGCGCTCGCTACCGCTGGTGAAGTAGCTGCACCAAGCCACACCCAGTATGTATTCTTTGATTCTCTGCCACAAACCGTTCTCTCTTCTACACTCCACCCACTCCTCAACGCAGAAAAATAGAACGGCCAACGCGACGTCCAACAAACTCCCAGATCTAGCTCGGACAGGGCTGACAACGACCGCCATCCCCCACTCGCTTTTCTTTCACGTTTCCTGGCCATTACACTCTCCTCTTTTCTGATCTCTTTGCAATGCACCATGCGCAGAGCCACTTCGACGGCAATGACACAACTCCGTCAGCCAGGCTCGCGTATTCTTATCATTCTTTAATCTTATCAAAAGTTTCCCGCGAGTTTTGCTGCCTTACGTGGGCGAAAGTCACTAGTCCAGGTACATTGGACGATATGACTGACTGATGGGCTCGCCGGCAGAGAGTCTGATTCAACACGGGGGCAACTCGGGAGGCTGACCACCTCACTGCTGAGAATCTTCGACACACCACCAAGTGCCTTTCGGGAGGCCAGCTCGTGGCGCTGGGCGGCAGCCACAATGAACGAAGTGTACCTGTTACCAGGGAGCCGCCCATCCTTTTCATTGGTTTGTTGGACTTGTCCAATGATCGAGGAAGAGGAATCGTCTTCGGGTACCTTTTTCAGCACCTACTTTGGTCGTTATTCTGGTAGATCAGCACGGGTACTCTGAGAATCCAATATCGCCACACGCGTGTTCATTGTTGCTTTATGCCAGTGCACATAACACAAAACCTCTAATGTGTCTCTACCTCTTCGACATAGACGCGCTTCTTTGGTGAAAAAGAAGGTGATCAGCTCTTTCATTCTATGCCAGAATCGTGGGGCTTGTAGGCCGTTTGTAATGCTTTCTCGCGCTCGTCCACCGCGTTAAGTTGTTTACATAAGTGAGCCATACGACACACGCGACCGCGATTCGGTGTTTGGTAATCTTATACTTGGAAGAACCTGTTCGTTTCCACTTTGGTGTTTATTTACTCACAACAACAACCTTTGCCACAGAACAAGAGATGCCGCGTCGCAATGTCAAACCCGGCGGGAAGCAGCGAGAGTACGTTGAGATACTATTCGGATGAACGACAATCACTGACAACATGTAGGAAGCGCGGTGCAGGACGTATTTCGTTGTCACAGCGCAGGTTTCTCGAATGTCTGCGTAACCTACCCCAAGAGCTCCTGAACATGGTCTTCCGCTATATATTTCTTAACAACCACGCGCCCGACGTTCTATACAAACTTGGGCTGCTCACATCATTTTCTTCGTGATGAGATATTCAGCTGACACTGAAGTCTCAGATATCCAACGGGTATGGCGGACAATGTCACGATGAAGCCTTGGCTACCCAACTACGTCTAAAACTCGCTCGAAATCAACTCCACTCACTGGAAAGCTCTTGTCAAAGCAGTGATGGAATATCAGACATATATAGCACCTGCGTTTTCTCACAGACAGAATGGCAACATAGACATGGGTCAAGCCCTCATCACACCTACCGGCAGCTTCTTCGTGGGACACAAGCTACGTCCTTCGGGTGGCGAACGAACAATATGGTCAGATGGCGTTACCTCGGACTTGCAGGTCATAGCAACACCGTATGGCCGTTGGGGAATATTGGAGTGCTGGGAGCACTTCCATCCAGCAATGACATTCAATGTCCAAGCGCAAGCTGAGGCACTACATCTTGCCTCGTGGCCATGTGAGTCGACCTTGTACGCATAAAGTGCTTCCATACTAACATCGCTGGAGACACACCGGATGCAGCGGATCCTCAAGCAGAGCCCTTCGAATCTCTCGAGATAAACCTGGCGGCTGCAAGAGTATATGCTGTTAATAGCAATGCGCCACTCGTTTTTGCCTCAGTCGGTAACGCAAGGTTCCTTGATGCACAGGGGCTTGACCTCTCGGTCATCAAAGCAAAGTCGACGGAGGAACAGTCACTGCTGTATCACTTTTTCAACACCTCTGGGCTTGCTGAGACAGTACCTTACTCCACAGAAGGCGAGCAGAGCTGGGGTATCCTGCAGCAAATCTATGACAGCTTTCCAAACTACATCCCGAAAGTGGTCGGCACTTTCGTGCAGAGACGGGTCAATCCTACCTCGGATCTGTAGTCATTTAATCACGAGTATGTACTATGGTTATATAAAATACAGTCTTGCAATCGGTCCGTATGTTACCATGTGATGGTTTTAGTTGAGGGCGATCACCTATCACCGTTCACTCCTCGATGCTCACAACACTACTATCTCCATCACTACAACGTACCTGGGGTAGCGTTATTCTGCTCAACACTGGACTGGAAGCTTACCACTTATTCCTCACGTCAAACTCTGGCTGTGAGGTTGATCTTTCACGATATACCGCGGCGAACCGAGATCAATCGTTGATGTCAGCCAACACCATGCCTCCCTCACACAGGATCTCCACAGAAGACCCAGAACCACTCACTTGGCTTCTTCAATCATTCGCCTTCGGCAAAGACCAAAAGACTACCGGTTTTACGAGCCTGTTCTTGGATCGCGCGAACGCAGAGTTCGGGTTCATCCGGTATAATGCCTACAATGCCGCGGTCTTTCCACGCGATCCCGAAACAGATTCAGCAATGTACTTCCAAGCCGAGGGTGCGCGCGCAGCAGCTTGGAGGGAGAAGTGCAAGAAGTTCTGTGTCCTCTTCCAGCATCTGCAGCTTGACCTAGAGTTTGCTTCGCCAGATCTCGCTCGCTCGTTTCTGGACATGTTGGGAGACATTATGATGGCAGCAGGCAATCAGTTCTACACCTATGAAGTTCCGCCAAAAGGAGCATTCATGAGGGCCGACTTCGACATGGAACAGCAGGGCTTCACCGGCCGCGCTACGGAGCCTTGGATCGCGGTTCAAAACGAGTCATCCGAGTGGCCTCACCTTCGCAAAACAGATGAGTGGTCAGACTTCACTATTTTCGCAGGAGGTAGCCAGTTTCTGGTGCATCGCATCAAGATTTGCAAAGAATCAAACTACTTCAAAGCGGTATGCAGCGGTGGGTTTCGAGAAACCGTACAGCAATCTGTCGTCCTACCCGAATCAGCGCAAGTCGTATCGTCTTTGCTCGATGAGATGTATGGCATCTACAACCCTACGACCGGTTGAATCTTCACGAACTTCATACCCCGCAAGGCGATTGAAAAAGAGCATATGCTTAATCGACTAATCGATCTTTTCATTGCCGTGGACAAAGTGTGTCATGCCAGATTCTTACTCTTCTGGCCGCGACACTAACTAATTGAGCAGTACAACCTCGAAGCCATCAAGCGCAAGGCTGCAGAAGCCATCATCGACCGGCTCCCTTTCGTCAACAATGCGCTCATGATCGTCGATCTCGCCACTTACATATACCACGAGAGGTGTCCGGAGAACGATCGCGGCTTACGTAAAGCCATCATTGCGTGTGTTCGGACGAGGATGCCTGTTATACTAGGAGACGAGAGCGCGTGGAAGGAATTCTCAGAGAACAAAGATGTACTGAGAGCGTTTCATTTGCATACGTGTGAGATGGACGGTGTTGACGGTAGTAATGGTGATACAGTTGGGATTGGGGCTGGTATGACCACGCCGCCTGCTTCGCCGCATACGATGGCTGGGCGGTAAAAGTTAATGCGACGTAAGAGATCTTGCGCGTAGTAAGACTGTATTGGTAAAATAGGGTTGAGGCAAGCCAATGCGAGGTTTTACTCTGAGAAGGCACGATTCATCTGCATGTATATGTAACAAGGCGATTGTCCTAATCTGCCGCATATATCGATGAGGCTGCGGCATGCTGATGACAATACCTTCGACCTTGAGCGTACTCCTGTATGTCGCTACAATCTGGTGCTTCACATTCGTGATTCGCGCAATGCTCGCGGAGACCGTCTCGGACGAAGTATTGTTTCCAACTGCGAAGGACTCCAGGGTCGAACCAGTCCCAATGGCCGTACTCTTTCCGTGTGTTTGGACAACTCAGATGAATGCAAGTATTGTTGTGGTCGAGACAGAACCTTTCGTTTATGCTTTTGATAGCCGAGCACCCCGACTTGGTACATTGAGCGTGGTTGTGGCATAGGTCAGACGATTCGCGGTGGGGATGAGGACACCCTTGAGCGGCGCAACGGTGGTGTAAACACAAGGCGAACATTTGGTCAGATGTCTCCCCCCCCCCTGTTATGCGTAGGTCACAAACAACCGGACGCATCACATGTGTGCGCGATGCAGTAGTAGCAACCTTGAGAATAGTCTGCCCCGAACTCGCTACAAGTAGTTGTTGTGATCCTGCAAACATAATACGCGCAGGCTGTTCGCCCGTCAGACATGGGCTGCGAGCAGCCTGGATTTTGGCAGCCATGGGCTCGGCAATACGGAGTTCCTGCTGCGAAGTTTGATTGCTTTGGACAGTCGAGAATGCGACAGGAATACCAATGATTAGCACAGAACGGGGAGTTTTGTTGATCGCTGTCGGGATGGTGCCTCGGTGTACTACAGCCAGCTTTTAGGCAATTCATAGCTTGATGGGACCAAAGGCAGTGTTCCAAGTCCGAGTGTAGTTGTTGAACCACAAGTACGACGTAGACGTATGCGTAAACCAAAGGACGGACGTAGAAATATAACTAAACCAAGCGGCTGAAACATCGGGCAGCTATGCGTTTTGAGGCTTGATTGCTAAGGTGATATCACCAGCCTCGCGAATGGGCTGTTGGCTAGCTGCCCAACACGACGACCTGGGTAACAGTAGTGGCTAGGCGTTTTCATCGTGATAGAAGTTTCATTCTACCAAAAAAGCCCTCCACAATTCATATTGGCGGGTCCGATCGTGCCTTTAGAGGTCAGGTATCTGTGCTAGGTTGGGATGCGCTGACCGGTTTTCACACAGCCTGAACCAATATGCATCTGTGACGGCATTATGCCTTGTTTTGAGCTACCGCATTATAAAATCTTTGCGCTAGGTCATGCTTGCGCACCGCTTCTAGGAGTGATGTTGAAGCACACCTATCGCGGTGGTAAGATGATATTGTTGTGAAGTCATGCCTTACGGGCGGTCGCTGATTGGTCGGATCGTCGCACTCCAATTCTAAACCGTGCGGATTGGGATTCGTCTTCATCAAAGTAGGCCCGGGTCGCAGCATTATAAGGCTTCGATTGCTATCAGCTGGACAAGAGATGTTCAAAGCCTGATAGCTTAAGACTATCGCGACTATCGATAGAAATTAACAGGAGTATCATATAAAACTAGTCAAGTACCCAAGATAGACTAGCTCTAGCAAAACCCGAAGGGGAGCATTCATCCATTATTGAGATCATTGATATATCCATTTATTAAAGAGAAATCCCTCTTGGCCAGAACCAGTTGTTTCACTGCTGTTTCTCTTCTTGTTTGAGGAAGGGGTGATCGTTATGCGCTCCTCAGTGTTCTTGAGAGGGGAAGAGATGTTTGGTCTATGCTTCGTGGTATTTCTGAGCGTAACATGAGGTATAGCTACGGGCGTATGGTGTGCCGGGGGCTCTTCACGTCCTCTGTCCCGTGCTTCAAGCTTGCCGAACAGATCCGGGTCTGTATCGCTCATTGATCTACCCAGAAGGCGATTTACAAAGCTTCCAAAGACAGAGTTCTTGAGCTTTCCAGGCATCGTCGAAAGACTGGATTCAGCTCCCGTCGAATCGAAACTTTGTTGTCTCTTTGGCACTAAAGGCTTTTTCATTGTGGAACGGTTTTCTGGTTTCAGGAATGTTGTACTGCTTTGATTCGAGTCTCCTGTGTGGTGTTGGACTGAACTCTTTGCAGGGTCAAGATTCTCAAAACTGCTTTCTCGATGGCACTTAGAGATATCTTGGCTGGAGGGTGGTGCTCTGCCTCGCACTTGATTGATTTCTAGTCTGGGAAGTCCTACTCCCACTGCACAGCTTGCATCCGATTTTTTTGCGCTACTCTGCTCACTGACAGATGCAGAATGCCTCGGTGATGGTGTCCGGTGAATCAGTACTTGTGGCTCTTGGCTGTTCTCATCCCCAGTATAACCCTCAAAGAAATGGTGACATTCCTCGTGAACCAGCTGTCCTTTACCGACCAGCGTTCTGGTTTCTGATCCGAGTGGTTTATGACACCAAGGACAGGGATAAAGCTCCTGCCAGTAACGGTGCTCGGGATCCTTGCAGTAATGGGGGAGTAAAACGTAGTTCCCGGTGCACCACTTGCTGCACTCGATGGCTTTCAACAAACGTTTGACATTGTAATAATATGACGGTAAGTAGACCATATCGAGATTGGATGTGCCTCTCGTGTCTGTTTGCTCGTCAATCATACGAAGGCCGTACACTCTGCGGCTGGATCTGGAAACGAATTTGAGAAGTCTCTTAGCAAGATGGTAACCCTCGGCGCAGAGTTTGCCATGTCGACGGAAAACCTCTAGTGGATTTTCGCAAGAGAAGCAAGCACACGCGTGCTCTTCAAAATTCTTAGCAGCTTCATCTTGGTATGGACTGAGTTGTTGTAGTACGAGCGTGTGACTAGCAAACTTGCCAGTGGCGTCGTGGAGATATGATCTCTCATCATCATCGGTTGGACGATAGTATTCCTGCCCGAATGCAACATCCGGATGACGTACCGGTGTGCTCGATACGTTCGGATGATTTACGATTGCTTCTGTGTCGTCGACCAAATCAGAGCTTGGTAGAGTATTATGCTCTATCTCCGTCTCAAGACCACTCTCTGGTTTCCAGATGCTAGCATCAAAGTATGGAAACGGGAGTTCCGGCGCGGAACGTTCGTCTCCCTCGAAGAAAACATTGTCAGTCGAATCTTCTGATGTACCTTTGAACCGTGCAGCTCTCTGGTCAATCAAAGAGCTGCTGTCAGTCTCAGCAAAATGGTCCATTCTGCTCAGAGGAGTTGAAATTCTCAATTTCCCTGGCAGTATGGTTTGTATATCTTGACCAGGATCTTGCATTTCGGAAGGTATTTTTGTTATTGTTGATTCCGATGTTTGCGGAGCGTGCAACGGACCTATTGATTGGTCTTCGCTTTCTTCTGACAAGGACCACGAATCTCCAGAAAGATCGTCCTCATTTTCCTGGCAGCACAATCCTTTAAACATGTGTTGTACGGACGAGTCAACACAAGTCTCTCCGATATGGTTGTCAAGAGTGTGGATATTCCAACGGTCTGTTGGCTTTCGTTGCAGCATATTTTCAATCCAGGTAGACGGGATGAGATCACTTGGTGGTCCTGGGGAGCATCGAAGGATTTCGATCCATTTTGTATTGGCTTCGAGATTCGAATGGTACTCATTTGCGCCAGAACCATTAGCGGTCATGTGTATCCGTAAATCCTCAAGCGTGTGGCATCTCAGCACTGTCCACATCTCCAAGAAAACGCAGCCGAATGACCAGATATCAGATGATGAGTTGCGTTCAGTGTATGCGATAACTTCAGGGGCGCAATATCGAGGGGTTGTGGGCGGTGCCGTCAATGTTATGCTGCTGCCTCGATCGGACCAATCAAGAGCTGTTCCAAAGTCGGTAAAGTATACTTGATCGCCCTTAATTAGTACATTTGAGGGTTTGATGTCCTTGTGTCGAATGCGATTATCGTGCAGGTAACATAGTGCGGATGTCAAACAACCAAAGAAAGGTCTCAAGAAAGATCGAGATCCTTCGTCAAGATGCGCCCTTTCTAGGAACGTCTGTAGGTTTGTATCGGCAACCGGAAGCATAACAAGGGCCACATATCTATTATCCGTGTAACTGCCGACCAGCTCGACGAGGTGCTTATGCGACAATTGCTTGAGATTCGATAATTCATTTGTGAAACTTTTCAAGACCTGCTTGTCCTTCTTAAAGGTTCTTCCTCTCGGTATGAGTTTTCTTGCGTACTCCTGATGACTTATGGTGCTAATGACACGGTCGACGAATCCGAATCCGCCCTTGCCAAGCTCTCCTACCTTCTTCAAGGGTACCTCTGTAGAATCGCTGAAGTGTCCATGGGGTGCGTGTCGTTCGAGATTAAGTGCATCTTTGTTGTAGACAAGGTGCTGCAACTCGAGGAATCGAAGTCGTGCCGAATGATCGTGTAGCGCTTCCGGTAATGTATTCTTCGTGAACGGAAAGTGGACATCCGTGATGTCGCTGTCAATGAATGCGTCTATCGCATCTAGCCGGTCAATCTTTCGGAGAAGGCTATACAATCTCGGGACAAGACTCCAACGTTCTCGTGCACATCGCGTCAAGACGTCTGTGATGCCGCGAATGTCGTTTTCAGTAAACGGCGTTAATGTGTTTCCAGTGTTGGCTGGGAACCATCTCCGTAGAAGATCGTCTTCGAAGCTTTGCAGGGCCATTAGGCGGATTCATGTGAGAGGAATCACCACTCAGGCGGGAAATCGTTAAGCGGAGGTTCGTATAGGCCAACGTCGCGAAGAGATCGAAGTAGTGATCCAATGCGCATTTGTTCCGTGTCTCATCAAGAAACGACAACTGGGATAGTGATAATTTGGCGGTAGTGGTAGGATGAGTGACGGGGAAGGGCAGCGCCTGCGCGAGGCGAAGGATAGAGGGGGCAATAGAAACCGCCCCCAATCGTGCTGACCAGTTCATGCAGCCCCTCCATCTATTTGTTATCTAACTAATCAAAGCGGCATGCGCCGCAATGATCCCTTCCAAACACCAACCATCGAGAAACTTTGATAACGTTGCAATTATACTCAACAAAAGAACGAGCGCATCGCTCGTGGACAGCTCCCATGATAACCGGTCTCGCATTACACACCAAAAGCTCCCGGCATTGCATCTTCCACAATTCAGTACGTTATCGCAATCATCATATCGCGTAGCGTCGACAGGCACAAAAAGGAACGGAAACCCGGTAAAGCTTAAAAACGATTGCAGTTGGAAATCTGTTGTGGGCGGTCAGGCAAGGTGGTGTCTCTCATTACGGGGGAGCTCCCAACGCCACTTTCCTGTGCTCCCATGTCCTGGCCTATATTGGGTATAGCGCCATTACTCCTTCGTATTAGCACAAAGAATGTCAGCTCAAGAGAACATACTTCTAAACAGTAATAAACCTCGCCATCCAAGTCTCCGTAATCTGCTTCGCCTCCTCCACAAGCCCCATATCAAGCAAGACCTGCACAGTCCCCCTCGTCGCACTCTCCAACGCACTAAAAATCCACGTATGCGTAAACGTCGCCGCCTCCCCAATGAAAACAGTATTATACTCGGTCTGGTAAAAAGCCGGAAGATACAAATGCTGCTGACCAAAAATCTGCATGGTAAAAGCTCCAGCCTGATGCTCATCCTGCTCCCAACACTGTCGCGCATAGTTGCCCGTCCAATTTTCCTCAATCACATCTCGGCCGTGCATTTCGATAAAGGCGTGTTTGATGTAGGCCATGTGCTCGGCTTCGGGCATGGCACAGGCGACTGTCGCTTCGTAGTCGGAGAGGTAGGAGGCGAGCATGGTTCCGGGGCCTGTGGCGTTGATTTGCCAGGACGGGTAGCAGATTTGTCCGAGTTGGGGTTGGTATAGACGTGTGCACCCGCCGATGATGGGCTGCGGGAGGTGCTCCCAGAAACGCGTTTTGAACTGCACGGCGACTTTGCAGGCGTTGGCGAAGAGGGTGCGGTCGATGGCGCGTTTGAGGAGGCTGGAGTAGCGGGGGAGATGCCAGAATTTCATGAGGTTCAGGGGTACGCTGTTGAGAACGTAGTCGAAGTTTTCAATGTTGTCTGGTGTCATGAAGGCGTCGGCTCCGGTGGGCTTCCAGGATACGGACATTGTTTTGTTGTTGTCGTTCCAGTGGAGGCCGTTGATCTTGGCACCGTATTGGACTTTGTCCTTGACTAGTGGCTCGAAGGCTGCCGGCATCCTGGAGAGACCGCCTTTGATGGTTACCCATTTGGTGGCAAGGAAATAGACGGTCTCGTACTCCCACATAGGCCAGTAGATGTGGGATTGACCAACCTCATCGGTGGTGTTGAGATCGAACTTCAGCTTGTTGCGGAGATAGGCAACCTCGGAGTAGTCGAACATGCCGTCGTCTTTGGCCTGCTTGTAAGCTTTGAAGATGTTGGTGGCGTACATCTTGACGCGCTCCTTGTCCAGACCCTTGAACTCGTCAAGGGCAGCAATGGCGTCCTCGGCAGCAGTGGCATTGCCATATGTTGTCGGGTTCTTATATGCGGGATCATTTGCTATCTCAGTCCTGCTGGGAATGGTTCCATCGGGACGGCGGAAGGGACTATCGGCGGGAGTGTTGGGAGAAGTCTGGATCCATTCGATAAAGTCAACAAGAAGGTCCTTGTTACCACCATTACGCTCATTGAGAACTTCGGCCAGTTGGAAGATCATGCGTTGATCGTTGAAGGGAAACGTCTCGTTGGTCTCGGAATCAGTGATCTCGTATGGGAAACGCATGGGTCCAAGCTCATGGTATTGGCCTTCATCCGGAGAAGTGCCGTTGAGATAGACTGTACGAATGCGGCCACCAATACGCTGAGATGACTCGAGGATCTTCCAGTTGTGGATGCCAACAGAGTCTAGCAACAGCTGTTGGTAGTTTCATTAGCGTACTGTTGGTATTCCTCATATTTTGAGTACCTACAGATGTCATGAGCCCAGATATTCCTCCGCCAAGGATACCGAAGGATTTGCTCTTAGCTGAGGCTACAAACACCTCATCCGGCTGCTTCTGCTGCAAGTATGCAACCCCATCGAACCAGTTACTGTCGACTCCCGCGACATCGACAAACGACTTCTTCTCACTGCGGCGAGTGCGACGCTTGCTGACAATAACCTCTTCTGACTTCCCGATGAGCTCTCCATCAAGGAACGCATGGAGACATCCGGCGGACATCTCGGCTGAAGTCAACCAGACAAACTTGTTTGGCCGCCTTTTCTCGTGTTCTTCATGGCGTTTAGCCAAAGGATGAGCGCCAACATGTGTTCGGCCGATATGTTGCTTTGCAGATAGGATGGAAGCACCAGTGTCACATGCTGCGTATGTGATTGTGAGCTCACCATCGACATCTCCGACATAGTCAACGACGATGTTCTGAGCGCTTCCGGGTGTAGCTCCAGTTAAAGGAGCAAAGGTAACTGATGGGTGGCTCAAAGGCTTGGACTCGGAGAGCGAAGCAATGCTTGCCAGAAGTGGCAGCAATTTGATAAAGGGCGGCATGCTGGTTGCTGATGTAGGATGAAGCCGCTGGTCAACAACATCTTGTAGTGGTATCTCTCTATGCCTTCTTATGGATCTTCCAGAAGAACTCCTTGGCAAGCCAAGAATCGCTGGTATCTACCTTGATGTCCTCCATATCCACTGTTGAGTATCTATCAGTCATCCCGCAATGTTATCGTGCACCGCCTTGGGTTTTTCTCCAGGTAAGCTCACCGAAGAGCCGCCGGCAAACCGCCGGGGTCATGTTCGCTATACCATTAGCTCAGTGCCTCTGGTAAAGAGGACTACTGGTAGTTCTGAATGTTTGGGACCATCTTCAAGAACTCTAGGCCCCCAGTTACGAAGTTCTTTGGGTTATCGCCTGCAGCTTCGTGTCTAGATCCACCCGCGTAGTCCGGTGTCCGCATGCTCGGGGTCGGCATATCTGGATCCGATCAATGATTGGAGCGGGCAATATCCTTGAGTCTTGGCCGATGGAAGTAGACAAGTGTAGGCGATCGTGACGGTCCGTCGGCTGGGCGCTACCATGCCAAGAGCAAAATGGTAGAATGCCAAGTACACCTGAGTACAATCAGGTAGTTTTCCCGCTCCGAACGACGGGCCCATCAACCCAACCACCACCTACGGCATAGATACTGTGATATTCTGCTGTCATCATTTACAAGGTGCCAAGACAGTATCGCGGAATATATCAACTTTCAACGTTAGTGTACTAAATCTCTGCTTTTTATTTTTTTTTACAACACCGCACAGGCCTGTAGCTTCAATCGCTACTTTCGCCCTTTTGCAAGTCTCTCAAACGACTTCGTTTGATCAATCCGTCCTCTGAAAACTGTTTCTTTCTCTACTAGGCCCTCCGACAACGCCCATCTTCTCTTCGTCAGTACTGCGCCTTTCGCCTCTTTCAGCCTCTTCGCTCTCTTCCAGTACCTGGTTGTTTGGGTTTGGTTCTACAACCTGACCGTGATTACCACCTACCGACTCCATAGTGAACGGACTCGCAGTCGGCGCATCAAGAATTCCCAACTCCTCCTGCGTAAAGAAGTTGGGCATCAAGAATGTTCGCATCGGGATATACAACAAGATGAAGACGGGGAAACCAATGGCGGCAATAGTTTGAGTGATCGCAAACGTGGCACCAAAGCCGATGAGTTCGAGGCCAACGAAAGCCCAGATCACCCATCGGCGCTTGATCTGTTTCAACGGGTCGGATCGTGGTGTAAGGTGCTTGTCCTTCGCGAGAAAGACAAGCTTCGCCGTAATGCCATTTGCTTCCAGTGCCTGAATGCCCATAACGAAGAACAAGCCTGCTAACACAGCTTGTGGGATAAGATGCAGAACGATGAGAAGAGGTCCGCTCATAGTACCTAGCGTCAGAAGTCCTTGCGCGAGGTTCGATACTCGCTGCTCTACCACGTGGTCGACAACCCGCTTGGCATGTCCTTTGTTCTCTTCGTCGTCCGAGTCGGACACAGTGCGTGTGACGCAAAGCGACGTGGTGTGGAATGGCGCCTGCGGGATGAGGCCGTTAGGGAACGGGATGCCTAGTAGCCCGGCAACTCCAGTTGTTATGCCCAAGAGGAATATATCCCAGTGAAAGCCCGCTGGTTTGCGTAACGGAAATTCCGTGCCTTGCGCGATTAGACTGGAAACGTTATGGTCAAACCAGAAAAGAATGGTCAACAGTATGGCGAACGGAATAGCGAGAAAGACATCACCAACACTTATGTCCCAGAAGTGTATGAACCATCCGCGATCCGTGGTCGGAAAGAAGGCTTTCGACGTAGGTAGCTTGAGCAACTCAATGCCAGCCATCTTGCCAATGTGCACGAAACCAGTGAAGAAGATGACTGTAAGTGGTGTGCCATAGTCTTCGACAAACTTTCGAACGTGCCGCTGAAGCAGGGATGATTGCCCAACGATGCCACAAATGTATGCGACCGCGGTGACCAGCAAAGCAATCACGATTGAGAGATATGCCGACGCGTCATTGACAGCCCATTGCCTCGTCAAGACCTGTATCCCCTTTTGCAGATATATGAATGCGACGTAGAAGCCGAAGATGTCGCAGGAAAAGCGCGTGACGTATCGTAAGCCGTTACAGGAATTCGTGAACGCGAGAATCCAATGAAAGATCAAGGACCATATGCCAATCCAGCACATGAATGCGAAATAGTTGGTTCCCCGTGGGGTAATGATATCGTATACGGTGTAGTTGAAGACGGTGATTGGTCCTGTGACGCCCACGATGACCAGCGGCTGCGCTGCTGCGAGAGAGAAAACGACAGATGCTAGCGCTGAGGCAAGAAGAACCTCATTGACACCAAAACTCTCATTCGTCTTTTCAAACATGTCCAGCGAGAAAGCGAGCGCGGGCAAGATGTTCGCAAAATACATGTAGACTGTCGCAGGCACCACACGATAGTCCCACGCATCTTTCCAGTCGCTCCAATAGAACGGTGCTCGTCGCCGCACATCGTTTATCATGCCACTGAACAGGCGTGTCCTCCACCAAGCATTCTTGCTTGAGGCTGCAGTTCCGCGCGACTGGCGCGTGTTCTCCCGATGGAGATGGTTGTTCGATGTGGCATGGCGCTTCGAAGGGCGAAGCATACGCGACTTCCACGACCTGTTCGCGTAATTCGAAGACATTGGTTCGTCCATGGCGAGACCGTGGCCCTGGGTGGGTACGCTACGGGTATTTTGCTGCAGGCGGAATTATAACGGAGATGTCGTCATGACCGGACAATCTCTGCAGATATGGGCGTTTTCCTGGCGATTGAAGCACGAAGATCAAAGGTCGTCCCAAGGAGTACGTATTTCTGCGAGGCCATGCGAACAGACCGAGAGATTTGCCGCCATGACAGAAGGTCGGCGAGCTTGTATATGTATGGTAAGTGGAGTATAGCATCTTCACACCGCTGTCGCCGGCTTTGCGGCGGCAATAATTTTAGCGCGGACAGGCTTGGCAGGTGCCTGATGTCACCAACACTACAATCTAAGCATGCACCGGCTCTGCATAGCCGATACGACCCTTTCATCTCAACAGCTGACTTCGATCGGAAAGTGACTACGAATCGTACATCTCCATCTTGTTTTTCGGTGTTCTCGCCTGAACGCCTTGTTGGCACCGATTGGTCAAGCCGTATCAGCTCCAAGGACGCGGAGGTCTCTCATCGACACCACGATACGGCGTATACGGTGCGACCAAGAGCACGCGCTGGTTGACCAACGACAGCCATTATCGCGCTCGATATCGCCATTGTCAAGTTTCGTAACCCTCCCCAATGCTACATTACTTTGCAAGGACTACTCCAAACGCCTCAATCATGTAATCATCCTACACCGAACTACAGTCGAATAGGCCTTCAGGCTCCAATCATCTCACAAATCCACACCTTATACCAATCCTTACGGAGTCCACTTCGACGCTTACGCTGATACGCAGCAGCCAGCGCTGTAGCAAGAATGCAATCTAAGCATTCCCTTTCGATGATGAATTCTGTCTCTGTACAGTCCGCCAAGAACCATTGTTGCACAAGGCTAGCCTTCAACACTGCTATCTCCACCTCTCCGATTTGATATCGAGTCAAGTTTCTGCTTTATACTTTTCTGACAACGTCGCTATTGGTAGGTGTATGGGTCATCGAAGCTGGATTGCAGTGCTCGAATATAGTCGTCCATATGAATGATCGAATCGCGGACGCAGGCATGATCTGATATACCCTGCCATCCGCCTGGGACGGATCCTTGAGCTCGAACCGAACCTCTAGCGCTGTCGCTGTTTCGCGTACGACTACGTTAACGTCCTGGAAATTCAGAACCTCCCCCCCCCCGGCAATCCAGACGCTACGGCGATGTCTAACTCAGATGCCATATATTCATCTGTCATAGTCTGGTATGAGCCTTCATGCAGCTGGATGGTACTTACCGTGACAGTCACCCGGCCCGACAAATGCCCCGCGTACGACTGTCTGAATGTACTGTAATAAGTACACATCCCAAAGTTGCATACCGCACTCTGTGAATCCCCCTATTTAGGCACACGACCAGAGAAGAGCCGCAACGGATCTTTTAGCTGATTGTAAATCTGATGACGAGTATCAGCGAGCGATCTCAGCTGCTTAAAGGTTGTCAAGGACAGAACCACGCGACCGGTGAGGCATTATCACTCCCTCCAAGGCTACCATATCAGGCTTTAGGCGTTTGATACGACTACTTTACCGCATAATTCGTTACGCGATACTGCTAGACCCCACACTAGCTTCGGATGCACCAGAACACTGTCTATCTAGACCTATCATCTCATTCATCAGTATGAAGCGTAGTTCACGTTCGACTCATTCCATTCTAACTTGCCTTTTGGTGTTCACGCGCGACCGCCTTGCGATGCGCCCGTCATTCCTTATCATCGAATCATATCAGCCCCAAGGATGCAGTCGTCCTTCAACAACGCCACAATATATTTTGTGCGAATGAGAAGCCTGTGATTCCTCACCGGCAATGGGCATCATCCACAAAGCAACAGACGCAGACCATTTGATGCCATCCTTCAACTATGATGCACAGCACTCCATCAGGCTGATCAACTCTCGCAATGAGATCCCAGCCCTAATCGTTACCGATTCGCATCCACCGATATTCAGTTCCTCTCTTCCTACTGCATAGTGTTTGATATAACTGTAGAGTTTAAGGTCTCAATGGCGAGTAAGACAATCAGAATCATCCATTATCGAAGCCATGAAGGAGAGATACAATGTCACTATGCGTCTAATGCCACAGGCTAGTAGCGAACTTGAGGACTGCGCTTCACTTTCCTACGAAGATGCTTATAGGCCTTGAGAGATGGGGACGTAGCACTCCAACTGAGACCCTAGCTTATTTCGCGCATCCAGCGATTAAATGCAGCCACTTCTCCGCCTGATCACGAGCCAGCCTTGTCAACAACAACAACATCCTGCTAGGCTACTTCATATCGGCAGATCTTCTTCAGAAGCAAATTCGTTTGCATATGCTTCGGTATCAAGGTAAAGACCCTCTGCGTTACTGCGACATTATCCTGTCTCAATAAAAAGCAGTAACGCACCACTGACTACACACCAGGAAACCAGCCTGATCAGTTCCTCATCTGCTATCCCACCCTTGGCTCCACCGTTTGAACTCCTCTTCCAAGATCTCCACACATCCGCCGCCGAAACACGACTCGAGATGCCATATCCTAACAACTGCCGTCTCTGCCGCAACACGCGTCGCTTGCCGACAGCGTGCACTAACTGCAACGGCACGGGTAGACGACCCGCGCAGTGCCAGGCATGTCGTGGCACTGGCACTCTACCCGCAACAGATCGCATACACGCGATACAATGTAGAGCTTGTAGGGGATCAGGCAGCTTGATTGTGACATGCGCAAGGTGTACGGGCCGGGGAAAGAGCACCAAGCCATGCAGTTGTTTGGGTCCAGCCTGAATCTGCATGTGAAATTCATAAAGGCGGTGGAGTTGTAACTGCTACTGTAATACTTGATCGGAAACCGTTACTTATGCGAGATGTCGCTATTCTTTACAGACGCTTTCCAGCTAGTCAGTTTGTCATCTAAGATGCTGTGGCTCTTCTCCAATCCTTCACCGTTGAAGTATCCAGGGTTGGAATTGAGCAAGTGGGTCTCTAACATCTTTGATGCCCTGTCTGGAGGCATGCACTTCTACGAGCCTTGAAACAATACTACATACAGCGCTTCGAGCTACTCTATACACCCCGGTATGACTGTTCGAGAAATGCAAACACAGGCGAATACGTCACTTCTTGAGGCAAATGCGCATAGTCGTAAATAGAAACCAGACCACGCATAGGCAAAGGGGCAACTACAGTAACCTTGCGATGACCAGCGCGAGGCCGGCGCAAGAACAATTCCGACGAACATGCGCTGATTCGCTGCTCTACTTCAGTGGGGTGATCAACACCAATGAAAATACTGGATGCACCCAGGTGTGCGACGACTGTGCCTCAACTACGCGCCCGGGATGTGCGACGTTCGCCGGCGATCCCTCAAAACTACACCTCTTATCCATTCTCCTTCTAAACACCTTGACCCACATACATCGTAAACGATCCACAAAACCAGCCTTCAACAACATGGCGCACGATCGGGCAGCAGCTCCTTCCATTGTTGGGTCTGAAACGTGGGATATCTGCACACCTTCCGCATCTTCCGAGAATACCACAAAGAACGCTTTAGGTATCGAAATGCCACAATCTTCTTCCATCCCGTGGCCCGGGCGAACCTTCATCATTCGATCTCATAAAACGGGGCAAGTCATCACGTTCTTGGACGGCGAAGTCGTGATGGACAAACCAGGAGGCCTTGGTACTTTCAAGTGGCGATGCGTCGAGGAGAAAGGATGGATGGGGTTCAAGGACCCGGCCTCTGCGCAATATCTTGGTTATCATGAACATGGACTTCTGTTCTGTAAAACCCCTCATCATCGAAACAACGAATACCTATGCCCCCGAATGCGCCCAGAAGGTGGATTGGTTCTACTAGTACGTCAGGGTGACCATCTTCGCCCCTAGGGTGTATTCGCAAACGAATCGGAAAAGGGGATCAGACGGAAGGTTAAGATTATGGACTGGAGCTCTGAGGAGATTGTGTGGGATTTCATTGAGGTACAACATTAGGAATGATGACGATTACTGAGGCGGATATTTTGAAGGAGACGTACGCTATGCTGGGAAATACTACGCTAGTACAGCTACCCCTTTGTTGGTGATGAAGCAGGTGCAGATCTTTGTCAGCTTGTACCAGAGTGTTGTGCCTGATATTCTAATCCGCAAATTTTATGGGTATTCAATGATTATTGCAGCTTCGGTATACCTCCTTAGTGAGAGTCACGCTAGACAATAGCAAGCTTACTTGCTTCTTGGGAACCTTGATAGATACGAAGTACAGTCCAGAGTCGGCTGGCACACAGGGGATAATACGACGTTAAATGACACTTGTCTAAACTATTTCGAGTCTCTCCTTCGAAGGAAGCATAACGTAAGTCATAGCATTAGGAGTATAAGTTTTTAATGATGTAGTCTTAGCGCTAAATCTTTAGAGGTCTTATTTAATGCTAAAAGGCGCCGTATACAATGCATTTGTTCTTTGGAGAGTTTGTCCTTGCAAGCCTCCCCGCTTGTGTCTTTAACCGAAGCTCTAAGAGTCGCTCTTGTGTCTAGAGCTAGCGCTACAGGAGAAGATCTTCTTGCACTCTTCTTAAGTACTCTTGCGTCTTGACAAAGGGGCACTAGAGCGCAGCGCAAAGCTGCATTTGAGAGATGGTAGAGTCAAAAACCGTCTTGTCGAGAACGTAGTGTTGAGAACCAGGAATCTAGTGATGAGGACTTCTCGGGCATGGAAAACATTCCTGCACTTGGCAAACTGTATAGATTCTGTATCTAACTGAGCAGCTTCGCGACGGAACAAACTTAGCGCGAACATGCTTAGCAGGCCGGCTCCTTCACCCAATAGAGACAGGCCGCAACAAACTCAACTCTGCGCTGTTACATGAGACATGTGGCATAGTAGCGTTAGCGCGGACAGCGAGGTGGGAAAGCCGATGTTGCATGGTCAAGGATACTTCTTTGGACATCATGGGTACGAGCGTTACCGTGGCCCGCGGCAAGGTACGCCTTCAACACGACGCATCTGGACGCGTATCTTCGCGTTTTTCCTTCTTCAGAGCTGCAACACGATCACGGCGACAGAAACGCCTCGACGCTATGTGAGCATCGCTCTGTGTTGTATGGAATGATGATGCCGATGAAGCAGTCGAAATTGCCGTATGGTCTCATATTACTAGCAGCAGGCCAAGGATACTCGGCAACTGCGAGTTGTGCCATCCTCGCAACAATAAAGAATGCCAACTGACCGGCTGAAGGGCAATTTAGGGGATGTGACGCCTGATCACAAAGCTGCAGGATGATTACGATGTTTACGTTACTGCATTCGAAACAAAATGCAAATGCGAGTCCAAGTACGTCACCGGGAATGTTGGAATGCAAGTTCCATTTCCCACTTCACCTTGCAGCTTCTGCCAGAGGTTAACCCCGCTCTCATTTAATAACAAGGCTAGCTAATCAGCACAAACCTCAGCTCACTTCATGAGCCTAATCTTATCACACGACGTCCTGTAAGAAGAAGCGATGGCATATTAGCCTACAGTTGGCAGATCCATCGCTCAGCCACGGTTACAGCCAACCAACCATGTCGCTCAGCAAGCACACGTACTGTAACGCGACATGCAGAATTCATTAATTACTTGTGTGCGCATCAATGGACAGTCTTCACCGGTTTGTGCGACTTGGCCACCCCGCCACTGCGTAGGATTGCTTCAGCCACAATAAGGCCACTGCCTAATCTTGTTTCCAACAGCTCCACGCCTTCTCTTATAACACAGACGAAGCCTGTGCTTCGCTACATCTCTTGTCACGTCTTTTGCTCACTTTGAGAAATGGTTTTGCTAAGCTAGGACGATGATTATCGACAACTCCGAAGCGAGAGGTCGTCTGCGTTGCGATCTTCGCCGTGACAAAAGCACGTCACTCGGGCTGGTTCCGCTACCTCCCTTCAACTACGAACCTCTTCCTGACAGGTGTATTCGGGTATTGGAACTTCAACCTGGTGGGCGCGCCAACCCGTTCCGTGGCCGTTTCACCATCGTATCGATCAATGGTGAAGACAAATTCGATGCTCTCTCATACATGTGGGGTGATGCGTCGCCCGTAGATAACATTGTTGTCGATGGCGCAGCTATACCAATAGCCTGGAATCTCACAAGGGCATTAGAATATCTGCGGGATCAGCAGGGCTTGGAGATTTGTAGGATCTGGATAGACGCAGTATGTATCAACCAAAAAGATGAGAAAGAGCGTGGGCATCAAGTTGCTATGATGCGTTCAGTTTACAGCAACGCGGACTGTGTTCGGGTCTGGATCAACGCACCCGACCTAGAAGAAGAGAGTGAAGCATTGGCGGCGCTCAAAAGCTTCGAGCTAGGCGCGGAAGAAATGAAGTTTGGTCTAGGCGACGACATAAAATTCTGGGAGCCTTTAGAGCCAATCTTTTGGAACAGATACTGGAATCGACTCTGGATGTAAGTCGTAGTCAACTCATACGAAGATACACTGTAGCTTATTTTGTACGCAACGAACTATCAGACAACAGGAGGTCATGAACGCGCAGCGACTAATTCTGCATTGTATGAATGTCACCGTTCCTGGTACGAACTTTTGGCAATTCCGAAGCGCCATACAGAAACCGGGCAACGCAGCCGTCGCGAAGTCAGATTACCAAACATTTGCTCAGCTACACATGGCACTGAAATATGGTCTTCTCGCCGACAGGGAACCTCTCATTGATGTGTTTCATCGAACTTACAACCTAAAGTCATCTAGAATTCATGATCGTGTTTATGCAATCATGCATTTAGCTGATGATTTCAAGGAAAACGACATAGAGGTCGACTATAACAAAACAGCTAGTCAGGTTATGATTGACGCGGCTGACCACCACATCAGACGGCATCGTAATCTTCGTTTTCTGGATGCTAGCTTTCACACAGACTTTGACGAAACCGGATCTCTGAAACACAACTCGGAATGCTCGTTTCCCACTTGGGTCCCACGCAAATGGTTAGGGCTTGGCCAATATGGGATATCCATATGGTCCTCTTGGAAGAGTCATGGACACGAGATCACCGTCGGTGAGCAGCTAGACGATGATGAAGATAGTTCCGGCAAGATCTTCCTGACCCGTAAATACGCGCACAATGAAAGGTCAATAAGATTACTGACCAAATTTCCAGATCTGGAGTTATTCACAACCTGCGCGCCGGACTCTGTTGATATGACCCATATACGATTACGTGTTCGCGGAATGAGAGTTAGTGAGGTGCTAACAGTGTTGTCGTTGCCGCTTGACGGTAATGACGACCGCGGAATGACCGTGGCGCAATCCTGGTCATCCAGTCTTGGTCAGCACATTGGGCGGTATTTCTACCGCGAGGAACGACAGATACCACTTGGAACGGTCCGAGCCATGGTTCACCCGTGGCCAAATGAGAATTTTGATTACGAAGACGCCGTAGCGGGGTTCAGATGGTTCTACAACTGTAGTACAAGGCCAGATCTTGCAGATCACCATATCGGTGTTGGTGGACACTTGTTCGTCGCCTTGCTAGCACCACTACGTGATCATCTCAATGGCAGTGCAGCGGTCCGTGCCATAACTCACATCGTCGCACAACTCTGGCGCCGGAAGTGCATCTTGACCGACAAAGACCACTTCGGCCTCGTTCCCGAATGCAACATAAGAGCTGGGGACGAAATATGGATGTTACTCGGACATTCCCTACCATCTGTATTAAGGAAACAACCCAACGGAACGTATGAGTATATCTGCACAGCACGTATCCCTGTTCTCATGGATGGTATCATAGGCCACACGGACATTCGACGTTTCTCGACAGAGGCGGCCCCTGGCGAACAAATCGGCGAGTGGACGATTGAGGATATCGAACTCGTCTAGAGAGGCTACAAAGATCTGCGAGGCGAAGAAAGATTTCAACTGCAGCTCTATCACCAGCCTTCTAAACCACTACAACCACCTACTTCTTCTCCCCATCCTTTCCCTTCTCCTCACCCTCCCCCTCACCCTCTCCCTCCTCCTTCTCAACAAACATAGTCTCCTGCGCACTCCAAAGCTCACTATACAACCCCCCACAATCAATCAAATCCTGATGCGTCCCACTCTCCGCCACACCACCCTCCCTCAGCACAATAATAACATCGCTATCATAAATCGTGCGCAACCGATGCGCCACAAAGACACTTGTGCGCCTCTTCTCCCTAACAAGAGAGTTGATGTGTGACAGCAAAGCTTGCTCGGTATGTGTATCGAGCGCACTCGTCGCCTCATCAAAGAACAAAAACGGCGGATCCTTTAGCACCAGCCTCGCAATCGCCAATCTCTGCTTCTCACCCCCCGAAATCATCATGCCCCGCTCTCCAACCATGGTCTGGTATCCATCCGGGAAACGAGAGATACTCTCATCGATACGCGCGCGTCTCGCCGCTTCGATGACTTGCTCCTGCGTCGCGTCCAAGTTACCGTAGTGGATATTATGTTGAATCGTATTATTAAAGAGCGGGGTATCTTGCGGCACAACACCAATAGCCCTGCGCAGACTGTCCAGCGAGACATCGCGGATATCCTGACCATCGATCAAGATACGTCCCTCCTGCGCATCGTAGTAGCGGAACAAGAGGCGGAGGATAGTTGATTTCCCACAGCCACTAGGTCCAACGATGGCGACCTTCTTGCCCGCAGGAATAGTAAGGTTGAGGTTCTTGAGAATAGGTCTGTCCGGGCGGTATCCAAACGTTACGTTTTCGAATTTGATTTCTCCGGTTTTGAGGGCGAGGGGCTTGGCATCGGGCTTGTCCTTGACGGCTACGTTGACCTTTTGAAGGTTGAACAAGGTCTCCATGTCTAGGAGACTCTGGCGGAGTTCGCGGTACATGGAGCCGAGGAAGTTGAGGGGCACAGAGAGCTGAAAGACGAGCTGGTTGACCATGACGAGGTCGCCAACTGTAAGCTGGCCCGTAGCGACGCCGTTGGCGGCGAGGTACATCATAGCAGTGAGAGCGGAAGAGAAGATGATATTCTGGCCCGAGTTGAGGAAGGCGAGGGAAGTGGCGACCTTGATGGACGCTTTTTCGTAGTCTTTGAGCGCTTTGTCGTAGCGCCCAACTTCGTACTTCTCGTTGTTGAAGTACTTTACGGCTTCGTAGTTAATCATGGAGTCGACAGCGACGGTGGCGGCTTTGTTGTCGGCGGCGTTTGCTTGCTTGCGGAATTTGGTGCGCCATGATGTGGTCATGATGGTGAAGACGGAGTAGGCAGTCATGGTTGTGCCGGTGATGAGAGCAAATTGCCAGCCGTACTGATAGGTCAGAATACCGCATACCAACGAGATTTCCAGTGCCGTGGGAACGATGTGAAAGACCATGGCAGTCAGCAAGAAGCTGATGCCCTTGGTTCCGCGATCAATGGCCCGTGTCAAGCCTCCGGTTTGTCGTGACAGATGGAAGCTCAAGTCTAGCCTGAGCAAATGTTCATAGACACTGCAAGCGACCTTGCGTATAGCCTTCTGGGCCACACTAGCGAAAACAGCATTGCGGAGTTCTTGGGATACAGTCGCGCCAATACGAGTCATTCCGTCTGGAGGGAGTCTCAGCCAGGGTGGAAGGAAGATGCATTGTTGGGTCTAGCTTACATGCAATGATCATAGAGCCTGCCACTGTCGTCGCTGTGCCGCCAACAGCTGCAAAGTCTATGTTCATGGCGTCTACAATGCTCTTGAAGTAGAAGGGAACTTGGACGTTCAGCAGCTTTGCGCCTACAAGCAAGCCCACACTGAGGCCAACCCTAAACCTGGTGCCTAGATTATCCTTTGGCCACAGGTATGCTGACATTTCCTTCATAATAGCCCAGTCGGCCTTGCGCTGCTCCTTGTTGGTCAAGACCTGCTCTTGGAGCAAGGGATCTGTCTTTGCGACTTTGGCAGCAGCGGGATCGGCGGCAGGTTTGGTAGCTTCGACGGCTGGCTTTGCGCCTGGGTTTGGCCGCTGGCCGTGAGCATCTTTTCTGTGTAGCGGGGAGGAGGTGAAGACGCGGATGCCGTGGTGTAGAGGATGCGGGCGCAAACTGCATGCCCGAAGGCCCGGCCGACTGGCGGCGCGGGCAAGTGGTTGGATCAACATGGCGGATCTCACATGTTAGGGGACCCAACCGCTGCCACAGGTGGAGAGAAGCTTTATATGCTTTGAATTGGCCGACGGGGAGGTGACAAGAGGTGTTTGCGTGAGTACCTCGAGACATGTCGCCATGCATCCCACGTTGCCTTAGCGCGTTTTCCCCGGCAGGGCTGAAGCGAGTCTTGCATCATCGCTGCTCCGAGCTTGTCCACAAGGAACATCTCCCACAGCCAACACGCGCCAATTGACCGGCACAGCCATGTTACGACCGGCTGCCTCGCCCTGGAGGGAATTCTCGCGCACATCGGCGGCTGCCATACGGCGGACGCCCATTGCGGCGCGATGCATCAACATATCTGCCACCAGCTCGTCGACGGAGCCCGCGCTGCAGCAGGCAGTCAGTGTCGAGGGCACAGCGACGCCTATGCATACTCCAGGTGAGAGAGAAGCCGAGGAATAACAGACAAAAACATGCAAAAAAGACGTTTACTCACCACACGTCAGACGCCCGTTTCGAAGTCATAGGCACTCCCTTCTCGCTCCTCTCAGTCTCCCTCTCCGCATCGCAGACGCTCTACACCCGCCGCGGCACACTCGTCGGCCTCAGCGGAAAGTCTGAGAACACGCTATCAACCCTCTCCTTCCTCGAGCCCCTGCAGAGAGCCCCCGTCGGCATCCCATTCCTCTACCAGAAAGTGTCCTCCACGAGCCCCGTCACCGCGCTCGTCTCCACAAAGTCGCCCATATCGAGCATCGTCTCGGTCAACATGGACGGAAGAGACGACTGGATCATCAGCCAGAGGCAGGCATTGCTTGCGTGGACTGGCCATACTCTGAAGTTGAAACCACAGTACAACGTCAAGCTGGGCCTCGCACACTGGGGAAACACATACATCACCGGTAGAGGACTGCTAGCGCTTGCGGGAAGCGGGCAAATCTACCAGGTCCAAGTCAAGGCTGGTGAGAGCTATGTTGCGCATCCCAGGTACGTCGAGACGGCAAGCACACTTGGATGTCTGCACTAACAACCACACAGCAACGTCGTAGCATACACAGCCTCCAACACACCACCAATCCCCTTCCGATTCAAGTCATCAAACCTCCGCTTCCAGGTCCCAGACCTCGGCTTCGGCTCCATGGTCCAAAACACTAAATTCTTCCGCACCATGAGCAAGACAGCCACATGGCGCGCGCTAGCAACTACATACTACACCCTCAAGACATGGCTGCGGAGAACAGTCTGGGGCGACAGGGTAAGTCATGCCCTCGCCACAAAACATCCGCCACAGACGCTAACAACTGCGCACAGTTATTCCTCCGCTTCGAAGGCCCTACCACCATGCTGGTCCAATCCCGCGCCTCGCGAATCAGCGACGTCCTCACACTGAGAAACGTCGACGAGATTGCAGATAGCCCACCAGGCGCTGTCGAGGATGCTGCTACGCGCAAGATTAAAGAGGAGATCAAGTCGATAGGAGAGGGCACAAAGGCACCGATACCCAATACTGATGCTTCGGGGACGGTAAGGTATGCTACTGTCAAAGATGGCAAGGCCGAGTTTGAGACGCCAAAGGTAGAGGCGCCGAAAGTATAGATTAGCAAATCTGTTTACCATGTGTACATGTATGGCTTTTTTTTTTGGCAACATGCGACTAAAAACTCTTAACATTTACTACTAGCGTCTGGTGTATGCGACCGCGAGACGCTCGCGCTAGAGAACCCCCATTTGTCCTTGACCTTGGATGCTCCCATGTCCAACATCGAGCCATACCAAACATGCTTCTGGTGTTCTACTGCATGAGGAACCGGCCAAAGATGCGCTGTCAGCTTCTCGCTTCCTTGTTTGTTCTCGCCAGCATGAACGTCCTGTCCCGCGATTGTTATTGGGCGTTGGTCGACGTCGTGTGGTGGGACAGGAAGAGCGGATTGAAGCAGCGGCGGGTCCTGGTCCACCATCTGCGGCACGACTTTGGTGGTGAGAATATTTGGCTCTGTTGTTGATGTGCAAATAGTTTGGCTTGTGGTGACTAGAGGTGAAGCCTTGTCGGAGCGTGGGTGCGGCTCTGCTACTAGAGGTAGAAAGGTATGTTTCGTGCTTGACATGTGTGGAAGAGACATGGTTTTGGTGATTACGTTGGGGTAAAACAGAGAATGGATTCTGTTGTATATGTCATCAATCGCCGCCGGCTCTGGAGGTCTTTATACACGCGCTTTGGTTTGAGCGAGACTTGAACCATGTGTGATGATGATGGTGTGCAGCAGATATCAGGTCATCTCGTGATTATGGCGACGTCGTTGCGTTGCGAGCTGACGCAGCGATTAGCTTCCTGAATGGACAATGCAGGGTCTACATAGTAATGGGGCTGTTAGAGTTTGGCCATCCTTGGATCTCTCACACCACGTTCGTCGAACGTCGTTCGAGAACTAGTCCTTGGTTGTATGCAGGGATTTACTTTGGTAGCGTGTATGTGCATGCAGGACGAGTGCTTTTGAAAAGCGGGGAAACCTTGTCAGCCAGTCTCCGAGCCGCGACCTGCTTCAAGTGCGGAGGTCCTTGTCCCAACGTGTCTGCTGGTGGTGGTACGATCTTCCGTTGGTGCGTTCTTCACAAGCGAGCTGGAGTTGGCGGGTAAGAGCGAGTGGCTATGTAAGATTTGCCAAGGCATTACTGATATTCTACGTTCAACTTCCTAAGCGGTCATGCACATGTTGTCGATGGACTTGTGTGAAACAACAAGTATGTACAAAGATTCGATTCTTGCTAAAACAAAACAGTATCTCAGTTTCACTCGTCACAGCATCATGGTACGAGAAGTCCTTTTCAGGTACAAGTTGATAAGCAGCTCGATGATTGAATCCCAAAGATTGTATACGTACAAGACCAGACGAACTACATCTGAAATATGCTAGATGTGGTTCGCGTTCCACACTCACCCTTCAAAAGGAATAGAAACAGGCTCTCCAGCCGCCAACCGCTTGACCAACTCGGGGTCTCTAACGTGAAGCAGATTGGTCCAGTTCATCTCCTGAGGAGCCTCTTCTGCCCGGAGGCGAAGCTTCGCGGGTGGATCCACGAGAGAGCCATCATCTGCATTGACGCAGACAATCTGTTCATCTTGAGGGATATCGATATCCCATTGGCAGTATATGCCATCATCCTGGAAGAATCGGAAGCCCGGAAACTCTTTGCCGTTACAACCAGTAGCTGGCGTTGCACCTTGGTCGCAATACGCACTGCATGTTGTTAGCTTGGCTACCGTGCAGGTTCAGTGGTTGTACTTGCATTCCGTTGGTGTTGGTAAGAGCCAGGCGAAACTGTTCGCCGTTTCCATTGAGTGGGCGATACAACTGGCGAAGAACACCACCTTGCGCTGCCAGTACATTAGCACAATCCCTTACTATCTAAACCGCTGCGTTGTACTCACAACGTTGCTCGGCTCCACTGGCACAGATGAGAGTCGCGCCATCACCGCCCTCGGCCATGCTTGCAAAGGGGAATTCGTCAGTCTCCATACCCGGTCCTCCATCTACAAGACCCAGACAAGGGCGCTCGCGACTTGACGGATTAGGGGTGACTCCAGAGTCCTCACGTTTCTGGTCGGCATCACCGTTGGGGTCGTAGTTGAAGACATCGTTGCCGGGCTGAACGCAGGTTTGGTAATAACAGATGTTCGTGCAGATGGTCGGCTGTCTGGCGCAATTGTAATTACGCGTAGTCTGGCCGAGAGTACTTGCAACCAAGGTGGAGAGGACAAAGATGTGGCCGGCAAGAGAGTTCATTGTGGTTATCTTGATAAGTAGCGTAGGATGGTAGAAAGGAGAATTGTCAATCGAGGTTTGTTCGCTCAAAGTCACCAGTACATTATTTAGATACCATAGACCTTTTTATGTTCAAAGGATCTTGAGTAGGTTGTCGTGGGCGTATCTCGACATAGCTTACATGTTGCTAAGCGTGGGTAATGCTAGGTTACCCATGGATTTGCAAGTGTTGCAAGTTCATAGCCCCAAGGTAACACTGACGGAGTTCCAGATTACGCCCTGTTCGCACACTGCTGGATTGATCAAGGTGCCTGTCAGCCGGGGACCATGACATGCTGGATCAGTGGCACAGAACGTAAGCGAGGTACGTCATACTGTCAGCTACCTAGGTACTGTGTAGATCTAACACCAGGGAATATATAACATGGCCCAAGCCCCAACACCGTCGTACGGCATCCAATCTGACACATACTCAACCCACGGCTAAAAGCACAACTTTTGAGACTGCGAAAATGTCGGAGAAACTCAAGGATGCTATTCCCATCTTCTGTAACGCCAGTATCCCGAGACAGGTAAGCTGATATGTTCTCATGGATGAGCATAACAGATGTTGAAGGAATTGCGACGCTAACCATTCACCAGATGCTGGAAGAATTCGTCACGCTGAGCCATGGAGTGCCGGATGTAGAGGATGTCAAAGGCCTGGGTATGCAGAACGGAAGAGTCGTCCTTGGGCCATGGACCTGCAACCACGGAACTCTTGACTAACAAATGACATAGCTGTTCTCGTCGATACACAAGACATATCTCAAATCACCAGCTACATCTCCGCACCCATTTCTGAGAACCTTCCAACGCCATTTCTAGATTGGAGCGCGGAAGACATTATCGAATGGGCAGCGCAGCACCTGGATCGCCAGAGAGACGGTATCGTCCCCTACGAGCTCGTCATCCTGGATCAGCAGACACTGGAAGACAAGACCTGTCTCTTGGTAACAACAAAAGATGGTGAACTCTCACGTAATCCCGGGAATCCTGCTCGCATCATGGTCAGATCGGACTTTAAATCTGCGTTGGCTACGCTCAATGTCAAGGTTCAGTTTTGTGGCGGTGATGGCCATTTTGAGACAACGGCATCGGATGGTGTTATCCGACATTATGACGATTGATTCGGCGTGGTTTCGGTCAGCGATAGCATGGTATGCCTTATTGGGGTCCGTACACAGGCTGGGTACTCTGTCTACGATGAGTTAGGTGGCTATAATTCAGTATATGCTTGTTCAACTCAGATTCGGGTCCAAGAGACTTGTCACATCCTAGTGTATCCGTCATCTTATACCGGAAAATCAGGATCAGGCGTAATCTGATGCAAGAACACTGAGCTGTAGGAACATGCGCTCCAGCTCCAAGACACTGCGGGAATAGCCTTCCTTGCATGTGGAGGTAGGTCGGCAGATATCAAAATGTCTTACTACAAGCTATGCTACGTTTTGGATGATCCCACGCATCTATCATTAGGTATATAAGATACCTCTCACATCTTTCAGGCGACTTCACTTGTTAAGATTCAACATACCCAAGAAGAAGCGGTAAGCTAAGATTATCACGCCCTCATAAGTATGTAGATGACAGCCTCAGAGTACCATTGACTTCACTGACTGTCTCTCTAGACCAAATTTCTCCTACAAATCTTTCAAGTATCCCTAGATTTTCAGAAAAAGGCCGCCAAGATGCTCACACCGTCAACTCCCATCCTCCTCTCACTCCTCGCCATCTCCTCCGTGGCCACTGCCTCACCTCTATCTGCACGCCAAGATTCGGGAGTAGAGTGGTCCTTCAGTGTCTACCAAAGCACCTCGCGATGCACCGGTGCGACCGACACCTACAACGGCACCTCCTCTCAAGGATGCACCAAAGGCATCCGAAACGGCTCATTTGGGTCCTACATAAGAGGCAACATCAGCTCGGGGTGCTCAGTCTATCTGTACCGCGACGACAGTTGCAGTCTCGAACAAATTGTCGATGTTTTGAGCTCTGATATAGAGTCTGATTGTTCGCAGACGGTAATCGAGCACGCGAATGTTCCGAGTTTTGATGTTGTTTGTGAGTAGAGCGATATATGGTTTCAGCTGTCTTGGTTATGAGTGAGGGGACAGCTGGATAGGGTTCTGTAGGAAGTTTTTGACAGCGAGAAATGAAGACGCTGTGACCAGCTGCTTGAACACCGGTTCCTTTCACCATTGTTAATTCTCATTTCAAGACATGCTTCAGAATAGTACACTCTCTCCATGAGGAGATTTCTTTCCTCAGATCTCCTTATTCTCCGAATGAATGCGGTAAGAAGTGTTTGAGGTAGATCGCGCTCCCTCAGTCCCCTACTTCTCTTCACTGAAAGGTTGGGGTGGCTTTCTCAGCTGACTGGCCTATGACATAGAAGTACTCGCATCGTTCACGACAGTGTGGGAGAAGACAACAACCTTGGGCCAGACCCTACGATAACATCAAAACTATGACAGAAAGCACAACTGCAGGTCGAGACGTCTCTTCGTATATAGTCGTTACCATCAAGTCCAGCAACATTGCAAAGCTAGAGCAGGTTACCAAGTCCAAGGCAACGCTATCACTCCACTGCCTCTGTATGGCAAAATGTTTGTCCAGGGAAATTTAATCCCGGATGATACAGGGAAAAAGGATATGGCGAGGCATGAAGGTGTGTCGATTATGAAAGAGAGTCCGAAACGGGTTCCTTCAAAGTCAACCAATATATCTAGCAAACCCCTTCCACTCATCGTCCCGCAAGAGGCATTGTAGGTCTTCCTCTCGCAGGCACATCGCAACAGCTACACTCCCCTCCCGACTCTTAGGCATCAGATACATAAGCGACTCGACAGGCACAAAGCCCGGCCGTCTAACAGCAACTGGAGAGCCCAACCTCAACCCAAAGTCCCACTCATAAGCGGGTACTTTTGTCCACGAGCTAAGCGCAATGTCAACGCTCATATCGAGGGTAGCTGTAAAGCTCGTTTTCGTCGCGTTGTCTGGCGACTGGGATAAAAAGGTGACCAGAGAGCGAGTCCGGTATGCAATATCTGACGCTAAGGGATCGACTGCCTGCCTCATCTTGGCGGCGATGTGGCCCAGCAGAGTGGAAAGTAAGGACTCCTGGGGATAGCTAGTGTATGCCATGTTTTGCAGTACGCCAGGGTAGTCAGGATGTATGTCCAGATAGCGTCTAGCATCAACAGCCCGTGCAAACGTGACCGAGGCATCCGGACGCAGACGGGACTGCCTTGTGCGTAGAACAGAGAGGAAGATGAAAGCAGAGAGAGCATCATCGGTCGATATGAAGCTGGTAAAATCTTGAGGAAGAGAGGCAGTCGCAAGCCCCTTCAACGACTCCAATGACTCGGCTGAGAAGTCAAAATACGTCCAAGCACACTTGCTAGGTGGTTCTGGACTCTTCCGCTCGACAGTGTTATCCACTTCCTGGTCAACAGTGGGAGGTAAAGGAGGAAACAGCTGATTCTGCAGCTCAGGTCCAGGAGCCCAGCCTTCATCTTCAATGAGCGGGACAATACCTACTCTCGGCATATTACCAATCCCAAGCTCATTTTCAGTAAAATGCTCGCTCCGACACGCCTGGGACAGCCAGCCCAAGACGGCCGCCTGGCCCATCATGTCGCACACATTGTGTTGCATATTAACACAAAGCACCAGCCCACCACGTACATAATTAATCTGCACGAGCATCACTGGAGCAGGCTCATCAGAAGCCCCCGAAGCTTTCTTCGGGTCGAATCCCATGGCAGCCAAAGTAGGACACGGCGCCCAAACATCCTCACCCAATACACTCATCGGGAATCCCTTTTGGTGCATCAGATCAAAACTGGGTATCTCGGCATCTCCAGTATAATCTCGTACGACTAGCTGCGGCACCGGTTCGTACGGCCGAATCTTGTAATGGGGCGCAGCCTCAGTATCAGGGTTTATGTTTACGACTTGACCAGCAACCCAAGGGAAGTTCGCTGCTAGCTCTGCCAATCCAGCAGTCATGGTCGAAGTAACCTGGTGATGTGACGGTTGCCCCTCTTCTGACTCCGACAGCGGAAACATGAAGGCTAGTTGGGTATAAAGCTTGAACAGCGCGGGCTGGGCACCCATCAGGTCGATATCCATATCCAGGGGACTCATGCTCGCAATACGCGATTGGTCCGGTATTGGGAACCTTCAAACCACATGTTAGTTGATTCCGTGGTTAATTGGGATAGCAGCTGTACAAGTGACATTCTCGGCTTACGTGGTTAAGGCTGGTATGGTAGCGTGTGCTGCTTTCTCAAGACCCCGCAGCGGTTTGTACAGGTTCAAGAGAGGAAAAAAAAGGGACCAGACCCTCTCAAACTTCTGAAACCAGCAACGACGCGTCAAAGCCTGATGACGAAATGACCGCAGTCTCTCCTGTTAAGTTGTTGCCTCAAGCCTGAGGTGCGCAAGATGGGATCATCCCGAGTATGAGCGCTGGTAGTAGTGGCCGACTTGTACAGTCTACTTGTACTCGACCTGACGGAGTGCACATTGGCACAAACGGTGTTTAAACTCATAATGACTCATCTCGATATTATAAGACCGTTACTCAGATCATCGAAAAGAAGATCAAGGTAAGATCATCTTTGAAGCCAACGAACACAGCGATAGTCAAGCTTGTGAACTCCATTTAACAAGCATAACATCTGCCTCTCGGTAAGCATCAGAAAGAACCGCCCGATTATCAGTCGTAACTGCCAGTGCACATGGGGTGATGGAACGTCGCTAGCCTTGCCGTCTCGGGGGACTTGCAGGGTCTCTTTGATGACCCGCAGTATGCAATGCTGCCCAACTTGACAGGTTGAATGCCAGAAAAAAATGCCCCGACCTCTCCTTTTCCCACCACCAACAGCGTAATGAGCAGAAACCAGCTTTGATTGCATGCAGGCTCACGGCGGGTGGCGAATTTTTTTTTTCGTCATGCATGTTCTTGGTTGCGT